CTCAACGCTGGTGGTCTTACTCAGATCCTCGGTGGTCTCACCCAGGGTGGCCTCACTCACGTCCTGAACAACGTTCTCGGTGGTATCCTTGGTGGTGGTCTCCTCGGCCGTGACTCCGGCGCTCTTGCCACCGTCAACGACCTTGCTAGCTCCATCCTTAGCGGTGCCCAGGATGGCAGCCTCAACCTGAACCAGCTTACTGGCCTTCTCAACGGTATCAACGCTGGTGGCCTTACCCAGATCCTCGGTGGCCTCACCCAGGGTGGTCTCGCTAACGTCCTGAACAACGTTCTTGGTGGCCTCCTCCAGGGCCTCGGCCTGTAAAGGAAGAACGCAAACGTTAAGAATGCCTTCCTTTTCAAACACTAGATACCCTTTTGCTCTCACGGTACTCGAAGATTTACTTGTGAAACGTGCCATGTAAGGCTTTTGTCAGGAAACCTTGGAAGGAGCCATGATTATGTGGGCGTACAGCGGTATAATTTTTAACTTCATGTTTTCGGTTCGATTTGTCCCTCTGCGGTCAGCGTTGGGAATTTGTGGATGAGGAAACTTCATGTACAGTTAACTACCATTTATAAATAAATTTCTTTACCATCATAATTTATATTCTTGATTTGTAACGTAGTAATATCTGGGATTAAATAAACAATGCCATGTCCTTGGAGCGTTGCAAACATCTGGAAGTTCCAACCCGAGTGGCCTGCTGACTCATCCTATCACCAGAAATCCCACTCACCCCGCCAAACAAGCAATGCTTTTTCATCCCAAATCTTCAGCAAGTCTATATTAAAATCGAACGCTTTTTCCTTTTTCGTTCTATTTTCTAGCTTCCATTTGAAAACCCATCACCTTTCTGATCTTATTCTCATAGAACCAATTATGGCAACCGCCGAAGAATTTCCTTACTCCTTGTATGCGCCTCTCATCTCGAACCGTATATATAAACTAACCCACCATTCTCCAACAGAACCATCTCCCTCCCTCTCCCCGATCATCGTCTCGCATCGTCCGCTCTCCGCGCCATCGAGGTAGACGCCGAATTGTCCCCATTCGTCAGGCGCACCTTCGCACTTACTTCCCCGAATAATGAATCCACGGACGAGGAGTCCATGTCGATACTCGAGACTACATACCGCGCGACCACCAACCGCATGCTACGCGTTGCAGTCAACGGCTTCATGGAGAGCTTGGGAGTTGTCCTTGGTGTAATGGGGGAGTTGGACGTTGACATTCTCAATGAGGAATCGGACACAGAGGAATGACTACATGGATCTGCGGAGAATCGAAAGAGGAAAAGAAAGGAAACATGAAGAGCGGATGTCATGCAGTAGGTATTTTTGCATGGTATCTTCGGAATTTCTTCTCGTCTGTCTAGAGACAGAGTCAGAGCACGACTTGGCTATCTTGGTCTCCCAAGCTGAGTTGTACGGATTACTCCCCCAAGGGGCATCCTAGCCCCGAGGTTGTGGTGCAATGACATCGCAGGCCCGAAGAACAAGGGCCTGGGGAATACATATGAGGGGTTTGGCAGGGGATGACTACATTGGAATGTAAGGTGGCTGTGGCTTCAGATGCACATGAGCCGATGTCACCGCAGCTGGGAAGGGGATGAGGGGTAGTCGATGATATAATGGCATGGCCGATCATGCACATTTGGTACTTGTGATCAAGAGATGCAGAAATATGCTGCAATATGCATTAGAGAAGGTCAATACTGGTGTTGAGCGGAGTACATTCTTCAAGATATATTCAGGTTTAGAGTCGAATGATACTAGATGAATAATAGAAAAACAATGGTTATTTTTTATGAATAAGAGCATAATTAAAAACAGAGGCTAATGCAAGGTTAAAGCGCCTGAAAAATGAGTTATGACAGCCTGTTGCGCACAACCGCAGTTATCCATCGCGACGCTCACTAATGCGTGATGCTTCAACGGTCCAATGGTCGACTTCCGGAGGTCTGGACTGGCGCGATGACAAAGATCGTGGGGAGAGCCTCTTCTACGGCTTCGGGTCCAGTGGATTCCGAATTGATTTGGAATTGTTGTCGACCCATCCAGAGAACATTCGAACAGAATGCGATGGCATCCGATCGATCTTGACTGCTTGATGTTCTGTGAAACCCCTGGTTCCGGCCCAGACATGATGATGACATCGGCCTCGGATGGTTTCGCGTCCGCCCCTCATCCAGCAATAATGCCTGTTCTGCCTTTCGATTGTTTTAATTATTTAAAAGACCCCTCGCCCCAACCTCGGTTGCTGCTCTCTTAGCATGCTTTTATCATCTTCTGTGCCCATTCCACGAGTTTTGTTTCCATCGACTCGTCGCTTTATTAAGACACCTCTCTGTCTCCCCCGAGCTTCGTCTATCGTCACTGTCGCAAGAGCACAGCTTGAATCGCCACCAGGTCTTGCTCAACGTCATCGTCGAAAGAGTCTCATTCGCATCCAGATTTCTCGTCATCTGAGCATAAACTCCACCAAAGCCATGGCTTCTGCGACAACTTTCTACGACTTTGAGCCCGTCGACAGTATGTCTCCTCTCAGTCTAGCTCCTTCCTCCCTTCACAAACTGTAGCTCTAACATTATCCCAGAAAAGGGTGACACTTACCCCCTCACCAACCTCAAAGGCAAAGTCGTCCTCGTCGTCAACACCGCCTCGAAATGCGGCTTCACTCCCCAGTTTAAGGGCCTCGAGACCCTCTACCAATCCCTCAAGTCCAAATACCCCGAAGACTTCACCATCCTCGGTTTTCCCTGCAACCAGTTTGGCGGCCAGGACCCAGGATCCAACGATGAGATCCAATCCTTTTGCCAGGTCAACTACGGCGTCACCTTCCCTGTGTTGGGCAAGCTGGACGTGAACGGCGACAATGCCGCGCCTCTCTGGGAATGGATGAAGACCGAGCGACCCGGTCTCATGGGCTTGAAGCGTATCAAGTGGAACTTTGAAAAATTCCTTATCGACCCGGAGGGTAAGGTAGTCGGGCGCTGGGCTAGTACCACCAAGCCCGAGTCGCTGGAGGCTACCATTGTGGAGGAGATTAAGAAGGCAGAGCAAAAGGGTCTTTTGGCGTCCAAGGGAGAGGCTACTGAACAGGCCAAGTTGTCGTGAGGGTAGACAAAAGTCCCATTGTCACACAATGGTTTCTTTGTCTCTCTTGTTTCTGTAGTCTACGTGCTTTTCATGTGAATGAATACCCCTGTTTTGCAAGTCACCTCTATTAGTTACTCTCAAGTATAATCACCAACCAGTGGGTTGAGGTCAATGGATCATGCGATTTTCATTTTGTGTTATCAATATTCTGTCGTTAAGCATAAGTGCCTAAGCACATTTAGCTATGCATTGAATGAACTGAGTATTATTCACTTGGGAATCAAATTCCGCAAAGACAAATCGTAGACAACGTCCTCGACTTTCTTGACCTGCACATAAAGTCAGCACTGTCATCTCCAACCTCACAAGTCCACCTAAAACTTACGCTGTACTTAATCCCATCGCTCCTCTTCCGCAGAATGTCGTTCTTCAAATTCAGCAGCTGGAATCCAGCAAACAAGTCCTTGATAAAGTTGCCAATCTGGACAGGACGCGCGTAGTCTCCGAGAGTGACCGAGTTGACTGCGAGACGGGACTGAATGGATTTGGTTAATTTTTTTTGTAGTTTGAGAGATTTCGAAGAGGACTTACCAATTCTTCAACCATGGCAATCAGCGCAAGGAGGTATTCCTCAATGGTGAGATGGAAAGCATCCTGCTCTTTGAGGTTGACGGGAACTGCAGAGAAAGTCTTGTTAGAACACAAATCTCGAGAACTGTGTTATAGAAGTAGAACATACTGTCCAGGAATTTTCCGACTTCTTCAATAGTCAGGAATGAAGCCGAGCTTGCGCTCTTGAACTGCTCGAATCCACCCAGATACGCGCATAGCTCGATTGAAGATACCTGTATAGCCTCCATTAGAAAAATAAAATTCACATATTCATCTGGATCAACTAACAAGAGTCTGCAACTCTCGAGTCCACAGCCCATTGTATTTGTAGAATGGGTGCTTGTCCGCGACAGCCTTCAGGCGAGAGACTTCCTGCTTCTGCGCAACAATCTCCCTGGTCGCATCATCGAGGACGGGCTTCACTATTCCCTGTCAGTCTTTCTCAATCGGACTCCCGTTCTTTGCATCTTAAAACATACACTGGTCGGAAGGCGTAGAATGAGCTCTAGAGAGAATCGCCTGTGTGGATCTCCCTGGTACCGTGTCAGTAAGCTCAAATCATACGACCGAGACAAATCTTAGCCCAAGTCTAGCAAGGAGGCCATATAAAAACCTTTTCTGGCAAGCGTCTGGACAATCTCATGGAGCTCCTTAAGGCACGTTATTAGCTATTCTGGTTTTCTGGCGCTGCGTTGGCGGAGATGAAATGCTTACATCACGAACAGCGGCCTCCTCATCAATCTTCGTTTGCAGGTTCTCAAAGATGGCGTGGTCGATCATTTTGAATGTATGTTTATTTTTGATCCTGTACTTATTTTAGGGATGCTGCTTGGGGTTGTTTGGGAGGTGGTCTGGTAGAAATGGTGGTGTTGGGTGTTACGTCAAAGCAAAAAGTGAAGAAATTGCGGAGCGTTCAACTTTCCAGTCCGCCTGTGTGGTTTGTCGTAACTGTGAATGGAAGGCATAAAATGGGCTTGTTTTTAAAAGGTCTATTTTTTCAAGGATTTAAATGTTACACGTTTATTGGACCGGAAGAATTTACAAAATAACTTAAGTGAGGAGTGCTACTGCAATATATATGTGATGCCAACACTTGATACTGATTGTAATTGAAACTAAATAAGATAACTGGATACCATGCTGATCTATAAAATCTACAACTACAAAAGGGGGTCTACAATTGACGGACCCGACCGACATCCTCGAAGGAATGCATCGTAAAATGGTCCATCCAAGTTCTCCGAGACTGAAGCTCAGAAATGTATTCTGCACCCACGAACCAGAAGAGAAGAGACTACGCAGTCCTGTAGACCCGGTTGCAAAATCTCTTATACTTGACCAGTTGGATGATGTATGGGTTTGTGACCAGAAAATATGGCAGACAACGATGGAAAGGTACCTGTTTGGTGAATTCTAGGTTCATTAACAAAGACTAAGAGCCAACATTTAGTTCTCGAATGACAGGCTTGCCTTTGAATCCCAATCCTTGCACTTCGTATATTCATATCTTCAAGTCCATTTTGTTGGTTCTCCTCGTTAATAGATCATGAAAGGGAAAATAGCCTGGTACTAAGACCGCAGGACGAAAGAGAAACGCTCAGTAACGGTATCTGGTGGAGTAGTCTGTCGAGCAGTTAGTCAACCCGCTTTCATGTATCGCGACTATGGTATAAAATATGCCCTCCTACCTTTCGGGCTAACGACGAGACCTCGTCCCTTCTTGGCTCCTTTGTAGATGGTTTCGATGATGTCGATCAACTCCTGCTTGTCCTCGAGCACCCAGTTGAGTTTGTTGTTGTTACCAGTTCCAAAATCGCACATCATGTGTTTGTTTCGGTAGAAGTACATAATTGTCATCGGGTCTAACGGGGTAAGTTAGATATTGTTGTCTTGATATAGGGCGGCTTGAAAGCTTACCGTAAAGCTCGTACATTTCGTTGAATTCGGGGCACTCGTCAATATCGCAGAGGTAGATCACAGCAAAGTCTACAGTAGAGATCAAAGGTTAGTGTTTTCGTTCGTGTCCATAAAATAAAAGAGCGCCACTCACTCTTCACTTTTTGGGCAATCTTGAAAAGCACCTCATCCTGTCTCATGCCTAATAATATGATTAGTATTTCGGGGCGTACTTAGAAAAGGCGGGTTATCTCACAGTCGACGTCGTGGTCTCGGCCAAATCGAATGACCTGTGAAGACAATATTAGAGCGGCAGTCCTGACGGAGCTTTGTAGGACCACTTACCACAAGCCGATCCTCCTCACTGAGGATAGCTTGGTCGACATGCCAGGCGGTTTGAAGATGAGGAAGGACGGCAGAACCCATGGTTGTCGCTTATTCAAGAGCAATGCTGGATAAAAAGGATTCAAATTCAGATAAGGGCGATGGAATATATTTATTCTGCGACAGGAACAAGCAATACCAAGCGTCGTGGTTGATCTGATCTGCTAGACATTCAAGTTTGAGTGTCCCGCATTGATGCTATCTCAGATGCTAAGCCTTACTTCACGTGACATGATGTTGCCTTTACTTTGCCACTACGTTTGGATTGGATAAACACGACTACGGCGACTGAAAACTGCGCTTGAATAGCTTCAATTACTGTTCTACAAGATTCTACAACCTTCTTCTCCAATCAGTCGGATGTACCGGCCAAGTTGATGAAAAAAGTGTGTTCGCGTCTATCGGGGATAGTGTGAGCCCGATGACACTGTGTAGCAAGACATGCGCAAGCACAGAGGCCCTGCTACGAGATCCAAAAATGAGATTAATCAATGTTGTGTTCCTTAGAACACTTTCAGAGATTAAACTGAAAAGAACAGATACTACACTTGATCTAAGCCAAAAGGCAAAGAGAGCTGGAAAAGAAAAGAAAAAAACTTCCAAAGCTGGCGGGCGCGACGAGATATTTATGATGGGGGCAGTGGCACGTGCGCCGCTAGTATACTAGCGTCGTCTAAAAGTTACCAAGCGAGGCGAGTCCACTATCATTGGTCAGAAATTCAACGTCATCATGTGACTATATCCCTGCCCTAATCGCAGCACAGAGCCCTATGATTACCCAAAACAGCATAGCTGCACGCACCGCCGGCCGTCTTGCGCTCTTTTGGGCTCCACCAGCACGAAGTTTTAGTTCTCTATCCCTCCAACAGTCCTATTACCGGCGCAGGATATTCACCTCTTTGCGACCTCGATCTTTCTTCCTTCATCCCCCTCATACAACCCCCATCAGCCACCATGTCTCCCGTCATTGTATGTTTCCATTCCTGAGACTGCTTTGCTGTTCCCCCACGATGGCCTCTGGGTGCTTTGTATCGGATTGTCAACCGGGATATTGAAATATCTATCCTTGGAATTGACTTTTCAAGCAAAGTCACTGAGAAACCTCTGGGATTCGCCATTATGGAGCAGTAGGCTAATCCGATGTTTTTGTGGTAAATAGGCTCGTGGTCGCAAGGCCCAGAAGGTCACCCAGAAGGTACGTTGATACTCTTGTCGCAAAGGACAAGCAAATTTCAATACTAACATACTCGCTTCTAGTACGTCATCAACGCTTCGCAGCCCGCAAGCGACAAGATCTTCGACGTCTCTGCCTTCGAGAAGTTCCTCCACGACCGCATCAAGGTCGAGGGCCGTGTTGGCAACCTCGGTGACAAGGTCGTCATCTCCCAGACTGGCGATGGCAAGGTCGAGGTCGTTGCCCACATCCCCTTCTCTGGTCGCTACCTCAAGTACCTGTAAGTTCCTGTCACATCATATATTCGACCCTAGGACGCATGGCTAATGACTTGAACAGGACCAAGAAGTACCTCAAGAAGCAGCAGCTCCGTGACTGGCTGCGCGTCGTCTCCACCTCCAAGGGTGTTTACGAGCTCCGCTTCTACAACGTTGTCGACCAGGAAGGTGAGGAGGATGAGGAATAAACAGTTTCTCTTTCTTCATGAATAAAAGTCAGCAATCGTGATTCGGACACGTTTTGGGGGGTTTCCAACCATCAGACGGGAGTGATAACTTCAATTCGGGGCGTGATCATGAGTCCGATCCATGCGACTGGAGGGTATAGATGAGCTCTGGGACGCAGTTTGGTTTTTATCAGGGCTGGGATAAAGATGCGTAAAGTGCCCGAAAAGGTTGCGTTTCTTCAGCCCGCTAAGCTGGGAATATCACCATCATCTACTCATGACGTTACGAATGGTAGACATGAATCGAGCAATCTATAACCCAAAATTTCTTGGTTATTCCTTAATTGAACGTAGGCTATATATGCTTTGGATGCCCCAATCCTTCTGGGTATTATAAATGGGTTGCCGTATATGCACTTAGATATCCTTACTGCTCGCCTAGAGCGGAATCCTTTCTCTTCTGCCCGGCTCCAGGCCCAAGCGTTCGTTCGGCGATAGCGGCATCTTCTGTCTTGCCTGCACCTGGCGGTGGTACAAGCCTTCCACCCTCAATTTGCCATCCCTTGGCCTTCAGTGTCTTCCAAGTTTCTGAAGCTTTGACTCTGACCAGGTCGCCCGTAGCTATTGCATCCTCCTTGGAGTCATGGCCACGATTGCCTCCTGTTTGGATATCTCTATCCAGGTGTTTCTTGCATAGGGCCTTCAAACTCATGCGGATCGGTAGACCCCTTGGGTGTGGATATAGGATCACCGTGTCGATAATGGTCGGGTGGATAATGCGACACGCGTTAAGGTCATTGTCAATTGCGTGCCCGATTAGAGGGGTGTCGGGTTGTATAAGCTCGAACAGTAATGCCCGTGCTGCCGTGGGCGATTCCACCACATGTAAACGAGTGGCTTCCCCATCCGATATTTCAGGAATCGGAGTACCATACGGGATTGCATTTGCGTAGTGCTCAGGAAAAACGCCGGAAAAGCGCGAGTTCAGGTCGAGAACTTCGCCCATCGGCCTGACGAGAACATCAAGCAATTGCTTGCCCTGAGGCCAGCTAACGGCGGTCAGCCGGATTAGCTCCAGTCCCATTGTGGTGTACCCCATCTCGCAGTCGAAGCATACTGGTTGGCGCGACCCTTTGTTCGACTGTTCTGGAGTCTTTTCGAATTGGAGGACTGATGCAAGCCGCTTCGTTTCCGAAACTTTGAAGACATGGGTGTTGCCTTTGGTACAACCTGATGAAGTACCTATAGACTCATTGCAGCAAGAATAGTATGTATCCCTTGGGCCTGTGATGTGATCTGTCTGCTTTCTTGGAGGGTATATTGGTTTGCCAGGGTGATATGTGCATTGCCCTCCGGTCGTCAATGAACCGTCCTCACGACGACCAGGAAAGACTTGAAACCGCCCACCACATCGATCACATTTCTCCCAGCCTTTCGACTCAACGACACCCTTCTCTGCACTGGAAACCTCCTCTTCTGTGGGCGGTTTGGTCACGTAGCCGAACTGCTCTAGACCATGCAATGGCGTGATCAACTTGCTCACAATCGCCAGCTCTTCCTTCGTAGTCAAGCCAGTTGTGAGAACTTTTTGTTTCTGTGGTTGTTGAATCGGTTCGAGCTTGTAATATCTAGTATTCAAATGGGCCTTCACTTCGCTTGCCCAATCGTCCTTGCTCATTTTGGAGAGTTTCACGATCCTAAGTTTAATGACATTGGAGTAAATGCTTGGGTTATCTTTTGCTGCCTTTTCTTCCTCGTCCAGAGCCATCGTTACAAGTTCGTTGGGAGATAGAACTAAATACCTATCCGAACTCTCCTTGTCCTTGCCCATCTTTTCATTCTGAGAGGACATGGCAGCATGAAGCTTGGTTACTATGGATAACCGGACACCATGAGGCGCAGGGGCTTTTGTGAGCATGCGAGGATTCAAGCTTTCTTTAGGCGCACGCCTTGGCGGTGGTCGGGATTCCGTCTTTCCCTGTACATTGGTGTTGGGTTTGTCACGTTTTGCTGGTGTTGTTTCTGCACGAGGTGGAGAGACCGGTTTGGATATCGATTTGAGAGTGGGCTTTGCGATACCTTGATTTGCTGGTTGAGGCTTTTTGGCAGCCACACTTGGGGAGATTTCTGTGCGAGCCTTATCTGCACCCCTGGACTGATTTGTCGGGATCACCTTTGGTGCATGTTCCTCGATGGTTGAGTCCAGCTTAATTCGCTTTGCAGCCGAAAGGATCGGCCCATCTGTATCTCGGGATACTACATGTGTATCTCGAGGAGTACCCTGATCGATCAAAGAATGGCCGACAGGCTTGTGAGAGAAGATGCAGGTCAAGAGAGAGCAATGTTGATTCTGAGGACAAGGTACGTCCTTGAACAAACCAAGGGGAGCAAACATTGTGGTATGACAATGAGATAGATCAGACGCAAAAGAGAATTAAATGTCGAATATAATGAGCTTATCGCACCTGATGCTATCATCCAAGTCAGTGACTATCAAATGAGCACTTGGTCAGGTAATACGCCCAGTTTCAAAGATGAACGGTCACAGCCTGATTGAGAACCAACTGATGTTCACTTTGAAATATGGCTTGGGGATACTATCTGATGCAACCTAACCAAGGGGTCATATCCAAGAATGAGCCCGATATAAATGATCGCGTCAGATACGCTTCCTTGTGATCCTCAAGTGAGGTTGCTGCGCCTTGTGACCGACTCAAAGGCTCGCAGTCAGGATTGAAGTCGCGAGAATAATAGTCTTAAATCCCCTGAATCCAGTCAGGTTTGATATATTCACAAATCTCTTTTCTTTGAACTATCAAGCAAAGGCCAAGAGTAAAAGCAAGTCAACAAGTGTTCCTGGAGTTCAGCTGCAGTCGACGTTCTGCTGCAAACAAAACAAACGTGGGTGCCACCTCTCTCAGGCTTGAAATTCAGGCCACAAAGATAAGGGGCATTCTTCTTATCTCAGGCTGCAAAGCGCTTTTAGGTAGCAGCAGATAGAGGGGGAGAGGGGATAAAGCGACCGTCTCGATCCTTTGCTTTTGTCTTCGTTATTTCTGCCTTCCATCGCATCATGGATCTTGACGTCAGGCAACCCGAGACCCCGCCGAAAGCCAACCATCTGTGTGTTCTGGTCCATGGGTCAGTATATAATCTCCGATCGCCACCAATGATGACGTTGTTTGATAACGACTAACGAGAATCAGCCTCTGGGGCAACCCAACACATCTAGACTATGTATCTACATCGTTGAGACAGAGATACAGCGAGGATCGTCTGTATATCCTGGCTGCGAAGCGAAATGCCGGAAATTTCACTTACGATGGAATCGAACTTGGTGGCGAGCGATTGGCGCACGAGATCGAAGAGACACTCGAAGAATTGACGGCAAAGGGATACGATATCAAAAAGTTCAGTATCGTGGGGTATTCCCTTGGAGGTCTTGTGGCCCGATATGCGCTAGGCTTGCTCAATGCAAGGGGATGGCTTGATAAACTTGAGCCTGTCAATTTCACGACCTTTGTGTCGCCGCATGTCGGGGTGAGGACGCCGCTGAAGGGTTTCCAGAATCATATCTGGAATGTCCTGGGGGCGCGGTCTGTTTCCATGTCTGGGAGACAGCTCTTCATGATCGACTCCTTTCGAGATACGAATAAGCCTTTGCTCAGCGTCCTAGCCGATCCGGGGAGTATCTTCATACAAGCGCTGGCGAAATTCCAAAACCGATGTGCCTACGCGAACATTGTCAATGATCGATCTGCCGTGTTCTATACGACGGGTATATCAAGTGTTGATCCATTCAAAAACCTGGACGACATCAATTTGAACTACATCAAGGGCTATGAGCCGGTGGTGGTCGACAGTGATGTGTATTCCCTGCCTCCTGAGACAAAGGAGCCAACACTTCCAGTTTCTGGTATTGGACAGAAGGCCTTGAAAATCCTAACCAATCTGCCATTCTGGCTCTTTATTATTTTCTTCGTGCCTATCGGTGCCATTCTCTTCTTGCTGAACGCAGCCGTGCAGACATTTCGCAGTCGAAAGCGAATCCGCCTTCATGAAGAGGGAAAGACAGATGTTTTCTTTGGAGGCTACAAAGTGCCCGTCATTGTACAAGACGTACGACATGCCATGGAAGACGTCTTTGAAAACGTCAACGCCCGACAACACGCAGAATACCTTTCCGCCTCGACAAACAGTGCTCGACGCAGAACACCAGTCTCTACTAGCGAGAAAGCCAACACAATCCAGATAAAAACCAAGGCACTCGCACAGGAGCCAACCTCGGCCGGCGACTCGCTATCAACATCACCAGCGTCACCAACAGAGATCTGCAGCGGGGATGAAGAAGACATTCTCGCTCTGACGCCCGCGCAATTCGCTATCATCGATTCTCTCAATTCCGTGGGCTTCCGCAAATATCCCGTCTACATCCACAAGCACCGACACAGTCACGCCGCTATCATCGTGCGGATGCCCAAAAAGGGATTCGAGGAAGGTCAAGTGGTCATTAAACATTGGCTCGACAATGAATTCAAGATCTGAGACTTTCAAGTACTTGGCCGGAAAGGGAAAAGAAAGAACCCGCTAACCCCCACTATCCACTATCCACTGCATACTACATTAGTAGTGGGCCAGTCATCGTGACAATGCGGGGAAGACCCGGAAAAGTAAACCACATGGGTAGTGGAGAGGTGTAACTAGCGGGGCTCGGACTATGTACACTTGCACCGCCAGCTGCATACTGGCCGATTTGGTTATATCCATTACCTACGATACTCCGAGCACAGCCTCGTGGATAGGCCAGTTGATCCTAACACACCCTGTTAGTATCAACGCCGGTTCCTGACGGGTTCTCGGCACACCTAGCCCCTCGGACGGCTGCCTAGGTATACCGATGTCTCTCTTTTCCCCCAAAACACGAGGCCTAAAATTAAAATGAAGGAAAAGTGTTACTCCCCCTCCCCGAGACATTCTCGTCCTCAGCTGAATACGAAAGGGTGACATCCTACTCCCGTATTCTCGGGGTGTGACTGTCGTTTTCTTTGCGCTCTGACGTCTGCCTTGCATATCGAAATGTATAATGGGTGCTACTAATCTTGGCCTGCTGCGTGTCTTTCGTCATCTCAGCCTTGTTTATAGATAGATGTTACATTCATCATGCATGTTCTTTTGTTTTTGGAATGGTTGATCATTAGCTTTTACGGCAGACACTGTTGCATATTTCCAAATCATTTAGTATTCATTTCATTTATATTTGACATCATAGATCAGGATTACATGAACCTGAATTGATTCTATCATAGTTTCAAACCGTGATAGACTAATCATAGTAAATAAGGACAAAGTTATAAGGTAAAATAGACAGATCAAGAAGCATAAATAGTCATAAATGGGAATCATATCATGCACAATCAAATGGCATGTGTACAGCAGGGGAAGAATTCTGTGCATGCGGTCGGTATGTAAAGGGGAGGGATAGATGAGAAGAATCTCTAGAATGGGGTGGGATATATAAACAGTAAATAAAGGAAGAATTAAAGGAAAGAAAGAAGATCAGTTGCGGAGCGCAACAGAATCAAGACCAACATCGACCGGTTCATCTTTGTTGGAGATTTCGCGCTCGACGGCAAACTTGACGGCATCCAGAACATTGTTGCATGTTTTCTTAGGTGGGAAGCGTGGAATAGTACCGTCTTGGTAGACGCCGGTCTTGACGAGAAGGGAGTACCAGTTGGCCTCGCTAATCTTGTCGAACTCGTTGGTGCCGCGGATGTCGGAGTCGGGCGTGTCACCTACAAAGTAGACGGTGCGAGGAGGCTTGTTGATTCCGTGGTTATCCTTGCGCCACTGCTGGAGAAGACGGGTGGCGAAGTGATATGTTCCGAGCTGAGGTTTCCCAAAGGCAATGGTGGACAGGTCCTTGCCTGAGATGGCTTTGTAGACGGCCTCGAGGGAGGCCCGGAGGGCACCCATACCAATGCGAGAGTGTTCATGGGAGGTAGACCAGACGACATCGTTGTGGGAGAAGAAGACGGGAGGGCCCTCGTCCATGGTCTCAGAACGAGTACCCAGCCAACCATTCTTGGACATGAGACAGTCGAGAATGATTTGTTGGTCACCGGCCCAATCTCTACTGTCAGCAAAGACAAAGATGGCCTCAATGTTGGAGTGAGAAAAGTCTCGGACTCGCGAGTTCTCAAACTCCTCATCAGTCAATTTCCGGAACGGGGTTGTGTCGTGTCGTGTCTTGATGATATCTCCCGGGGTGACGACATCCTTGAAGCCGTAGCCCTCGGCGACGACACGGCACTTTTCTCCCTCACCACCCACGACAAGCACGGTATTGTATTTCTCGGCCATTTCCCGCATGGGAGTATGACCACAGATGAATTGACCGGTAGAGACGTCCAAATCGAGTTGTTTACTGAGATCAATGCATCGTTCCTCTTCTGTTTTGCCACCACCATTGGTCACGAAGATGTAGGGACTAGAAGATTATTAGCAATCAATGAATTTTTCACCACATTCTTCAGTCTGGGGAAGAACATACACCTTAATGCCATACGGATTTTCACCATTGATGTACTTGAGGGCATCAACGGCCTCAGGAATAGGCTTACCTCCTCTAATGAGGACACCGTCAATGTCAAAGGCCAATGCAAATTCATCCGTAGTGGACACAGCAGGCCTAGAGACAGGGGATGAAGCAAACTGAGGGGAGCCATCCTCAGAGGAGACCTCCTCGTCCAGATGATGCCGGGCATTTTCAATCTCCATGGCAGTATTATTGTCACTCGAGGCCATCAAGTGCTTGGGAGGAAGAAGAACACTAGGACCACCGTAAAGGTCGGCCCGAGAAGCGTCGAGGCTGTCCAGACGACGGGCAGGACGAGCCCCGAAAGGGTCTGTGGTAGCCATGATTGCAAAGAGGATGTGATTGAGTGATCGAGAGGATGTATGTATGTACGCAAGAGGGGCACGATGTGGGTACGGTGGATCAGAGAAGAAGAAGATCGTCAGTAACGAGTACTGGTAGACGATGGCTAGTGTGTAGATTGTTGACAAGTTCAGAGGGACTGGTAGGGTTTATGTATGCAATGCAGATTGCAGTGTCGATGCAGACAGCGAGAATTAACGCAGAGACAATCCCTCGTGAGAGAGTTGATAGGCATGACGGTGCGGGGGCAAAAGGAGCCATTAATATAGCAACATTCCAAGCCCTTTGGCACATCACGACCCTCCTTTGCGATCCGAGCAATCGACTAGAGACGTTGAAAGCAAGCAGACGAAACATTCGTCATCATCCACGATGCCTCATCATTCGTCCTCGCCTCACCTTCTGTATGCTCGAGGGTGGAGGGGACAAGGTTCTCTCCGCCATACAGAACCGTTGGATGGAGGAGGGGCAGATAGGACGGTTGAAACCTTGTATGTCATCCTGGATAGCACGATATTAGTAGGCATAGCGAGAGAGGATAACCGGATTGGACGCAGGATGATAACTGCAACCAGCAATCAGACTGACGTTGTGTTCTGGCGAGAGATAATCGGCGAGACAATCCAGGTGTTGGCAGACAATCAGATTCACTCGATGATTCATCGACAACCAGTTTCCTACCAAGTTTACACAGCCACCCTCGTCCATACTTCCAGGCTTAATAACAGCAATACTCTATAATTTGATATTCATCATTCCCTTCTACTTCCGATTATCTTTCCCGTGATGTTGATCAATCTCGACGTCATGGGCTGCCTCCACCAGGAACAAAACCGAGCCATTACCGGTATTTACGCGAATCCCCCATTCTCGCTGGTGTAATCTCGTATTATTACCGCGCCATCGGTAAACACGCCAGCCACCTGTTCAGCCTTTTCCTGCATGTGATGGCATGGATATATTTCTTTATGGGTGGTAGATAAAGCCTCATATTAAGATGATTCTAAGGTCGTATTCGCGGATTATACATCACTAGAGCTGTATCTATACATTTTGAAAATGGCTGGTGGGAAGGGAATTAATTTACACAAATGTACAATCCTGCCAACAAAGGCCTCGCTGATGTCACCCTTCCAGGTAAGCTAACCCATACTGCCCAGAACGGAAACCAGCGTGCACATCTCATAATCAAGGCTCTGCATAATTCCAAAACTTGATGTGTCAATCCACCCGAATTATCAAGTCGCCTCCTCGTCTGGACGGTGTTAGATTATGCTCCAAAGGCGACTGCCTTTTTTGGCCCTGTGGTGTCATCGGTTTTCTTGGTTCCCTGGGTCCCATAGGCCGGCTAGGTGACGTCTGGGGGATTTCCTGTGATGATGAACTACTGCTTGGGTCTGTCCAGTAGTCCTCTGGTGAGTATGGAACGGTCAGTTCCTTGGGTTGTGGCTTGCCTCGGTGTATCTGCACTCGCTTGATGTCGTTCTGTTTCACAATTCGAGGTCTGGACACAATTTCTTGGGCTGGGTGGATGGAGCCCGGTATCTTGGGATACTGTACAGGTGATGGACCGCGCGAGGTCGATTTGTTGTTGTGGTTGTTGTCTCGAGTGTTCCTCGGACTCCCTGACGGTGTTCGGACTTCTCTCAACGGACTAAGCGGCTTGAAGTTCCCACTATGCCGAGTGGCCGACGGAGGTCCAAGGTTCTCGTTTATATCGACCGTTTCGAAGCTGGTCTCCGATCCACCTGATAACCGATCGTTCCTACCGGAGCTATGGAATGAGCGACGAGCAGCACCATGCGATGATGGTCGTCCGTTCGTCCTACTACATCCAACGTTGGGATCCTGCCAGTACTCTCTAACGTAGTCTCGATCCCACGACTGCCTGCGAGGCGACTGGCTTCCTTGGCTCCCGCATATAGCAGCCTCACGAGAATGCTGAGACTTTCCTTCGGAATTGATATAAACCGGTTTCATCGGATTGGCTTGAGTTTTCTTGGCCGGCAAGAAACGCTGTGCCCCGTCGAAACCGTATAGTAATGCACGAGGATTAGCAGGTAGACCCGCCCTCCGCATCTGAGTGTATTGCCTATTTTCATTCCCGTACCCCGTGAAGCTTGAGAAATTTGTATATCCATTCGGGGCAGCAAAAAAGTTTCTAGGTATTGGTTCATAGTCGTCAGGCCCGAATGCACCACTTGACGGTCTCGAATACTTTGGACGACCCCATCTGAGAGGCTCCGGGTATAGCCATGGCCTGTCGGGCAGCAAGTCGGACACCGTTCGATACGATGACTGGCTTCCCTCGAACTCGGATTCAGAGGATACTGCAAACCCGATATGTTCCGGTCTTTCAAACTCTATGAGACTTTCGTGATCATTTGGCGCAGTAACAATCACAGGTGGAACTTGAGGTCGGGGCGAAAATGGTGACATCAACCTTGTCATCTCGGGATCCCTACTCGATCCGCCGAGGTAAGGCTTAGGACCCGGGGTCGGAAGCCTCCTAGGAGGTCGACCGAAATCAGGAGGCTCTGACATGACGCCCCCGATTTCAAAAAAGTCCCGGTTCTTTGCTTCTTGGTGTTTGCGCCTGATTCTTCTGCAACAGAAGAACAATCCAACTCCAATAATGAAAAAGCCAGATACACCTGAGGCTACCGAAACACCAATCACTGCGCCTGCATTGAGATTATGAGAGGGCTCTCCACTGGGGGTTGGAGTAGAACTATCCGGTATTGGTTGGTCGCTGGTTGCGCTGGTGTTGCTTGCTGTGCTAGTTGTGCTGGAGGGTGTTGATATCGGACCAGTTACCGATAATGGAGCTTCAAAGCTGGTGACGAAAGCAGAAGTACTAGCAGATGTGACTTCAGGCTGCGGCTTTGCAGTATCTGTAGTCGAGGTGGAGGTAACCTCCGTCTGCGTTGCTGAAGTTGTTTCGGACAAGGCCGTATGAGACGCAGTGGACATAATGGTGGCGGTGATTGTAGCATGTGTATTCGGTAGAGCTCCTGCTACCGAGTCGCAAATATTATAAGCATTCGAGCTTAGTGTCACATCCTGGGGACAGTACGAAAGCGCGCACCGCAAAGCTGCTTCCCCCAAGGTATAGCCACTTGCTGTGCTCGTCCTGCATAGACAGTCGAGGTCCGCCCAATCAGAACATGACCCTGTGGGATAGTCCGTCTCTATGTATGTTGTAACACAAGCTGATGCGCAACTTGGTATAGTATTCGATAACGACGTTGGGGCTGCTGCTTGTGTCTCTGTCGAGCTACGCGCGAGGCATAGTTGAATTAAGAGGAGTACTGTAACCACCCATCGAGCAGAAGAGAGCATATTGCTGCAACCTTGAACGCATGTTAGAAGATGTCTTCCAACCCCCAAATACATGGCATTGAAATGTCCAGATGAATTATTGAGGCACAACTCACCTTGATTAATCCTATAGAGGAAAGACTACCTCTGGTACCTTGAGCATCTGAAAGAAATCATCATAAGGAGTCTGGGAAGAATGAGAGAACAAAAATTGGTGTTTGGCAATCGACAAGTCTGAATAGTATTGATTCAAGCTATATGACACTGACAAACAAAGAAATGAAACAGAATCAGAATATTGAAAAGGGCACAAGCCAGAGGGGATAAAGCAGGCTGGAAGCCGCCCTTGAGAGATCATCTTGCTATTCCGGGCATCATTAGATTCTCCTTCAACGTGGCCGTGGCGATGACTGGCTGGACAATGAAAGAACCAGATCTGAAACGCAGATCGGCAGGTGTAATCAGTATACGCGCCCTGATGAAACCTGAAGACATGGCCGTCAGCAAAAAGCAATCGGAATAACAGGGACAATGTCTAAGGTGGGAATTGTAGGCGCCGTGGTTTGGGGCGATGAAAGGCAGTGGAGGAGATACGCGCCGGGTTGGCGCTGCAGATGCGTGATGTCAGGTCAGGTGATCCCCTGCTCATCCCCCATCGCTTGTGTTTTCCAATCAATTGCCAATGGCATGCTTAATTTAGAAGATCGAGTGGTTTAAGTTTAGGTCGAAATCCTTCGGCAATCAAGCGCCATAGGGCCAACGCATCTTCTAGTAGTACGGAGTAGCTGCCATGATATCGAATCAGGCCATTGCAGGAAAAAGAAAATATAAAAGATATCAATAGAATCTTGTCATTGCCATCAATCATTAAAACTATAATCACTGACAACGAAAACAAAAAAAAAAAAAAAAAAAAAAAAAACAAGGGGCCCAGTGTCACAAATGAGCTGGTATCATCCGAACAGCAAAAACATAAATGATATCACGAAAGCAAAGAAAACGCCGTAAAATCACGGTCTTCGAACATCGCAACTGCCTGTTGGTTGCCAAGCAGTGGGGTTGCATTAGGCTGGGCCCGGTCGGACCTCCACGGAAGCATATGGACGACGCATGTGAGCGACATCGCCAATGTTCAAAGGGTAATTAGGTGGTAGATATTGATCGTTTTCCAATCGAGACGGTACTCGAAGGTCAAGGACAGCGGAAGACGGAGTCGCGCGTCGTCTAGTACTTTAATATAATGTAGCTGTTGAAATCATACAGTTAGCGGTCGACCTTGGGCAGCCATGAATCAGACATGGATACATACAATGCGTGGATGACACCAGGAATCCAGCCCAGGATGGTCAAACAGATGTTGATAAGGAAATCAGCGCCACATCCGCGCTCCAGGAAGACACCCAGAGGGGGCAGGATGATGGCAAAGATGATTTTGCAGATGTCACTGGACACAGATGTTAGCGGTGAACCAGATGAAATCGATGCGACAGAACTGAGCAGAGGCCGGCAGTGCGAAACTGCGAATCCAGCGCGACCGACCGACCGATCCGCCAGATCCCGGGGGAAAGACTTACGAAGCAGTGAAAGGCATTTTGAGAGATGGAGACTGAGACGGGTAGAATCAGAAGGTGGAAGACAAATAGATGGAGCTCGACGGTCTAGACAAAGACTTGGATGGAGGAGAGTAGGTAGGATAGAATAATTGACGGAGCAGAAGAAGGAGGAGGAGGGTTCTTAAACGGTCTGGGGGGTCCAGTGACTCCTGCTGCTAACTTAATGCTGGCCTTAGTGCTACCCTAATGGTTAATAGTACCTTATGGCGGCTACGTCATGATTCCACCGGCTGTGGCTCATGTCGTCGCCCCGCCCGCTGATTGGCCTGGGCCGCCCATCGTCCCTCTTGGATGTTCCGCTGCCCTGCCCGACTTGGCCAGGGAAATTGGCATCTTCGTCATGATTATCATCAGACCAGGACTGTTTTGAGGTCAAACCGACGTCTTTTTCTCGTTCCTGTTTTTCTCTTTCATCGCTCATCCTTTGTTTCCAGCCAAAATCCCTTCTTGGCGCTGGCCAGGCAAGGGATTTGTTCTCCGATGTTTTCTTTTTCCCTCCCAGATTTATTTCTCTGCCTGGAAAAGCTTGGCATCCAAGCCACGGGAAAAGCTGAACCGCCGCCACACTAGGTAGCAGACAAAAAAAGTGTTTCTATATTGGTGACCAGGCAGAATGAATAGAGTCGATGTATGTGATTGAAGATCGTCTCATCTCGTGGTGGATAGACCGTTAAACAGTCCCCATGCACGAAAATACTACGACTGTATTCTGTAAAAGTGGACAGAGTCTAGGCGTGTCATGCGAATCTTCAGGTCTCGAGGCTGTGGGCCACACAGCCTTACAGCCCTATGCTGACAACACATGCCTCCACCAGAGTCACTATTATAGTGCTAGATTCTCGATAGCTACGGAGTAGTCCGTAGCAATGATATATTAGGAATTATTTCCGATATGTTTTTTGCCTTATATCTTGGCTGTAGATTGATGCATAATTAGATTACTGTTCATATGAACCCGAGTTATGATCTACGTCATAGGTAGTGACGATGACTTGGACATACATCATCGCGCATCCATTAATCAAATCCTTTTTAGCATTCCAGGAGTGATAAGACGATAGTCATCATAATACTGGATTCTTAGCTGTGGTTCATAGTGATACTAGTTATTCTACCAGAGATATTACTGCTGAACATACAGAAAATCTATAGTTGAACAAGAGCACATGACCTTTCTAACAACCAAATAATCGCAAATAGCCAAATATACACCGATGATAAAACCTCAATGTTGTCCAACACAAGTTGTCGAAACAATGTTTTCAACTCTTCCAGAACTGCAAGTCTTGGCGATCATTCAAACTCCGCCCGAGTTGCTCTCCGCATGAAAAAACACCGGCTCTTCCCCCTCGACCACCACAGCTTAACCACCCAAAAAACTCGACAATCGGCCATTCCTGGACCTTGATTGTCCATCTCCATGCTTCCATGTCGATAATATCCGGGCGCGTCCCGATCTCCATGCCACCACGATTGGCCGTCAAGCCGGCTTCGCGGCTGCTGCTCAGTCAATCGCAATACAAAACGAGCTCCCACCTACGCAGGTCTAGCTTCGGTCTAAGATGTTTTGGCTCGCAAAGGAAGACAGTCCTTGATGGCAGCTCCTTTGCCTACACATGGCTCACGAAGACGCCTGAACAAATTGTAATGCCTCCATGATTCCCGTACAGTCACTAGCTAACTGTCTACGAAGACACCAGATGACGTGCTTTCGAGTATCCCTCCTATCCCAGCTTCCTTAGCAGAGCCAGGAAACGTTCCCGTTCTTTTCGTCACTCCAAGTTTCGCTCCGTGGATTGATCCCTCCGGTGAATTCCTTGAGCAATGGATGAACCGACTCTTTCACAATTCCCCCGATTCCCGTTCGGCACCCCTTCATGCGATCGCAGCTATCATCGATCGAATCCCTGATTCCCGTGTGCCTGGAAATGGAATACTTGAATCAGAGGGTCTGTCCCTCATGTTCGTGAAGGAAGAGAACATCCAAGGAAAGGCCGCTCCGCCTCGTCGTATCAGGAGCACAGGATCTGAGGAGTCCGCTCTCATATTTTCAGTCCAAGCCGGGGCACCAAACCGTTCTGGAGATGCAGTTCATAGACCAATCTATGAAGTGGGACTACGCCTTGCCAACACCATATTCATCAACGGCAATGAGAATACCCTTTTTGGAATGCGCTGGGCTCTTGACTCTGTTTCAAACAAACTGAGCCTAGACCAGTCCATTGATCTTACAAACTGTGTCCTGAATACATCCGCCAACTTCGTGCACGACAAATTCGAGCTTCCACTACACCCCGTCAGTCAGCGAAGAAAGGTTGTATCCAGTATGGGTAATATTTTGCGTCAGGTATCGAAATCTACCGATGGAAATTCAAAGGCCCCGATGCCGGCTTCATCTGAACTGGAGAAGGAGCTCCCTCGCTACATAGCTGAGCACAACATTGAAGACCGAAGGGTTTCTGTTTGGGCACTGGTTGAGCGGCCTGATGCTGATGCTCTAAATGAAACCGATTCTGCGCAAGATCGCCTGGACAAGGCCATTCGGGCTGGTGGAAAACTTCACCGCGTGATGAGCGGTGGAGGTGGATGGGGCAAGAAGCAAGGTCTACTTTCTCTGGACCCAGAAATCAGGTTCTTGACCACGGCCGACCAAGGGAATCTTTTGGTTCTGAATAATCTGTTTGATCCAAATGCAGACACACTGCCGGGCTTGCCTCCGTTGGACAAGGGATTGATAATCGATGATCTATCCCTTCTCTCCCAGGTTGCCAGAGAGGATGACTACATTCAGTTCTTTGTCTCGGTAGAGCCAAAGTTGGATCAAAATGATGCGTTACCAAAGGTCCAAGAAGGAGCCATCTCGTGCCATTTTGGTGTCTTGTCTGACCCTGAGATACTCGAGGAGTCTGTCGATAATATGGCCCAGATAGATTTGGCCGCGCTCCCTAACTACTTTGGGGCATTATCGGAAAAAGCAATCACATACTTGCAGCCCGTCATCGAGGCAGAGGGAGAGATACTAGAATCTGGCACTAAACTTGATGTGCCTGGATCGAGAGTGGACCTAATAGTTGCGTGATCTGAACCTGAAGGCTACTATACTGTATAGTTATAACCAGTGTTTAATACAACACCTGTTGATGCAAATTTATCTCCATTAATCTCATCGTAAACGACGTCAGCTTCATGGACGGCACGGCGCCAAGACCGATCACGTGTCAGCACTTGTGGTGGTTGAGCCTCCCCGAAGCAACCAGCGTGTTGAGTGTCGCCTCCAACCTCTCCATCTCCGTCTCGCACCCCCAGCAGCCTTCGCATCATCGGAACAGTCGTCTACGCGGCATTTGCTATCTGGTCAAGCTCTGCTCCCCTCTTTATAGCTTTATCCGTTATTATCGGTTCCCTTCGAGTCCATTAAATCTGTCAAAATGGCCACCGAACTTTGGTACGTACTCCTCGGACCGCTCCTTTTCCGACTACCTTGACCTGCCATTTATCATGATTTTACCCATCAAAAAGGCTCTCTGGAGCTATTTGCGATACCTTGCGCTAACTTTTCCTCTTTGATAGCCCCGTCTATGCGGTAAGTCTTGACATGTCTTAATTGCCTGGTTTCCGAAGCTCTGTCCTACGAACATCGACTGCGTCCCCGCCCGGTTCAGCCCGTCGAGCGATATCTTCTCCAAATGAACCATATTCTAACTGACGCTTTGCGATGTAGCCCTTCTTCGGTGCCCTGGGTTGCACTTCCGCTATTGTCTTCACCTGCTTCGGAGCCGCCTATGGAACCGCCAAGGCTGGTGTCGGTGTCTGCGGAATGGCCGTCCTGAGACCCGACCTGATCGTTAAGAGTACGTTGGAAGCCTTCAAGATATCATCTGCAAATCTACATTTCGCAGATGGGCTCGATCATAACGGTTTTCTGACTTGATGTTACAGACATTGTCCCCATTGTCATGGCGGGTATCATCGGTATCTACGGTTTGGTCGTTTCGGTCTTGATTGCAAACGATTTGAACCAGAAGGTTCCTTTGTACACAGGGTTCATTCAGTTGGGTGCGGGTCTTGCCGTCGGTCTCGCTGGTTTGGCAGCTGGGTATGTTGGACCGCGAATTCTCCGCTATGATCTTTGAAACTAATTCTTTGATTCGCAGTTTTGCCATTGGTATTGTTGGAGACGCAGGTGTCCGTGGAACAGCTCAACAGCCCAGACTTTACGTTGGAATGATTTTGATTCTCATTTTCGCTGAAGTTTTGGGTAAGTCAACGCATCCTTCTTGGCCTTGACCCTTCCGAACATTTCTAATTGAATACTTCTTCCAGGTCTGTACGGTTTGATTGTTGCTCTTCTGATGAACTCTCGCTCGAGCATTGATGTCCAATGCTAGACGAGCCACTCGCCATCTGAACAACCGTCAAGCGATACTGCGTATCAATTCATTCCATGACAACCATGGATTGAAGCCCGGTTGATCAGGAATATTTTCTTTGGTATAGTCCTTGATCGTTCGTTTTCATCCGGGATGGTGACCTCGTCTGTCATCTCCAATAGCTAAGACGCGGAGTTTGGAACGGAGGAGCTTTGACATATCTTTACTTTCTTATAAATGGACCAAGAGTTATAACGCGGCTGTGTTTGTTGGGAAACGGAGCTGTAGACTAGCACGGGTTAGTGGATGGATGTGGTAGATACATTGCATGGCCCAAGGTCCGCGTGGAACTTGTACTTTATGGGAGTCGCTGATCCTGGACTGGATCGATTTACATTGCAATGCTGAAATGTCTGTTTTTTTGTCTTTTATAATGCGTGCGCTTTGCCTGTCTCTTACCTTGTTTTTTGTTATTTCGGTCTTGCATTTGATATGATATCGCAAACGATTCGAAGTCATGAACCTTTTCTCTCTATTGTAGAACAGTAGTGCCTACTCTACGTAGCAATTAAGATGGTGAAGGAGATTCAAAAAAAATCTATTCAGTATTCACTGTGCAGGGATATGCAATTGAATATAGAAGCTACTAAGCCAGATAACATCAAAAAACCCAGGCCGACGGCTTCTAATATCAGAGTATGTTATGAAAAAAATAAAATAAAACAGGGTAAATAGGTAAGTTAAGAGGGTGTCAAAAAAGAGAACGGTGATGCGGATATCTAAAGATGTAACTGTAGTGGCAACACGATTTGATTAAGCCTTATCCAGCTTCCGTCTCAGGGTTCTTGTCTTCCGCAAGAGCTTCTTGAACTTGTGCTTCTTCATCTTCGACTTGCGCCGTCTCTTCGTGCTGATGGCGTGCATGGTGCGGTTGTTGCGGAGACGCTCGATGTAGGTGGCGCCCGAGTTGGTGGGGAGCTCCTCGATGGCCTCGTTCTCCATGACACCGGGGGCGTCCATGTCCTGACTACGGACGAAGGGGGTGGTGTGGGCCTCGTATGTCTTGCGGCCATCGGCGTGGGTAGATTCGTGGATGGTCAGGACAGTCGAGTAGCTGGTGCCCTCGGGCTCGATGGCCTGGTGGGCATCCTTGGCCTCGTCAAAGGGGACCGGGGGCGGAGGGGGGTGGAATGGGCGAAGACGCTTTGTGAGCTCATCAACGGAGATTTTGAGGTCGCCCAGGTTGATTCCGTCGAGGTGGGCACCATCCATCTCGAAATTGGAGCCTCGGGTCAGGATATTCGACTCATCCTGTTCCATGTTCTGGGCCGAGCCCTCCATGGTGTCGACTGCGGAGGAAAGCGTGAAGATCACATCGTCCGCTTCATTCTTTGTCGACCTCTTGGAGAAGATGGAGTCGAACGTTTCTGCGCTCGAGGTCGGGGGGACAGTGGTAGAGACGGAGATAGGACGGTGGATGGAGAAGAACGAAGCTACATGGACATCTGCAACAAAGAAAAAAGTCAGTCACAGTCGCAATAACAGATCAACATTAGAAGTAGTGAAAAATCTTTTGCCCTCTCTCCTTTCATCTCAAATAGGTTGACTTACCATGCGGCTGTCGGTGCTGAGTTGAGGGAACACTGGGAAGGTTGGAAAAAGCCGACTGCTGGCTCGACTTTTGCCGAGCATTGCCATCCTTTCCCCTCCGTCTCGAGGCCTTGCCCTCACGCTTCTCCCCAGAGTTGACACCCTTCGCAGGAGTCTGGGAAGAAGCATCTATCCTGGAACCGTCGCTAGGCTTCGATGAGGAAGACGAGTACCGGCGTTGGCGGACATTCTGATTCGTCGCGCCGAGAAGACCACTGGAGGAAGAGGAGGCAGCAGCAGCGGCGGCAAAGCCCTGCGTAGGCTGGCGAGATACGCCGGAGATGGGCACGATGGGTGCCCACGCCGCCCGGCGTAGAGAAGATGATAACATTCCGACGACGTAGAACCCCGACTCTGAGAGAACGAAGGTGTTGGGGATTGAAGTCGGTCGGTTGGAGTCGTCGGAGGCGAAATCGAAGTCGAACCGGAATCGGCGTCACTGATCATGCGGTCCGGTTAGGTAATCAGACACCTAAGGTTTCCACGCACATGGCTGCGTCGTATGGACTGATGACACCATTCCTAAGTAAAAATTCACGCGTGATAAAGAATGACTAAAAATTAAGGTAGATGGATTAATATATGTACAATGGCATTATGGTATGACTGGTATATATGCATAAACCGAAAGAATTCTTGCAACATCTTGAAATCGGTCCACCAATACATAGAAAACGCTTCAAGTCAACACTAATGCGTCCGAGAAAAGAAAAGAGGAAAAGACAGTGAGAAAAGTGAAAATGAAACAGAAAGGAAAAGCAAAAACGAAAAGGAGTATGATGAGATCGTTAATATAAGAGAAAAACATGCAGAGACAAAACATGTGGTATCACTGCATTGCAAAGACAATGGCACTCAGCATAAGCTTTTATACAATATAGTGACAACGTAGCCGAGAGTCAAATATTGACTCTATCAAGACGCTTCATAAAACTGACAAAGATATATAAAATGTAGAAGGTAGAAGGTTAGTAAAGGAGAATGCAATAAAGAAAAGAAGGAACGCTTGGTCATGCAATGCGAAATGGTAGGCTGGAAGAAAGGAAAATCCTGCATCTCATGCTAGCGGTAGGTGGGCTCTCCAGGTATAGCTCTGCCTTATAGTATTAATGTATGCAGGTTCTTCTGGATGATCATGTCTTGGACCGAGTCCATGGTCGCCTTAAGCAAGGTGGTGTCTGTGGCATTAGTATAGTGGATGTAGATTTCGCGATCTGGTATTCGGTTGATGCCACGGAATCGGTCGGCGAAATATCTTGCAGCAGCGTCAAAATCTGTATCGGAACCGCTGTAATCTGGGAAGTGCTTGGAGACAGGCGAAACGGCGAGTTTCCCCTTGAAAAGATCGATCTTGTTCAGGAACAGAATGATCGGCTTGCGTTTGAACCACTCGCCGTTGACCAGGGACTCGAAGAGCATCATTGCTTCGTGCATTTGGTTCTATTTCAAGGTCAGAGTTTCTCATTTAAAGGAGAGCTGATTTCATGCACTTACGGCGTTTTGATCCTCAACCAAACACTGGTCGTAACCAGATAGTGCCACCATGAAAAGAAGACATTGGACACCCTCGAAGCAGTGAATCCACTTCTTTCGCTCTGACCGTTGTCCACCAACATCCATCATTCGGAAGTTCATCTGTCCAAGCTCAAACAGGGTTTCCGTAATACCTGTTGTCCGCAGACGAGCCTGAAGCATATCCTGATTGTCCGGAAGCCACCCTGTCGCAAATATCCTATCGAGTGAATGGAAAAAGCTAAAGGGGTCAGCACATATTACAATGCAATCGACCATCAAAACTCACTAATGCAAATTATCGTTTAGAGCAAATTCATGTCCTCGGGCAACAGCTTTTTGTACACCCGAATCGTCCCACATCTCTCTCATAGCATCACGGACCTTGAGGTCCGTGAACGCCTCATCCGAAGGAAGGTCGGGGTCCGATTTGTCTATCAGCTCGGCCAGTGGCTATGTAAAGAAAACGATTAGCCAGATCCACAAAATAAACGGCTCCAAATTCAATTCACCTTTGTCGACTCCTTCTCGAAAACGATATTCTCTGCGCGCATAATGTCCAACAAGACCTTGAATGCAATGACAATGTTGGAGTAGATGACTGCGCGAGTCTGGCGGCGTTCATCTTCCGGGAAACCTCCGGCATGGATGATTCGCATTTGTTTAATGATGGTGGACTTTCCAGATTCTCCGGCACCTGGTGGAATTAGAATTGGCCTTGTGGGCGGCAGTAAAGCGATAGACTACGTACCAAGTAGGAGAATCTTGATTGTTCTGTCCATGGTCTTCTTGTCGGTCTTCAAGATCTTTTCTATCCTGGCGCTGCGCTGCACCGCATCCTTCTCTGCCGGGTCAACCGGTTTTGAGCTCATGCAACCCATAGTGTATTTGATTAAAAAAAGAACGATAATAGATCTCTAAAAGAAGATGGTTAGTCGAGATCGGTGGAAATACAGGTCGCATTTAAGTGAACATCGGCACCATGGCCGCCATCTTCCGAGGCTGAATCAGGGATATGAACGAGCGACCATTCAAAAAGCCATCCTCAAGACACATGCAATGCAACCCCGACTAGCTCAAAGATGGACCATGCACATGCATTATAATTTCCAACAAAATTATTAAACAAAGGGAAGGGGAGGGAAACACCCACCTAGAAATAGACAGGTCACGAAATTTCCAGACGATCCGCACTTCTAACCGCGGGGAGGTGTAAGTAACGAGGTTGAGCGAACCTGCGATTACCCCGAACGATGTATCTACAGGGTGAAACAGGAGCAACACCCGACGGATGGATGAGACTTGTGAGGGTCTAATCCGTTTCTAATCTTTGGTATCCTGCAATATTTCTCGGGAATTTCCACAATTGAATTTCCCGACGAACCCAAAAGAAATAATTTCCACGAGACAGCACAGCTGACTCTGCAAAACCCCGTAAATATCGTGTGTAGGACGTCAAGTCGCAGCAATGTGTAGAACGAGGTACGATCGAGCAGAGCGTGGAGGTAAAGGCCGATTGCAGAACCCGAGTGGTGTCTACAAGAGAACGAGGGGGATGAAAGGCGCACAAGGTTTCCTGAACCGGCACCGACGACGTTTTTTTTTTTTATTTTTGTCGAATTCGAGGACGAGTGAAACCGAGGGGAAGGTAAGGTAGAGGGATAGATAGAATTAATTGACCTAGTACTGTCAAAGCGGTCGGGATCGAAGGAGGAACAGGGCGTAACAATCCAGCGACTGGAGGTTGAGAAAGGAAGAGAAGAGGGGAGAAGGAAGAAAGAAGGAATCTCGATCGCATCAGTCAGAGGAGGAATAGAGAAATGGGAGGTGGTAGTAGTACATCTCTGCCGTCCCACAACAGAGACGAACGATCAAACGGAACAGATGGACAGACACAAGCGGGGAGGAGGCCGGATGGATCGTAGTGCCGCGCGATTAAGGCGTGGGTTGACCTAAGTTGGGTATATCCAGTCCGATCGGGGAGGAGAGTATTGGATAATAATATTAGTAGTTATTATTATTTGCTCAAGAGAATGGGATAATATTAATTAATTAGTTGGTTCGACAGGTTAGACCCCGTTTTCCTACCTGAATCAGAGGGGAGAAAGAGATGAAGATGCGAAAAGGAAAGCGGCGGCAGTTGAGGAAGACGACTTTGGGCTGTTCCAGGAATCATCCACCGACGATCCTCAATCCCACTCCTAGGAATTCTGAGTGTTATTATCGTTGTTGTTGTTATTATTATTATTATTATTATTATTTTCTTTGTCTACTTCTTCTTTTACCACTGACAAGTGGAATCACGGCAGTCTATGCTTTGCCGCTTCTTGACTTGAACACCAGGTGGCTCCAGCTAACAGAGGCACTCTGGATAGACACGAGTTCTAGCGTTTCTCCCCCCTTTTTCCACGAACATGGCCATGTGTCGGAAGAGAGATTCTATTTCTTCTCTGGGTATTTCCCCTTCTGAGCGACGCAACCGAACGCCACGAGGATGCATTGGCATGCAGCGATCGACGGGCATTTGCTTAAGCCTGACTTGTCGGGGAACCCGAATGGTGCGAATCCCGCATAGAGTTCGTTGATAGTAGCCCGACTAGTTGTCTGTAGGTACATCTACTACTGATCCGAGTTTCTTTTTTTTGCGATGATAATTTCTTTTTCTCTCTCCTCTACTACTATGGCTACTCTACTAGTTATCATTCACATCCATGATACTTCTGTATAACCGAGGTCAAGTAATCATAATGACATTAGGTATGGACTAAACTTCTGCCAGACAGGGGTCTGAGCATCCTGACTGGTCCACGCCGGACGCTAGCCCGAACCACATGTCACGGGACTCTCGGTCGATTTGCCCGTCTGAGAATGATATTTGTCTCTGCATCATCTCATCTATCAGATAACTCATATTATTTCCTGCAGACACTTGAATGATGAATGATACATCATAGACTGCACACACATAGATCCATCATCAGGGGTATTTGACCCGGTAGTGGGGCGGTCGGGTTCAGGCCTTCCGGTTTCATCTTTGGGCGCCGTCTTGGGACTAAAGCAGGGGCTGTCAGCTTTTAGATTCTGAATAGTCTTTTCGCATCTTATCAGTGAGTCTATCCATTGTCGACATGATGCCTACAGAATACGAAAAGTCTATCATAAAGAAGAATACGGAGTACTTGTAATTCAATAATAATAACAATACATACGGAGTAATCAATAATACCTATTACTCCGTCGTCCGTGTGTACATACTCCGTGCTCTGGAGTACAGAACAGGACCAGCACCGAACCACCAACCATACTGGATTGAGTTATTCTCCGAATCCCATCCATTCGGACTTGACTCGGACATCATTCCTACATCGTCCATAGTAAATGGTTCATCGCCCATTTTTGTTATTCCTGGCAGCCACTGTACCCGACACACTGATCAGCCAGATCAATAGTCTGGACTTGCGCGATCCATGGTTCGTGGGATGCCAGCTGATCTGGACAGCCGACAGTGGGATGCCAAAGTACTGATGATTCTGATGATATTGTTACTAATAAGCTCTTCTCCACTGAATGTCCGCTGTCCACCTTAATATAACCGTCTGTCGCCTAGTAAGGCTATAAGTCAGAAGTACCTCTTCCTTGGTACTTTAACCCGCATCCACAAATCCACATAACGGCCTTTCCTGGATTCCACAAAAAACTCGCGTGGCATGGTCACCACTTCGGGTCCCATTTCCTCTCTCCATCCCTCTTGATTGGCTTCATCTACGCTGGCTATATTACGATACACCACTTTGGTGGACTTTTCCCACTTTGGATGGGCCGATCATTATTATTATCGGCATTTCTTCACCCTTTTCGGCATATGGCGGATTAAGCCATCTGGCCGATACTACACCGTAAGATGAACATAAACACTGAAGATTGAGCCAAAAAAAAAAGTACGGATTACGGACAGACGGCAATGATCAAGTCAACAAGATGAGTAAATGAATTGAAACCCCGATGGCTCACCTCCACCCGGACCGTGGAACCGTCAAATAACCTGGGTTGAAAGGTCCCGATCGACATTTGCATCTCCTCTGTCGTCGTAGCAGATGCGATAGTCACTGATTACCTCCTTAAACTCAAATGTCCTCCTCTACTTTATTTGCTGTAGACTGTCACTACTGGCCCCAACGGGAGCCGCTGTTCCATATCTAATCCCGGTGTATATCATGAACCATATAGTTGCCCCTGAGTATCTACAACTTTATGTATGTCGATTGTCGTCGAATGCCCCAAAAAGTTCTCCTGAATTCTCTGTTCTAGACATGGTGATTTCTACGAGTACCTACAGAGTATTTTAGTGTTAGATATCTCCTATCTTGTCGGGCTATTGTCGAGCCAATTGACATAAAGTTCGACAGCTCCCAGTCTGCTCATAGCCTCGTGGAACTATTTCAATTCTGGTGATATTAGGCTGCTCACATAGCTGCCCAACTCTATAAGGGCAGTGCGCTTTGCATTTCACCGAATAAAGCCTATAGTTTATCCAATATGTTTGCAGAGTCTTATGAACATACTGAAATACAATACCTTTGCAGCAGGCATATATTTATACCAGCATAGCTGATGCAGTCAGTTGTGATTTTTGGCTAAGGATCACCAAGCCCCCAAGACCCAGACAATAAACAAGTTTGTTCATTCCATGCCAAATTTGAAATTAGAATGGATTCAATATATCTATGAAGAGTTATCTTTGTCAAATGGAAGTGTATGACGGACCATTCCAGATATAGAGAGCGATGCCCTGGAATACTAGATAGGTGGGCTTTTACTGGTAGCCAACGGTGTTTGGTATGACTGTTACAGTGTTCTCGTTTTATTAGCCTCAACAGTATTAGACACTCAAGAATGAAATGAGGTCACTAACAGTAGACCGATCATTATGAAAGCTTTGATGGACCATCTTTCTCAATGCTTGGTTCACAAGAAAATCTCATCATTTGTGATTGCTAGATAGCTTAATGTAGAAGAGATGTCTTTCCAACTAATACATCAGCTCTGCATATATTCGAAAATGCGTAAATAATTGCTGCTTGTAGTAATACGGACCATGTTCTGACAATCATTGCATCTATATATATCGAGGAGACAGGAGCAGAACAGTCGGATTTCTCTTAAACAAAAGAACATATATATTGATCATTGACAAAGCCACTACAACCTTCGACAACTGTGCAACAACCATATCATATCATTGCTGCATTGTTGTGATGTATGCTGTTGCACTGCCAAGCAGAACCACTGGATGAGCCAAATCGACATAAAGTTTAACGGCTGTGGGGCATCACCATGTCTTTGTCTCACAGAACAAAGAATCATCGTCAGTCTTGCAGCGCTTTGTAGATTGAGTAATATGGAGCATATCTACAACCTGGTATCCTAGTAGCAATTGTTATTAATACTGAAATACCTAGAATACATTGATTCAATTCTGATGCTCAACGTAGGGAGTTTATGTATACCCAACTCGACATGGTCTGTTGTCTCATCTGCAGCAAGTCTTCTAATACTTTAGATACAATGATAGTATCGCAAAATAGATACCACTGCTATGTTCTAATCATCCCACATTCTGTAGTACAACGAAAGTTTAATAGTTCAGCATATGAGAACTGGCTGACTCATCCTGCATGAGCATGTGACGCCATCACCTGTGTCCTCAACGACAAACCACTCACCTTCGTTCCTTCATCAGGGGATTGGTGTGCTGGAAAGATACCCTGACTCTGCTTTTTATATCAGTACTATATACTTCTATCCTTCTACTATTATCTCAATTGTGTGTTGAGTCAATTGTGTCATCACTCGGCACAGAAGATGCCTAGCCCATCCCTTAGGTGAGCTCTTCCATTGGTCACTTTGCGGTATGATGCTGATGCTTCCAACAGCCAGGATGAGTTCGAGGGCGACTCTCTTTTAAAGGATACGTCGTCTTTCGATTACGAGAAGCGCCTGCCTCTCTCGAACGATAAGCCTTGTGGCAATGGCCGTTGTCGCTGGAAAGCCATCCGTCATAGGTACCAGGGAGCTTGGCCCTCTCTGATTCGGTATACGGTATTTGCTATCTTGTCGTTCACTTCTGCCGCCTATTACTTCTGGAGAATATTGCCCGGTATGTTTTTCTGCCCAATCGACAGCGATTCTTCCTGACAGACCCTATATCAGACAATCCATCCGAAACCGTTCCCCCACATCCCGTGACACCTTCGGTCTGCGAGTCACCTGAATGTGTACACGCTGCATCGGAAATTCTTTATAGTCTCGACCCAAACCACTCCAACATCGATCCTTGTACCGATTTTGATCAATATGTCTGTGGAGGCTGGAGAGAACGCCATGATATGCGTCCCGACCAGGGATCCATCTTTGCTGGAACCTACATGTCAGAAAACGCCGAGACCCGACTGCGTCACATTTTGGAGTCCTCTGAAGCTCCCGAGTCCGCGGATTCGGAGAACTTTGAAAAGTTAAAGGCTGCCTATGATGCTTGCCTTGACGAGCCTGCGATCAAAAAGCGAGGAAGCAAGCCGCTTGATGATATTCTGGCCGATATTGAAAAGATATATCCAGCCAGCTCTGCTTCTAGCACGGGTACCAAGGACGGTCTGACCGAGCTCCAGCTCCATTTACTCGAGTCCGGTATTGATGGACTGACTTCTCTTGGTGTTTCTGTAAGATTCCCAATTTGTCCCTACCAATGCTATTCTAACCCTGGCAGCCGGATGATCGCAACCCAGATACTGTTGTTATCTTCGTATCTCCACCCGATGAGATAGGGCTCCCATCTAGGGAGTATTATAACAACACTCAAACTGTTGCCGATTATACGAAAGTGGTTGAAAAGGTCCTCAAAAGCTTCGCCGACAGCAAGAAAAAGTTGGCCCGTGATGTCGTGACCTTTGAAGCAAAACTCGCCAACGTGACTCCGGATACACAAACCCTGGAGGATATCACCCAAACCTATAACCCATTTACCATCGACGAGACCAAATCGTTGCTTCCGGAAATCTCCCTTTCCGAGATAATCTCGGTGCTGGCGCCGTCTGACTATAAAAGTGATCGTATAATCGTTTCGTCACCATCATATATGAAGTCTTTGTCGGATCTTCTGGGCGAAACTTCTAGAGAAACTCTTCAATTGTTCTTCAAGTGGAAGACCATCCAGGCCCTTGCGGGTGGCATTGAAGACTCAAAAGTACAGCCTCTGCGGGAGTTTAACAACAAACTCGCAGGAAAAGACCCCCAGGCCACCGAAGAGCGATGGCGAAAATGCATCAACTCCCTGGATGAAGGACTCGGATGGAGTTTGAGTCGGTTTTTTGTTTTGGATGCCTTCTCAGAGAGCTCAAAGAAGCTCGGGGACCAAATTGTGTCTGACATCAAGGAGCGCTTCGTGTTTGTTCTTCACCAGACGAGCTGGATGTCCCCCGAAGTGAGAAAGCTGGGCATTCAGAAAGTTGGAAACATCATCCAGAAGATTGGATTTCCCACCAAAAGCCCCAACATCACGGATCCGGCGGATGTAAAAGAACATTACAAAGACCTGGAGGTATCTAACAAGACGTACTTCGAGAACGAATTGGCAGCTACAAAATTCGACATTCGCAGACGATGGGCGAAGTTGGGCAAGCCGACTGACCGTGATGAATGGGATATGACCGCTCCCACCGTCAACGCCTACTATAACCCCGCTGGCAATGAGATCGTCTTCCCGGCTGGGATCATGCAACCGCCTGTTTTCTGGGGTTCTTCTTCTCCATTGTACTTGGCTTATGGTGCTTTCGGCGCCGTTAGTGGGCATGAGCTTTCACATGGTAAGTGGAGCGCGCCCGAAAAAGCAGTTCTTTGCTCACTCTCCCAATCTAGCTTTTGATTCGACCGGTAGACATTATGATGAGATTGGCAACTACACTAACTGGTGGGACGAGAAGACGATCGAGGCCTTTGAAGAGCGGGCTCAATGTTTTGTCGACCAATACTCCGACTTTACCGTCCCCGGACGGGACGGCAAGATACTGCACGTCAACGGACGTCTCACGTTGGGGGAGAATATCGCAGACGCTGGAGGGCTAGCGGCGGCATTCCACGCCTGGAAGAAGCGCGATGAAGCATCACCCGATCCGGCGCTACCGGGACTGTCTGCATTCAGTAAAGAGCAACTCTTCTTTGTGTCGTATGCCAACTGGTGGTGTGGCAAGACGACGGACGAGGCGGCTGAAAGGGCGATCTATACCGATCCCCATGCGCCCAAATCCGCCCGCATTATTGTAAGCCCCTTGATCGATCGTGGAATGTACCTGCAGCTAACATGACGACAGAATACAATGGCGAATTCCCGGGAATTTAAAGAGGCATTCAACTGTCCTGCGAAGGAACCTGTTTGCAAACTCTGGTAGGGGGATAGGTGGCCTTGAAATATGGATCTGATGATTGACATGATGACTCCGTCGGAGAAAATCTACAAACCCCCTAACGAGTTAGGAGCCCCGCTGAAGTCAGCTGATCCAACGGCATCTTCAGGATAGAAAGTGGAGATGAATCTGGTGATAGTGGCGTTTTAAGCCTTATGAGCCGGATGGCCTGAATGATAGAGCGAGCAAGATAGGGGTGGTATTGCCGTGAATAGGATTATAACACACATCTATAGCATGCAGGAGAGCAAGGTTCTCCAGACTAGCCATGCCCTCGGGACTCGTAGGCCTCCTGAATTGAGCATCACTTGCGTGCACACCTTGCCGGATGCTCCTGAAACCCTGAAACCAACCTCCTGGACTGGCACATAACGGCTTCCTGCGCAACCCAATGAGAAGCCGGCATCCACCAGAGGTTCATCGCCGGTCCACTTGGGATGGACGATGATGGATCATTTTTCGCCTCTCCCTCTCTTAGTCTTTGCTGCTCTTTTTTGGTGCTTCAGCTAATAATAATCACCCCTCAAGATGGGCCGATCATATTCGATGGCCGTCTGAAAAATTCAACCTGTGCCCACAATTAATTCTCCCCTGTTCAGCTTTCCTCGCCAGATTTGCCAGAATCGACCCATCTCAGCCCATCTTGTACGACGACCGGCCGACTAGCATCGCGACTGTAGCTCTCCCTACTGGCCCAACACGAGTCGTGTTCTTTTTTCGGCACTCGGCCATTCGACCTGTAACAAAAGTCGTGCATATCCAATCCTGAAAATACTCCGTAATTAATGTCTGGATCTTGAATCCCATTCTTTCCTCCTGCTCCCATTCGCCCTTGGGCAGTCCATCTACTTAGACTGAACTGCAGGTTCCGCTCTGCTGGAACCGTCCCATGCCCCGTTGCTGCGCGTCTCACTCTCTCTGCGATTCCTCCCTCTTTTTGCTTCTCTCCACCGCGCTCCGAGGCTTCGTCTTATTAGTATTTTATTATTATCTCTCCTCTCTCCCTTTATTTACGCCCAATCCCAGCTAGTTGCGGATCCTTTTTTTTTTTTTTTTCTTTTTTCTTTTTCTTTTTTCTTTTTCTTTTTTCTTTTTCTTTTTCTTTTTTCTTTTCTTTTCCTTTTTATATATTTATTTCGTCTTCCTACATGGCTGTCTCGTGCTAATTCATCCCCGTTGCTTCTTCCAGACATACTATTCTCGTCGAGGCTGGTCATGTCGTGTCGCAACCACGAATTCCAATCCCAGCTTGGGCTGTCCCTGCGTTTTTCTGCTTTCTAGTCGACGGAATTCTGTGGGGGATTCATAAGAAGAAAAGGCTTTCATTGCCTCTCACAAGGGTCACCCCCTTGGTATTTCTCTTTTTTGTTCTTGTTATTCGTGGTGTGGCTGTTATCTCTTTTTTTGTTGTGACAAAGCGACAGTACTGAACTTGGAAGCATTTTTTGTTTTTGAATACCCTTATATTATTTTCCCTTTTATTTTTGTTTCTTTTTTATCATAATGTTGCAGGAGTCTTCCATTATGGAGGCTGCGTCATCGACACTGGACGATGTGATCCCGATCAAGTCGGATGCGATCCTATCCACCGCCATCGAACATGGTTCCTACATGACCTCGCCCAGCGACTCGGAGACGCAACATGCGACATCGACGAATTTACGACGCGCCCACACGGTGGCTCAGGGAGGAAATATTGCGAGAAGGAATATGGAAACGCGGGCGGCAAGGGAGAGAGCAGTTACCTCGTTACTGCGGGTCAAGGATAGTCACGAGCTGCTTCGGAGACGCTCGCTGACCCGATCCAACACCCGGCGAGCACTGCGTGACACGCTTGCAGGTGTACGAGACGCAAATCATTTTACCGTGGGAAATGTCGGACAGAATGGGAAGATATTCTTGAGGTATGGTTGGTTGATTGGTTGTGCACTGCACTGCAGCTACCCAGGATTGGTCTTAGGAGGAACATTACACAAAGGCCCAGTCAGACCCCCAGCTAACATATCTGGTATCCGGTTAGGCCCATTCGAAATCTGTCTCGAAAAGAAGCCCGCCCTTCCCCGACCTTGGCCTCGTCTTCCGCAAACAAACCTGCAGAGAAACATCTACACCCGCACACACACGCGCATGGTGGAAATGATCCGGCACGGTGGTCAAACTCGCAGCTCTCCGAGCTACGTCCAGGACAGGTCCCTGGGGAAGATGCCGGTGAAGAAGACGACTCTGTCCTCGCGGACTCGTTACCCTCGGAGTACCCCCCGAATCACCGTCAAAGAGCACATTCGTTTTCCACCCTTTCCGAACATCAGTCGGCGTGCGCCGCAAGAAGCCCCGGCGAGTTCCGTATCGTCATTGATCGATCGGAGGATCGACCCAAGTCGGCGGATGGTCTGCATCGCCCGCCGACACTGGAGACTCACATCCCTTCTTACCGACTGGGGACGCCGCAGTTTAACAACGAAGGAAGCGCCGCTCTACACAGCTCTGTCTACACCAGGACCTCCATCTCTGACAATTTCCGGGCGTCGAGATTCTTACGAGAAAACAGTCCTCTTCCCAATGTCTACCTCGACCCATCACAGCCTGATAGACCCTCGTTTGCTGCCTCCATGTTTTCAGGGCCTATTGCTATAGAGATTGGAGGAACACCTGGTATCCCTGAGAATCCGGTTGTGTACGAGTTGAAGGAACCGATTGAGCCATCGGTTTTTGAGGAGCTCATGTCAGACATGGATGGTGGCTCGGTCGTTCGATATATTCCCGGTACCAAGGACATTAGCGCTGCCACTCCCGCGCGTATTGTTGCGCAGATCTCTTCCGAGTCCTTCATGGATTATGAACTGGTGTCGGACTTTTTCCTCACCTTCCGCTGTTATCTCTCCACAAACACCCTCCTTGCTCTTCTACTCGCTCGACTTCAATGGGCCATCAACCGCCTGCAGGACGATGGAAGAATCATCCGTATTCGCACCTTTGCGGCCCTCAGACACTGGATCCTGAATTACTTTGTCGATGACTTTGTTATAAACTATGACCTGCGCTCGCAGTTCTGTGAGACCATTAATGCCATGTATGATGATGTCAAGGCCCGCGAAACAGGTGGATTGAGTGATTTGAAGATCTTGATCGATCTGAAGCGATGCTGGCATGGAAAATGCTCTCTTTATTGGGAATTTTCAGATTTCCATTCTGCATATCAAAATCCGGACAACCCGATTTCCCCTGGCGAGGTTCTAGGTAGTATGGATGGGGACAATCGATCCAGCACAGGGCGTTATCAGAGCGTCGCTCACTCGGATTTGGCTGCAAACACAGGCTATGGAACTCACCGGGCTGATCCCAGTGAGATCGAGCGTCTTCCTCATACAGTGCACCATGATCGAAATGGCTCATCTGCAACAGCAAAAAGCATACCGGCTTCCACGAAGAGTGAGCAGAGTTTCCATGCAACTTCGTGTTCCTTACCCCCCAAGTCACCCAAGCGCCTTTCAATGCCTTTTCCTAAGGGCAAGGCCCCTCATCCGGTTCCTCTCATTCCGGCCAAATATGCTTCTGCCTCGCAAGAGTCCTCTCCTGTATCGCCGGCTCTTTCCAAGCGCCACCCTTTTCATACGCATGCTCACAAGCGCAGTGGAAGCTTTTCTGACTCTGTACGAGATGGTCGAGCTCCCCTCTCCCTGCAGAAGATGGATCAGCTAGGCATTTCTTCCTCACAGGAACTATTAAACCCGGGAAGCTTGATACGGGGTGAATTGTACGCTCCGGCGGAGTCTTATATGACAATGATGGCACCTCCTTCGCCCCCTCTTCCTTCATCTTCGAGTAATGCTGGATCGGATCGTCGAAATACTTCCGACGGGACTTCCAAGCCAACTTCGGCCCATTCTGGGGTAAAAACTATCATTGGGTCTATCCGCAGAGCTCTGAACAGTAGGAGTGGTGGGAGTACATCCCAGCGTACTGGAAATGGATTCCCGGGCCAGTCGTTGCGCGGGAAAACGTCAGCTATGCCTACTAACGTTGCTTTTGGGTCGGACCTTTATCGGGACCGAAAAAACACGGCCATGGCCAGGAGACCGGTTCGACTTGACGTTTTGTGTGATGAAGTTTTGAAGCACTATCGAAATGCCTTTGCTCCTTATGACGGCTCCAAGGGTGATCCGCCCCAGACGGCCAGCACTTTCCGGTTCCAAGCAACCTTGCAGGAACCTGAGAATGCTCCCCGCCAGACACTTGCTCCAGATGGAGGAACTGCAAGAACTGCAAGAAGCGAACTGACCATGGGAAGTGAATCGATTGTCATTGTAGATGACACTGGGTTCGACTTTGCGACAATGACAGGCGGGGCTATGCCAGGTGCAGGCCTTGAACAGGCCCCTACCTTCTTGAATACGGAAGATTCGCCCACGACGCCGAAGCCTTTTTCATTTGGTTTCTCTTCTAAAAACTCGTCTCGCGCGGACGATGAGTATTCCTTGCCGATCTACTACGATGATACTGGATCTGGGGTGCCGAGTCGCTTATCTAAATTCCTACGTCCATCGGGGACCTCCGATTCAAGAAGATCATACTCCGTTGAGAGGGGTTCGGCGTCCCGAAACGGGACACCACCATCGCTTCGTCTTCGCAAATATGCGTCATTCCAGAGTGGAGTTTCGAAGAGCCGCCTTTCGATGGGTAGTGAAGTGCCACCGGCCACTGCCGATTCGAATACTTCCCAACGCAACTCGGAAAAGCCTGTCGGACCAATTCTCCGCAGGCGCCCTGGAGGAGATCTGCGCAAGATGCAGACTGGTGTTGAGCCTAGATCGTACAATAGCTCAGGATCGTTCAGGTCACACGCCTCGTACTACAGCTCGATGGCTGACAGCACAGCATCTGCGCCGGGAGACCAGGCTTCAAGACCTCAGACTAGCCTTGTTCCTCCTAACCCGCGTTTCTCTCTTATCCATACCCATTCTCAGCAAAACATGAGGCGTTCCTTTGAGGCTGCAATCGCGCAATTTGCTCAGATTCCGGATGATGGCGATGGAGGCATTGAATCGACTTTGCTTAAGCTTGAAGGCAAGTGGGACGGCCAGCCAGGCGCTGCTGTGCCAAAAAGGTTACAGCCTTCCGCTTATGGACGGAATGGCACACGCGGCTTCGACCCCAGTAACCCTGCGAGCGGTGGTCTGCTTTCGCGGAGACACCAAACCCTTCTTGGTGACAGTTTGACGTACTCGCAAATCGGCGGACGTTTATTGCCTCAACGGCCCTATTCGGACTCCGTTGCCGAATCAGAGGATTCGTATAGTTCTATTCCACTCCTTGAACGGGGACTGAGCGATGAATCTATGAAGAAGCCTGCGTTGGCCCGGATCACTTCGGTACCCGCTGCGTCTCGTACTCATCTGAACGACATCGCACGCCGAGATACCTCTGACATGGGATCTTCACGCCAGTCATTTGACATTGTGAAAGAAACCGAGAGCCTGAGACGGATTCCGCGAGGCTCCACACTCCCGGTATCTACCCCCAGAGCCTCTCGCGATAGGAAGGGCCGTTTTTCAGGGCTGTCCTCCCAATTGTCGGCCGACGTTGCTGACCGGCGTGAGGTTATCGACCAGAGGCAGTCGATTGGTTCAAGCAGTTTGGCCGAGTCAGCGGTTGAGATCCCGCCTCATCCCCTTGCCCATCCTCCCTCCCCTCCGATGTCTATACAGAACCCTCGCTCTATCACCTCTTGTGCCACCCCTTTGAATCCGGTACTCTTCCAAGCGCAGCCGCCTACACCTGATCCTTCCCCCAGGCGAAATGTCGGACACGAGCATGCTCGATCCATCAACATGCAGCAGGCCTCGGGTGATGTGCTGTCGAAATCAGAGACGGATCGCCAAAACCAGCAGGGTGTCAATGGACCCAGCCCCGATCATGTGCCGTTTATTCTTTCCTGCGAATCGCACGTCCTTGCCCAGCAGCTAACATTGGTGGAGATGGCGGCATTGAGCGAAGTGGACTGGCGTGATCTGGTGGACATGAGATGGAGCAGTGGTTCGCCATCAATGTTGAATTGGGTGCAATTCTTGTCCGAAGAGGATCACCGCGGCATTGATCTGGTCGTGGGGCGATTTAACCTGATGGTGAAGTGGGTATTGTCGGAAATTGTCCTTACTCAAGACATACACGAACGGGCTCGCACGATTTCAAAGTTCATCCATACTGCTGCCCATGCTAAGCGGATCTGCAACTATGCCACCATGCTGCAAATCGCCATTGCTCTGTCTTCGACGGATTGCTCCAGGCTTCAGAAAACATGGACCCTCGTGCCACAGGAAGATCGACGTGTCTTGAAAGACATGGAGTCTTTAATCCAGCCAGTTCGCAACTTCCACGATCTACGTGTTGAGATGGAGACAGCCAATCTGCAGGATGGCTGTATACCCTTTGTTGGTCTCTATGTTCATGATCTGACCTATAATGCACAGAAGCCAGCGCAAATCTCCAACACTGAGGGAGAGCCGCTGGTGAATTTTGAGCGATATCGCACGGCAGCTCGAATTGTTAAGAATCTCCTTCGATTGATTGATGCCAGCACGAAATACAACTTCCAACCTGTCCAAGGCATCATTGAGCGGTGTCTTTGGATCGCATCGCTCTCGGAAGAGCAGATACAGACCAGAAGTAAAATTCTGGATTGAGCATTTGATACCCTGTTTTCTTTTTCTCTTTTTATTTCCTTTTCTTTTTTTCTTTTCCTTGAGTTTTTCATTGGGGTTTTTTTTTTCTTTTGTGTTGTCAGCGAACAAAAGATGAGCATTTTACGCATTTAGGAGCGCATCAGTTTTCTTTTTGGGATACTTATACCCTTGGGATTTGTCTGTATAACCATACGTCATCTGGTGTTTCTTGATGATATTTACTCGACATGAATGGGACGTGTCCGAGTTTTGATTACGACGAAGCCTTTTATGTCCATCCAGTCAACCTGTACTATTATATATATTCTTTTTTTTTGCATTATCATTTGACTTGGATTTATGAGCCTGTTTTGTTACTGTTTGATTATAGCGTTGATCCTTATTAAAGACAGGAGAAATGATTATTGATTAATTATGCCGAGTGAACCTGCACTTCTGCATCATAACCCGTACCATGGCAATTAATTCCGCGATAGATCAGACAGCCATGAGGATAAATTCTCCATCTAGTAAAATAATCAAATATCTGGAACTCCCCGTGTCAGAAAGCGTGGCTAGTGGTGCCCGTCATCCAAAGCTGCATCACTGGCACTCCCGATCTACGTACTGTTTGTTCTAATTCGACGCACTCGCCGCTTTCTCTCCAACTCCAAGTCCTCTGGGAGGCTCTCTCTCTCTCTCTCTCTCTCTTTTCCCCTCTTAAGTTTATTTGCTTTTTCCTTTTACTCCCTCCTCCCCGCTTCCTCCCTCCATGGAGGTATCTCTGTCGAACAACCCTGTCCGCTCTTGAATGTTTTCCTAAATCCAATCCCACACCCACCACCCATCACCTACGATGGATTCCTCAGATACCCGCCGCGGGGCTTCGGGGGAATTCGACCATACCATCACGGCCACCAGCCATGATGAATCGGATCCTGCCGATGTGCAGACGCAGAATAATAAACTTCCGGACGATTTACCCAAGTCGCTCGATGACCGTCGCTCGGTGCCTGTTTTCCCGCAGGAGACGGAGATGTATGATGCCTGGCAGGGTGAGTTTGTCACGTCACGTCACTGGTCCCCACGCCTGGGGCTGTTTTGTTATATTCGCATGATTTTGAAATGGTCCCTTGTTTTGATTGGGTATGTATATTTTTAGACGTCTAATGCTGATAATGTGATGTGTGTGTGCAGGCCAATCCCAATTCCTTACTACCCCCGTCGCCGCAAAACCTCTAAGCTTCAGCCTCGCCCTCGACGACCATTCCCACGATGACGAACATACCCTACAAGCTCAGTACGGGCGCGGCCTGGTCCCAGACGACGACGCCCAGTCCACCACCACCGCGCGGTTGGAGGATAGCGATACCCGGTTGATGGAGATGCTTGCTGCGCAGGCGGCTCACCGGGAAGTCGACTCGTTAGGCGCGGACGAGGACAGCATCGCGACGGACGAAAAACTGAAAGATAGCGAGAAGAAGGAGATTCTACAGAAGAGTCTGAATATGGCTGCGAGTAATGGTGACGTTGATCGCGTGCATAAGATTCTTGGGGGCAAGGCGAAGGAATACGTGGATGTGAATCTGCCTGATGAGGAGGGGACGGTTCCGCTGATTTACGCTAGTTGTTTTGTATGTTGTTTGCTTGAATTCCTGGCGAGGCTGAACTGATTGATGGGATTAGGGACACCAAGATGTTGTTTCGGCACTGCTTGGTGCAGGCGCATTCGTCGACAAGCAAGATCGCAACCAGTGGAGTGCTTTGATGTGGGCCATGACCAATCGACATAAAACGATAGCCAAGATTCTACTGGATCACGGGGCGTCGCCGGATATCAAGTCTTCATCAGGAGGGACGGCGTTTGATTTTGCCCAGCCTGGAAGCGAAATCTCCGAATATCTACATGAGAATGGATATAATATTGGTGGATCCAGTGGAATCGAAGACGACTTTTACGACTCGGGATTTGCGCATGGTCGGTTTGAGGAGGAGATCGCGGAGAATGAGATGAAACGGCGAATGATGATGGAAGAGAGTGCGATCAACCTCGAGGTGGACCTGTCGAGCTTGGGGCTGGATGAGAAGGCCGAGGTGAGTTTGTTGTTTATATGTCTGCGGACGGGTCTTGCTGACTTCATATTTTCTATAGTCACTCGACGAGGACCTCGAGGATGACCAGCAGGAATTTGTATGGGATAAGTGTCTGAACGATCAGATGTTTGTCTTCCAAGACCATGAGCTGGAAAGGATACTGGATATTATCATCACCAACATGACACCGCAACGATCACCTTCCCAGAAACCCGTGCCCGCCAACCTTCTTTTCCTCAGTGCGCGGTACGCACATTACCATGCTAGTCCGGAATTGCTGGCGCAGCTATTAGTGTCGGCTACGGAGAAGATTAATGACGTGGTGGAACGGCATCAGTGGGATATGACGATATTGGCGTTCTGGATGTCGAACGCAACGTTGCTACTACATTACCTGAAGAAAGATGCTGGATTGGTCGAATCTACAATAGAGTTTCAGCTGCATCTGGCGGAACTGATCAATGAGATCTTCATCCTGATTATCCGAGACGCGGAGCGGCGAATGAACAAGGTGCTGGATGGGGCGATGCTGGACCACGAAACGATTCCAGGACTGGAAGACGTCCACTTCCAGAATGAGTGGAAGCTGTTCCGCTCCAAGTCCAAGGCCAAGCCTCCGGAGCCGGCGGAGAAGCGATTCCGTCCGCCCTCACCCCGACGGAGGGCACAGATCTCACCGCGCAACATCACCTCGCTACTGTCGTCGACACTTTTTGTGCTGGATCTCTACGATGTGCACTCGGTGATCACAACGCAAATCCTGTCGCAACTGTTGTACTGGCTGGGAGCGGAGATCTTTAACCGGATCATGACGACAAAACGATACCTGGCGCGGACCAAGGCGATGCAGATCCGCATGAACGTGTCGACTTTGGAGGACTGGGCGCGGACTAACAACCGGCAGCCGGAGCATTATGAGAACGGATCGACGACGAGCACCGGGGAGAGCACAATGGATGCGGCACGGAAACATCTGGCGCCGGTCATTCAGCTGCTGCAGTGGTTGCAATGCTTTTCGTCTCTGGGAGATGACTTTGAGTCGCTTGTGACGACGTTACTACAACTGCAACAATTGACACCAGCGCAGCTCCTTCATGCGGTCAAGTCGTATCGGCCCGAGGTAGGAGAGAAGGGGCTGACGAAGCCGGCGATGAAGTTCCTCCTAGAGCTTCAACGGGATCCAGACCTGATATACCGGGAACAAGCGAAGCTCGAAGCCCAGAAAGGGCAGGCGGAAGCAGGCGGAGAGTCCTCAGTGGGAACGACGGACGCACGACCGGTGACGCCTCGAAAGGATGAGCTCACACCAGGCGAGGATGCGCCACGGACGTCGGATGTATCGCAGGGACGAAGTAGCCTGGCGTCACCGGGGTCGGCTGCAGTATCACCACGACGGATATCACGACTGGACGACCGCAACGGGGCAAATGAAGTGTTTGTCGATCCGTCGCAGACATTGCCGTTCTCGCTACCGACCAGTACCGACATGTTGATCAGTTATGGGGCGGGCTGGGGAGGAACGAACCGGGAACGAGCGCGCAAGTATATTCCCACGGTTCCGCCGGAGGTATTGAGTCGGTTTGATCGGGAAGGGTGAGAGAGAGACAGAGGGGAGATAGAGGGGAGAAAGATACCCTACAGGATGATGTATGATGGACATGTCCACGTATATACATGAATGCAAATAGAGTGTATGATTGTTGATGAATCAGTTGATGTAAAGCATTACGTGGGGGAGAGAATAGGATGCGGAGTAGAAGACAGCAAGTGGATCTCCTGGGGAAGGAAGAGATAAAGATCTGAAGAGGAGCAGCCATGGACATTGCGATGATCTAGATGAAACCTGAAAGATGGACAGGAAGCTTGGCGACGCGCAGCCGTGGGGCATCTACCTTACCTTCATCGATTGTAGTATATTTTATATTGATACTTGGCATACTGGATATGGAGTAAATATGTACCAAATGCTCTTTTAATTGTTAATTGTTAGTTAGTATTCAGCTCATACAGTACGTCAATAATATGCAATATGCTGCAATATCGAACAGAGATAGAACAGACGGACCGACCCGCCTTTCTGGCCAAATCCAGCCCTCCACTGGGTCGTCATCACCGCACGCCAACATACGCAATGGAAATGATCCACTTGCATACGTATTCGTTTGTTTTTCTCTTCTTTCTCTCTTCCTTCATCCTTCTTCTGTCTGTCGGATCCCTCTTTTTCTTATTTATTATTATTTTCAGGCCACGTAAGAACCATACAGAATTCGTTCCTTCTTTCCTTCTACGGCCGGCCTGCCCCACCCGCGTGCCCAATGCAGTTAGCCCCAGCCGTGAACACTGTCCCGTTCTGGTAAGCATCTCTTTCCCGCTCGGCACCTTCCCTTTTTGGGCGATCCGCCCATCTCCCCTCCTTCCTTTTCCTTGCCTTATAATCTTTCCTTTTTCAGTATCTTTTTCTCTCCTTCTTTCTTCCTTCCTTTGTTCTTCTTCTCTTTCTCTTTCGCTCTTTCCCTCTTTCTCCTCGCTCGTTTACATAATCCAGCATGTCCTAACCAATCATTAGATTGACTTCCGTTTCTTTTTTATTTCTGCTACATAGGGAATTGCTTCATATCAGAGCTTGGAGATATGCTCCTCACCCTCAAACCTCCCGCGCAGAACGGCATCAAAGGCCCTCATGAATACTCCATTGTTCGCCAGTCCATTCCAACCCCGCGGTCTTCTCCGCCCTCCGTCCCTGATCCCTCGTCGACTGCTTCCACTCCCACCAACACAGCTCCGCCCTCACGACAGCCCGCTAACCATCACCGCTCCATGGACTCGTCCCGCAGAGGACTGCCTCCGCCCTCGTCGATGACCTTGCCTCCTCCCGATGTTGGTCGGCCCACCATGACCCCCGTGAGCCAGCTGCCTCCGCCTCCGCCGCAATGGCAGAGCCCCGACGACTCGATGCGCCATTGGCTTCAGGCTCGTGCGGAGGAGGATCGGAGGAAACAGGAGGAGGAAAGGACACGCCAGGAGACTCTCCGGTTGGAACAGCGTCGTATTGAACAGGGTATTCTGCGGGATTCCTTACAGGCTGGCGTTCCGCCGCATATGATCCCGCTGATCTTCGCAGGCATCAGTGGTGGCAGTCTGTCTCAGTCGGCCATGGAGATTGCCCAGCAGTTTCTCAACCAGCAGACCCCTGGCCGTGTGCCTGCGCCGCCAATGCCTCAGCGACAGCCTTCCTCGGGCTTGGATATCTCTTCTTCTACCCTGCCTCCACCACCGCCGCCTTCGTCTATGGCCCACCGTCGCTCACACTCTGGTATGGGCGCTGACATGCGGCGGGATCCTCGTGTCGTGTCTTCTCATCCATATGCTGCGCCTCCGCCTCCGCAGCAGGCCTTTGCTGGTCCCGGTGGCCCTTTGCCATCACAGCCGTTGAATATACCCGTGGAATCGTCTCCCACAAAGCCTTCTCTCTCTCGTCCCCCATTAGCTGGTGGCCCGCCAGATCCTAGGGTTCCAGCTTCATCTCGAATCCATCCGGCCGATATGCAAACGCAGCACCCTCCGATCAACCTCAGTAACGCACAATATGCCCCCGGATCGTCCATTCCTCATCCCCCGCAGACAACGTCAATCAAGCAGGACGCGCATTCACGCCAATCATCCTCGTCTATCTTCTTTCATCACTGGGTCCCCCCAGGCCATTCACAACAGCCTGCAGGTAAAATGCACCAGGAGACTGCACCTCCTTCGCAAGCTCCCTCTCATCGTCGTCCAGAGTATCACAACTCCCCTGGTCGAAAACGAAAGGCACAAGGGCCGCACCAGCCACCTCCTCTTCCCTCATCACGAACATCAGATGGCCTTTCAACTTTCTCTCAATCCACCAGACAGAGTTCCCCTGGAGCAGGAGGCCGGAGGGGCCCACACATGCATCGTCGTCAGCAAAGCGATGGCTCGTATGAATCACGAGCCCCAGACCACATGGACTCGGAACACAGCAATGGGCCGAGTCCCATTCATACCGCACCTCCAAGTTCGGTGCTAACACCGGGTGACTCGAGTCCGGAGAAAAGTCAAGATCGTGTGGGTGGAGCATCAGTGCCTGAGTCTCAAGATGTAGAGCCCCCAACACAACAACAACCCCCTTTAAGCTCAGAGACTGCCTACCACTATAATACAAACAACGGAAACAATCGACACTTGACGTCAGGAGCACCTCCAGATGCAGCACCACCTTTGAATGATGGCGATCAACAAGGGACCTCTCCTGGTAGCAGAGAAACACCGAGTTTCGTGTAAAAACGAAAGTCTAGTCTCCCCGCAGGTATGATCTTTGAGGAAATACGCCAGTTTCATACCAGACGAGTTCATGAGGACATCATATCATAAAAGCTTTTGCTATTTTTTCCTGGTTTATTTATTTCGGTCTGGGGCGGCTTTGGTAATCTTTGTTTACATTTACTAGCGAGGCTTTCTTTTCTTGTTTTGTTTCTCTCTACTCTTCGACGGCAGCTCGCCTCGACTGGCTCGTGGTGGGCAATCGACCTTCTGACATTTCGATTTCGGTACTGCTTTGTCCCAAGCAGCAGGCATGCTTGGATGATATGAACGTTGACGTTACTAAAGAGAACATAGACCTAGCTCTGACTGCTTGTGAAATGTTCGGCAGCCTTTTTTTTTTTTTTTTTTTTTTTTTGTGCTCTGAAAAAGGCGGTGTTGGCTACTTGGTGAACCAAGGGCTTCCTTGGACATTACACATTATACACGATCAAGTGAGTACGCTCGATCGTTGGCCCATAGGAAACAATATATCAATATATCGTCTTTCTCAAGAACTATAGAACTATACTTGTAAAAATTCAATAGATAGAGATATCCAAAAACATTTTCAAAGTTCTCAAATAGGACACCACCTTCTACCTGTATTTATTATTACATGACTCTAGCAGATGTGTATGAAAGCAGATAGATAGACTACAACAGACACTGACTGATGAATGAACAGGGGGAGAGGGGATATAAAAACAAAGACAGGGGTACTGACAAGGAACAGCAAAACAAGTAGCAACGGGGTATGGGTATCAATGTCAGTGTCAGTGGTTGTGTCTGGAGAGCGAATTAATTTATATAAAACAGGAGGACAGATAGGAGAAAGAGATATAATGGGTGAGACGAGACGAGACAACAAAGAAAACGCAAACCATGGCTATGGATATAGAGCGTGTATATTGCGCGACAACAGAAATCAGAAAACAAAACGAAAATGAAAGAGGAGAATCAACCGAGGGAAGGACTGTATAGCAAATAAAGGAAAATCCGAGGGTTACCCATAATATTAGGGTAAAAGAGTGACTGAGGAAAGGCTTCTGACGTCAAGCGTAGCGCGGCTTCCATTGCCTTTAGGGCAAAGGAACTGTATGGTGAGGCGCGCATGGTGTGTATTTCATTAAGAGTCTTGATTTTAGACTCGATATTAGGTTGGTGTGGATGGGAAAGAGAGCAGGAGAATGGGGTGATGTATAGGAGAATTAAGAAAAGAGGCCGGGCAAGGCACTATAATGTAATATTCCCCATCCACGAGATGCCTAGGGGCCTTTGTTTTCAAGTACTCCTTGGCGAGAGTTGTGCTGACGTTGACGGACATGTTGGGATCGTGATGTGAGAGCCGTAAGAACAGTCAAATGAAAATGAAGGCGTTCATGAATTAATGAATTAGACTTTTGGGTCATCAAAGATCATCCGGGTGAATCGTCCGTCAATTTCCGTGTTGTCAAGGAACCAGTGTCCGCCGGTTCCTTGCAAAAGAATAAGAGGAAATATTATTAGAAACCGAGTATGGTAGGTAATGAAAATGGGGGTAAAAGAAGATATAAGAATCGCGTGGGCCATCACATCACATTTGGCCAGTGGTGTAGGTAGACACTAGTTCCTTTTTCGCCGGTGGACTTTCCATTCTGCTTTGGCGACACGCATGAATAGTTCCACATCCTTGATCGGAACCCAGCTGGTGAGGACTTTCATTGCGTTCTCAAAATCCGAGTCGAGAATGATGTCTCGCATACCATCGATCAACGCCGCGGAGCTGGCATGGAGGACATCCAGACCCCGGCCAAATGGTCTCGTTGGGGGAACGCCATCCATGCTAGGCTCGGGCGAAGCTACATCTCCTGCATCTCCAAGAAGCATGAACACGTCCCACACCCGAAGCTGTGCCGGGAATGGAATCGAGTAGTTGAATAAAGTCAGGTACCAGCGAGTTCCGTAAGCAGTAGGCGGGACTCCGATCTCGTTCTGTAACGCGTTAAAGTCAGTAAACACAGAAAAGGCGAATGCGCAACAATAATCCGCTAACATACCAGCTTCGCAGCAACCTCTCCCCTTTCTAGCCACTCTCGTTCGAAGTCACTGAGGGCCTCCATAAGGCCAGCAAACCCTGATTGGTAAAGTCTTTCCAGACCCCGTAGCTGCCACAGCCGGACGAGCATGATAAACGCGTTCTCTTCATCGTAGTACGCAAGAAGCGTTGCAGCAAGCGCCGCCATGCCCTGGACGTATCCAGTATCCGGGAAGTACAAGGACATTGCATGAAGCACGCGGAATAGGAGTCTTTGACCGCCCCGATAGCGCCTGCGAAACATGATGTGGCTGGTAATGGTCCGCGGAACGTCGATATCTATTTGCACATCATCCGGCGACGACATGAACTGGAATTCGTTGTAGGCTGAGATGAGATCCTCTTCCGCAGGGCTTTCAGGATCCTTTTTAGCACTCGCCTCAAGAAAGGCGAACCAGGCGGTTGCCCGCCATCGATCCGGAATACCCTTCCACGTGCGCTCAATCAGCTTGGAGCTTTGTGTGTCGAACTCAAACCTCATTCCACCCCCAATCTTGCCCCTTGTCGAAGGACGGGCCATTTTAGTCCACTTGTCTTCACGTTCCCATTCTTTTTTCTTCATGGCGCGTGTCATTGGACCATCTACTCCAGCATTGACCATGTTGGTTGGAAGTGTCAGCATATCGGCAGCCTCGTCCTTGAACTTGCGATCCCTATTGTGAGGGAGGTGATTGGCAGCTTGGCGGAACCGAGAGGTCGACCGGCGTAGAATCGCACTGTGGGTGCTCTGCGACGAAGACGGGCGAGCCACCGCGGGCTCGGAAAGCTTTCGTGTAGGAGATCGGCCCGCAAAGGAGCGATTACTTGACGATGTCGGTCGAACTGAGTGTTTCCGCCGTGGTGACTCGGATGCAAGGAGAAGACTCGTAGAAACCCGTTGTATCGGATTAGGCTCCATGCCATCGGAGGAATTTGTAGTAGGGCGACGGATGAAACCATATCTATCGACATCCCCTGCCCCAACATTCTGCCAATACTCAATCCCACCTGCTAGCTCATTGGCTTCTCTTTTGAAAGATTGACTGTCAACGACTGATGACGAAATGCTCCTGGTTTCAGCCCCACCCGCACCTGGACCAGAGATAGCTGATGTATTAGTGCTCGTGGGTACTGGTACTGGCTCTTCCCACAACACGCCATTTTCCAAAGCAATAGACCTTGCTACTTCCGAATCCGTCACGTTCTCTTCTCCTTTCTCATACATGAGCCTAACGCGCCGCGACAGCATATCCTCGTCCGCAGAGATTGCCCTACTTGGGATACTGGTTGTTCTAACACGGAGCGATGTCGGTGGGTTTGGCCTCCTTGTTGCTGTGACGCAAGCGCCTGGATCGGTATGCTCCGTTGAGGCGCTAGGTGGTGGCGTTGTAACCTTTTGTTCCTCCTCTTGTGCTTGTTCTGGTTTTTGTTGTGGTTGGTTCCCTTCGTCTCCTTTTTCGTGTTGGTTCTTCTCTGGCGGTGACGATGGTGGGGATGGTGGGGGCGGTTGTTGTTTTTGTTGCTCTTGTTGAGATTGTGGTGGTGATTGTGGTGGTTGCTGTGGCTGTGGCTGTTGTTTTTGCTGTTCTTGCTGGTTTTCGTCCTTGATCAGACTTCCACGCTTGGAGAACCTCATGGATTGATCCCCAAGGCCATCGAGAGATGCCGTTGGGATACTAAGAGGGATCCCACTAAATCTTGAATCTAGCTGAGGCACTGGTGGAGGAGACTCTGCTTTTCTTTCAAACTCCATGGACCTTTTGCTCCGTAGACCGCCCCATCGCTCCGACCACCGCGAACCAGGACGAGAACCGGGACGAGAGCTTGGACGGGAACTGGGGTCGTTGACAACAATACTAGGGATGCTGCGCAGCGATTGTAGGCTCACAAGCCCCGGGTGGTCACCTTCCGACCGTGATCTACCTTCCTGGGCCATAGGGGTAGACGGAGCCAGTCGCGACGCATGCTGATAGGATAGCGGCGAAGGAACTCGAGAACCGTTGGACGAAGCGCTCGTGCTAATCGACCTGCTCTCTAGATAGAGAGGGGGGTTGCCGGCGGGGCCAGATAACGAGCTGGACCTGATCGTGGAAGGGGCTGCCATAGGGAGGGTTTCCTCGTAGCGAATGGCGTGGATGGTTGGGCCAGATTCCGACATGATGACAACCAGACAATGCAGAACTATTATCTTAGCATGGCTTGTATTCCCAACCGATTCCTCACAGCCTTCCCTTCTATATATCTGTCCTTTTTTGCGGCGAACGACTCGAAGGAAAAGAGGCGGGCGACGACAGCGCAGCGGGGGGGAGGGGAGGAACAAGAATGAATGTCGGGGGCGGGCGAGCGATGTCGTAGCGGAAGAACACGTAGGAGGGCGATAGAGGTTAAGAGGCGAGACCAAAGGAACGTGGTAATGACAATGGCAAAAGAAACCTTGCGCAGAAGGGCATCACTATTCCCCCAAATGGTGAAGCGAAGTTGAAACAAAAATGGGAGACGATCGAACGGGGGGGGGGAAGTCGACTAAACCGCGGCTTCTGTTTAGCGGGTTGAATCCAGGGAGAAAATGTGAGAGGGAGTGGCTAAGCAGACACGAGGCATTGATCAGCGACAGTCGACGGCCATCTATCAATCAATGCGTCGAGAAATGATGGCTCCGATTGAGGGACGCGGGAAAGACAGGGAGAGATAGAGATAGAGATAGATAGAATGGAGGAGGGAGGGAGGCAGAACGATGGAGATGGAGATGAGATGAATAATGATGGATCCTCTTCCCCCTCGCCCTAGCACATGGCCTGATGGGAAAGCAGGGATCGCAAAGGGGGCTGCGGAAACACTTTAGTTAATTTCCAGGTGGATTATTGACGCCGTCCCACCGCGGGCTCTTGGGCCGCGCAGCAGTGGAGCTTTTTTGGGCAATTTTCTTATTCTTCTCGGGGCGTTGGACCTGATTTCCTCCACTTGATGGAGTTGCGTTTCTATTTTTGCCGGTCGCTTCTGTCTTGCAGGGCTGAGTGGATTACTGCTACTTACTAGCAGATATCTGTTATGTGTTGCAGCTGAAAAGCCTCATGGATGGACCGTTTGGGCGGTGATCAGCCCTGTCGACTCACCCTCAAGCATTTCTCACCATCGCTAGTCTCCCTGTCTAAAGGTCGGACCGCCTGCAACTTAAAATTAAAAGAACCCCATCGTCAGAAAAGGTTAATTAATTAATTCCCATCAACGGTGGTGGTCTCGCCCTCAGGCCTTCATTTCACCATCCATGGCCACGCGATATCTCAAATGCCTCCTTGCATCCATCACATCTACACTGTTCAGACTTCATTCTACCCGGCATAAGTAAGCATGGGAACCAGAATCCAGCAGATTAAAGAATCCGATCATCCATGCCATTATCTACATCGAACGTAGATACATGCAAGGAGAGGCTGTTTTGATTTTTTTGAGTTTGATTTTGATCCATATCAACATGATTCCCCTAAAATGTACACACACACGCTTAAAACTCCATAGGCCATATGCCAGCCAGCCATTGATGCAAACAAAACAGGGCACAGGCAAAAAAGAAATGAGACCATCCAGCTGCGCCAAAAGGATATCAATCAGATTTGAGAAATCGAAAAAGAGGGAGTCGGTGCCGGTTGAGCGCAACTTTACGCGACAGCAGCCGTGTTGACGCCCGATCGAGATGGGGTAGAGCGTGCTGGTTCAATAGGCTCCTTGGGCAGCAGCTCAATCTGGCGCACCAGGAAGCTCTTCTCGTCGGTAAACTGGTCATCGTCGGTGCGGTCCTCCAGGAATTTGGGCAAGAATTTCAATAGGCGATCGCGATTGTTGATGAGGATGCGCTGCACCGCTACCGATTTGTTCGGGTTGGCCACAAATACCTACACCACATGCCCTGTCAGTCCCCCTTCCTTTGATCGGCTTTCAACAAGGGGGAACCAGATCACATACCTTAAAAACGTGGAATCCCTCGTATTGGACCATTTTTCGGTCGTCTCGGAGCAATTTCATGCACAATTTGAGATTCTCCCCGCTTTCGACATACGCCATCATCACATTGTAGTTGGCACGGTCTAGTAGGATCTCTCCAAGGAGCTTGATGCTCTGTCGCTTGGTCACGTACGAGTCGGATTGGACGAGGACGTTGTTGAACCGTGAAAAGAAAAGATCAAAGTTGGTCGCTAAATAGCCGGTCACGAGAGTTTTGTGTCGAGTCAAAATTTCCTGCAGATTGCGTTTGTTACCATGGCTGTCTAGGGATGACTGCGGTGTAGTCTTCTTACCCTGAAAGTTGTAAACGCATCAGCGCTCACTTCAAAGCTCCCCCTATCGATCCACTCAAAGAATTTCCAAAACACGCCATCTCCTCCCTGAGTTACGCCCGGCTGGAGGTCTGAAAGTCTGATGGCTGGCTCCCCATCGGCCGACTGGTCATAGAGGAGGATAGCGGCGACGACATCGAATTTCAGAGCTTCTCTCAGGATGGTTCCACAAGGCATCGCACTCTGGCTGAACCCATAGCCACGGCATAACTCAATGATGATCTCGGGGCGGTTGTGGATAACGTAGGAAATGACGGGCGGATCGCCATTGTTGCCGTGCGCCGGCTTGAAACGGAAGACATGGGAGAATATGGTCTGAGTGTCTTTTCTAGCTTCAAATGGAAGCAGTCGAATACCACGCGAGAGTTCGTAGAGTAGATCTTCATGGATCGTGGCGGAGACCAGCGCCTGAACTTGCTCAGGGGATGTGTCGATTTCTGGTGGTAAGCCAACGTCAGCGAAAGTTCCTGAGATTATCAGAAAAGGTATCTTTATTTAAGGCACACAAACCTTGGGTTCCTTGAACCATCAATTTCATCTGGGAAAGTTGCTTGGCCAAATCATCTTCGACCTACATGATCTAGGTGTCAGCAAGCTTCGAATATCCCTCGACTAAGACATGGATGCTTCAGAGAACCAACCTTGGCAGTGCTGGGAGATTCACGCAGTCTAGCCAGCAACTCCTTGATTGATTTGACGACATCAGACGGCTGGCGTGACCGACCACGATTGAAGAAGAAAGCCATCCCTGCTGGTGTTGACGAAGAGCAAATCGGCTACAGTTAAGAAAGAGGGGAAGCTCTGAGAAGGAACAAAGAAACAAACAAAAGCTCAGCAATACATGCAAACAATGCAGGGCGTCAGGGACAAAGCAATTGATCCCATGTGACAGTACCGCCCTCCTGTATCCGTCCTGTTTTCCGATGACAGTTGCAGGCAATCTAGGGATAGTTTGAAGCTGGAGATAATAATGCTTTTTTTTTTTGGAGGAAGCGGTGACGGTGACGCTGGGCTGGCGGGGTGAGGAGCAGCGCCTGTTATCGCCGGTCTGTCTGGATCGCAGGTGGATAAACAAACCACGGAGCGGGGCAACAGCGCCTGAGGCACCAAGGCAGCAACTGGTCCGGGTGGAATTTTTTATCTCGACCCCTCCATGTTGATCGATGCCCCTTCGCATACGCCTTGTCTTCAATTCAGTTGGACGACATTCTTACTTGACTTTTAATTCTGCTCATTTCTCTAATATTCAGCTCTACTGTTTTCTGGATAATTGATTGAACACAATGTCGGCTCCTATCCCTTCTGACCGTCCTACAAAGGACGATGAAACTCGCTCTATTGCCTCTGAGGATTCCGAGCTCAGCAATGAGGAGGGCTGGGAAGATGTCGAGCCTGATGACGAGACACAGCCTGTTGTAGGCCTTTTCTCTGAGAAGGTCTACCCAGATGTAAACTCGATGCTTAAGGAGAGCAAGGACAAGCACGACTTTGATCTGCGAAAGATTCAAAAGGAGTTCGGTGTGTACCTAGTCAATGAAATCGGAGTTGTTTGACCATTCGTCTTCCGTATCTGCAAAAATTTGCGCCGGTCGATCTACGTTCGAACTACCTACGGTGTGTCTCAGCTAACCTGTTTCTGCCCTTTTCGTTATCAGACTTGGACTTTCTGGGAACTATCAAACTAGTCAACTATGTCCGCTCCCAGGTTAAAGCCGGCAACTCGACTCCCGACGTATCCTCAAAGGAGAAGTTTGAGAATGATGAGTATTTGCAGCCTGTTCTTGAAGACGATGCACTTTTGTACAGCTTAGACGATATTGCGGAGGACGAGGATGCCGAAGCCCCAACCAGCACCGAGGCCGAACGACGAGTTATTGAGCTGCAGGAAGACTTGGAACGCCTACAGAGCCAGTTCTCCGAGTACAGACTTGCCGTGCAGAAGTCAATGGAAGAGCAATTGACAAAGGAGGATGAGAAGCTTGACAACGTTCCATCGAAAAAGACCGTTAACAAGTTGGAGGAGGCAGACTCGGACTACTTTGTGTCTTACTCTTATAACGGTATGCTAATTCTGGCCTAGTATATAGTATATATATCTTCGGGGGAGTCACTAATACCTTGTGTGTGCGCAGGAATCCACGAGTCCATGCTTAAGGACGCCATTCGCACCGACTCCTATCGCGACTTCATCTACGACAACAAGCATATCTTCAAGGACAAGGTTGTGCTTGACGTGGGATGCGGAACCGGAATTCTTTCCATGTTCTGCGCCAAGGCTGGTGCCAAAAAGGTCATCGCAGTCGACAATTCGAATATCATCGATAGGGCTAAGGAAATCATCTATGAAAATGGCTTTGGCGATGTGATCACGTACGTCTCAAAGATATCACGCCTGGATATATTTGACATATTGATTTTTGCAATAGTTGCATCCGTGGCAAAATCGAAGAAGTTACCCTGCCTGTTCCTCAGGTCGACATCATCGTTTCTGAATGGATGGGTTACTGCCTACTTTTCGAAGCCATGTTCGATTCTGTCATCTATGCTAGAGACCGTTACCTCGCGCCCGATGGTCTCATGGTTCCATCCGATGCCACACTTCGCATCGCTCCCTTCGCTGACCCTGACTTCATTGCTTCGCACATCTCATTCTGGCATAATGTCTACGGCTTCAACATGGGCAGCATGCTCACCGGCATTTATGACGAGGCTCTTGTTCGCGGCATTCAACCGTCGGTTCTGCCGGGAGATTCTACTGTTTTCCTGAAGCTTCCACTCCACACCATCACCGTTGAGGAGCTTACTTTCCTGAAAGAGTTCCAGGTTACTCTCAACCAAGACATTGACGCACTTGATGGTTGGGCCATCTGGTTCGATATCTTCTTCATGCCTTCCAGAGAGTCGAAGGTTCCGGATGGTGCCGTTCCTTCGGATATGCAGAAGAAGGGCATTGTTGCTTTCACCACTGGCCCCGATGGAACGGAGACCCACTGGCAGCAAGGAGTCCTCCTGATTGATCACGGAAAGAAGAATGGCGTTTCATTGAAGAAGGGCCAAACTATCGCAGGCAAGGTCGGTTACCAAAAGAAGGACCAGGAGGAGAAATCCCGTTTGTTGGACATCTCCATTGAGTGGGATTCGCAGCAGGGTGAGAAGGGAGCACAGAAGTGGGGCCTGCAATAAGTCTGATATGATGGTTTGACCAAAAGTTTTGCTTTTCTTTTTCTTTACGCCCTCCCTGTCCATTTTCTGGTTCTCGGGCTCTTTTTGTGGATAGAAAGCTATACCAGAAGTACTTAATCGACCCTTAAATAAATGAATCGACTTATAGTTCTACTGCATGCATGATTGGTATACATTTCAAATACATCTGTAGGGTAATGGCAATGATAGTCAGGTAATGTCACTGCTCAGCATGCCGTTCTTTTTGCCTTGCATTAGAGCGTGGCCTACGAGAATGTCTGGTATCATCGCGCCTGCTCTCATGGCGATCGCGATGATGATGGCGCGAATGAGAGTGAGAATGAAGCCTCCTATGTGAGCGATCACGACTTCTGTCCCGATGGTGTCGGTGATCTCGATGCGAACTCCTTTTCCGATCTTTATCTTCCCTGTGGCTGTCTGGTGATCCGTCGAGCTTGAATCCCTCCAAGCTATCATCCGAAGCCGGCGACCTAGAACGTGATCTTCTTCTTCGTCGACGATGATAATGTGACTGTTGTTTCTCTGTCTCTCTTAATGATGACAACTCTCGATACCTTTCGTCATTCCACCTTTTTCTTTCTTGCTCAACCGATTTTAGCTGGCGCACACCCTTTCTCATCGCTGCTAGTGGATCGTTCGCATCCATTCGAGCCGCCTCTCTCTGTTTTCTCAGGGGATCCTCGTTACCCCAAACATCCTTTCCAGGCACAGAATCTGGCGCCATAGCACCATCAGCCGATGAATGGTACCAAGGCTTTTGGCCAATGGACTGTTTGAACCCAGCAGCGTTAGAGAATCGCATCGTATACTGATCTTCATATTTGCGCTTTTGATCGGCTGATTCCGCTTCGGCCTCGGCGTTCTTCTCTACAGCCCGGTCTTTTCCTTTCGAGGGAAACAAGTTAATATGGCCCGCGCTGTCCTCAAGCGGCGCATCATCAACACGAGAGACAGCCAGCTCCTCCCGTTTTGCAACTGCAAACTCCGCATCTTCCCTCGCAAATCTGATATCACGATCGGTATCATTTTCGCCAGCCAGCCGTCTCCGCTTCCTGAATCTTCCAGTTTCCTCCCTGTGGCTCTTTTCTGGTTGCGTGGTAGATGATGGTAGCGATGGTAGCGATGGTGGCGGGGGTGGAGTAGGAGGTCGTTCACCACGCAGAATTTGGATCCGGCGCTCAGCATCTACTTCCTGCATCTGCCTTTCCTGTTCCTCCTCTTGGGCTTTGGCCTGGGCCTCGTCGCGCCGGACGCGGGCGACATTCTCGGGATTGTAGACGTTCCATGATTTCTTACCAAGGAGGTGGCTGTTTCAGATATTAGTAAGATACGAGTGAAGCTTCAAAGAAATCAACTACTCACAGAGGCATCTTGAAACCCAGGATAGTCCGGACAGTACCTGAGGCACAGTCTGGTTGATGGGTTCAGATAGTGACGATAAGGCGGATTATCCTTAGTCCCGCTCAACGGTCGGCGAACACGGAGCTCCGCGGGCCGATGTGGCTAGCCTACAGCTGCAGCTCCATCTTCATCCCCGCCACGTTGCGCCGTTGTCTGGACTCTTCATCTCATCAACATCACTTTAACCATCACCAGTCCTTGTTTTAAACCGGACTGGCTCTTACAGCTTCAAATCTTGTGTCTTTGCAAGCAGAGACACACTTTTATACTTTTATCCATTGAACTGACTGTTTAGCAACCGCCGCGACAGCAGTAACCCGCTCGCCTGCCCGCGCCTACACTCGGCAGGCAACTTTGTTCATTACAACGGCACCATACGTACATAATTTCGATACACAAATTTCAGTCGCATTCGCCAATATATTTCCATTGTCAAATACTTAGCGCTTCTATGATACAATATGTTTAAGGGTACCAACTATTCCAACCCATTTGCCGGACGTGCTCCAGGTGGCCAGGGTCCGCCGCACCCACCGAGGAAAGATGGATACGATGCACCTTATGGAGGCCCACCACAATCAATGGGAAGGCCGGGACAAATGATGCCTTCGAGGCCTCCGGTTGGAGGAAGGCCATCTGGTGGCGGGCAAGTCTGGTCACTACGTCCCGCCAAAAGCCCAGACAACACCTATACTTTTGGGAACCTGTAAGCAAGTCCCTATTAGTTTAAGTTCAGTTTACTCCAAGTTTTGGTTCTAATTTCTCTCAGGCTGGCGGTTTCGCCACAGGATTTCCCCCCTACCCGCGATGGAGTTGATCTCTTACTTCTAATCAACGACCTCTACGTCTTCTCCGCACGCCCAGCCAATGGTTTCCCACCGGGGCACATCAGCATGTCGGATCCCCAGCGAACATGGGCTGGAATCGCACTCACAGACTCAATCAAGGTGCAGATCTACGATCCGTTCAGCCAAGGTGGGCAGGCCTATCTTGGTTCTACAGACATTGAAATAGGATTTGCTGGGAAGAAGAGGGTGGAAACTCCCTACGACCAGGATGAGCTGGGTCAGGTCGTGATCAAGGTTGGTTTTCTGTGTCTTGATTTATCTCAGCAACTGCTAACTTGAGTAGAACTTTGAAAACCAAATATTCTCACCGGGGCAAAAGATCTTGATGGACCACAGGAGCATCCCACTTCTTCTGACCGTCAAGACAGTTCAAAGGGTCGACTTGACTTCTGAGAAGTCTGGTTCTGCCGCTGGACGTGTGGAAACAGAGCCTACCGCAAGGGGCATTCTTACACGACACAGTCAAATCAACTTCTTCAAGGATGCCCGGACTGGTATTAACCTGAAGGCATCAAATCGCCGGCCAGCGGCGAACTCTATCATTCAACCCGATTTCAAATTCGAAGACATGGGAATCGGAGGTCTTGATTCTGAATTCAGCACGATCTTCCGTCGTGCCTTCGCGTCTCGCATTTTCCCTCCAGGACTGGTCGAAAAGCTCGGCATCCAGCATGTCAAGGGTATCCTGCTCTATGGTCCTCCAGGAACGGGTAAAACATTGATTGCCCGGCAAATTGGAAAGATGCTGAATGCGAGGGAACCCAAGATTATCAACGGTCCAGAAGTACTGAACAAGTACGTGGGTCAGTCGGAAGAGAATATCCGGAAGCTTTTCGCAGACGCAGAAAAGGAATACAAAGAAAAGGGAGAAGAAAGTGGTCTGCACATCATCATTTTCGATGAGCTGGACGCTGTCTGCAAGCAGCGTGGTGGAAGCGGCGGTGGCACCGGTGTAGGAGACAGTGTGGTGAACCAGCTTCTGTCGAAACTTGATGGTGTTGATCAGCTCAACAATATCCTTCTCATCGGTATGACGAACAGAATGGACATGATTGATGAAGCTTTGCTCCGACCAGGCCGTCTTGAAGTTCACATGGAAATTTCACTTCCGGACGAGAAAGGTCGAACTCAGATCATGAAGATCCATACACAGAAGATGAGGGACAACAACGTTATGGATCCAGATGTCGACTTGGCAGAGTTGGCACTCATGACCAAGAACTTTTCGGGTGCTGAAATCGCGGGTCTCGTCAAGTCGGCCTCGTCATTTGCCTTTACAAGACATGTGAAGGTTGGCACAATGGCCGGGATTAGCGATGATGTCGTGAATATGAAGGTTAATCGGGGTGATTTCCACCTCGCACTCGATGAAGTAAAACCTGCATTTGGTGTGTCGGAGGAAGAGCTTTCCAGCCGTATTCAATACGGCATCATCCACTACTCTCCCGTTATCAATGATATTTTGAGGGAGGGAGAGCTCTTCGTCAAGCAAGTCGCTGAATCCACGCCGTTGTTCTCCGTCTTGTTGCATGGACCAACTGCTAGTGGCAAAACTGCACTTGCAGCCCGGATGGCTATTGACTCTGGTTTCCCGTTCATCAAGCTGATCAGCCCTGAGGACATGGTGGGCTTCGGTGAAATGGCTAAGGTCAACCACATTAGCAGAGTCTTCGAAGATGCGTACAAGAGTCGTACAAGTGTTGTCGTTGTGGACAATATTGAGAGAATCATCGATTGGGTTCCTATCGGCCCTCGATTCAGCAACACCGTCCTCCAGACCCTGATGGTCTTCCTGAGAAAGCAACCTTCCAAGGAGCGGAGGCTTCTTGTTCTGGCTACCACTACGGAGAGAGCGGTGCTGAAACAGCTAGACGTCTACAACTCGTTTAACTCCGATATCATGGTCCCCCATGTCAACACCTACGACGAGCTCCGGTATATTATGGAGAATTCTGAGGTGTTTGATGCTCAGGAAATTTCAGAGGCGCTGGAAGGAATTGGCAGCATCACTGCAGACCAAACGATCGGGGTCGGTATCAAGAAGGTGCTTTTGGGAATTGAGACGGCGAAGCAAGATGCAGACAAGGTGGGGCGTTTCGTGCGTGTCATAAACAGGGCAATCGAGGAAGAGCGTACGTTTGCATAGAGGCTTTCGGCCAGATGGCGAGGTATTTTGTTGCTATAATTGTGCTGTCAATTTGCTAGATACTACCAGGTTGTACACTATTGGAGCAGTGATATCAGGGATTCGAGGCATAAAGGCTTTCTTAATGCTGTAGGTAGAAATTATATGAACTTCGGTGATACCTAACAAAGAAATTATTAAAAACCATTCACTAGCGATTGTCCTTGGTGGTTTCCCTTTGTCATCTTCTCTGTGAATGCAACACTCCCACCCACCCAGGGAAAAGGCGTCCTCCCAAGACAGCCGAAGCCCCAACCTCTCCTTAAACCGTTCCCTCCCACACTAATAATCCATCAAAACTGCACCCAACTCGTCCCCTCTTCTTTGACCTTCAACCATACCCTCAATTGTCTTCATCAATCTCGGCATGATGCAGAATCATCGCCCTGGGCCACCAGCAACCATGGACCACCGTTTCGAGCCCAAACAGATCCTGAAAAGGGAAATGTCCCAGAGAGAGTCCAGTCTTTTTGAAGAATGGGCCCCAGAAGCGATGAGAAGCAACATGCCCTCCGTGAACCAACAGCACAACGTACAGCAACAGCAAGATCTGGCTGTCCCCAAAACACACAGCACCACGCCTAAAAGGCTTAACTCGACTCCCAAGATCCAGCAAACCGTACCTAGAAAGCAGGACACTGTACCCAAGTTTGACAGCATGCCCAAGAGGTCTGAAACCACGCCCAGAAATCAGGACTACTCGCGTGCGCGTTCGAAACGCTCGTCTTCCATGTTCGATGAATGGAAGGCTTCGGCTATGCAGAATGATCCGTTGAATAACACTTCTGCTGCTACAGAGATCAAGAAGGAAGATACGAAGGTGCTGTCTTCTAAGACAGTTGGTGGTGGTGAAAATGCAGAGGCCAAACCCCACTCGCAACCGGTGAAGAATCAGAATACTCTCAGTCATTCTCAGAAAAGTTTGGAGACTTCTATTTCTACTACTGGTGAGTGAACCTGCTGCCCATATCAAAACTACCAGAGTAAAATGCCTCTGTCTGTCATGACATAGCTAATGCAGCTCTTGCATCTTCAGGTCCAAAGAACCAACCACCCAACAAAAGCGGCAACATCACCACTGGTAACACTAGTGCCAGTTCCAACCATCTTGCTCCGAAGCCTGTTAATAGAGTCGTTTCCAAACCCGTCTATCCAAAAGTGACTGTTGAGCGTAAACCAGACCGGGAAGGTTATACGGCCCCAAACGGGTTCTTCATCCATAAGATCGAGTTGGCGAGATTGTCCGATGGCGTTAGAACCAGGAGTAAGGACAGAGTGATCTTTCGCCCGAGCTTCTTGGAGAATCCTTGGAAGGATATGAAGGCCGTTCGAATTGAATCTCTGGCTTTCTATTGGTAAGTTTATTTGTTGCTGATATGCCGTCGATAGGATGGCAGGGTTCGTATTTCTCTACTTGGACTCTGCTAACGAACAACTACAGATTCAGCGGCATGGGTATCGGCAACCTGAAACTCTTCATTCAACGACTATTATGCGGCGTTAATTGTTCCGGTACTCTTCTTTCTTTTCTTATATCAGGAAACAAAGTCAAACAGCAAACACTTCCCACGGTGAGAAACGGACCTGATGTATCAACTGGATTACATATCAGCGGATCCAAGTACCGGGTGGCTCTAACCAGATTGTGCAATGTTATCATTTCTGACATGTCTATTTAATGAGGGGTATTTCGTTGATTTTCTCAATTTCCGTTAGCATGATTTCTTTTTTTTTTCTTTTTTATCATGAGAAAAGCAAAAGTCGTTGATGAGCATGTGGTCCCATTTTCACCTTTAGATCCATCAACGATGACATATGAATATGTAGACAGACACAATACACAGTTCGATTCCTTCCAGATTCTATGAAATCAGGAATGAGGGGAAATTCATATCCAGACCCACTTTGACTAGACGAATAACATTAAAAATGTATCAGACGAGATTGACGTTCGCCTTTGCTTAATATAGATTGTCAGGGGTCGTTCAGGGGTAACTTTTATAACTGGTTGACCATAATGCACTCAGTTAAGGGCTTATAATACTCTATGTTATGGCTGACTCTTGAAGAAAATCCTCGAATATCACAAAAGAGGGGCACTAAAAATTGATGAGTTCACTTCTCTTCTCTGTATATATATGATCGGTAGTCCTCACTCGACTGATAACTCGTTTGTGGAATGATCCCTACTATCAAAAACAGCCTCAGGGACTCCACCCATACAGCCTAGGTAGCATTAGGGCTACAATCCAGCGTCAACATCTACGCTATCATTGGCTTATGTACACTACGTCCACTCGCATAGGAGGGGCTATGGATCCAGCGAGCCACTCACCCCGCCAATAGAAGCCCCCAACTGTCATGGTGCGTGATATTTGACGCCTGATGGCCTGGGGCTTGGTGTCGCTGCTAGATCCATTGGGCACGCTCTGTTTGCAAAAGCGGCAATGGAATTAGTCCAAAACAGAGGGCGGAGCGGAGTCAGTTTGTGCAAGGATGCCCGCTGGCGGAGTGGGGTTAGCGGAGTACTTCCATCGACAACGGTTGATCTACCTCTGCTGATACTGTATATGGGCCAGAGTAACAAATGCCAGATTCCCGGTGGCGAGATCAGCGTTTCGGAGGAAATTAGGGCTGAACCGACAATACAGCCCGTGGCTGGCTGCTGAAGCCCATTGCTGAACGGTGTGCACTCTGGGGAGAATAATCCCGGGGGAGATGGGCTGAGTGAGCAGCACATGACCTGGATCCTGTGACAATGTGGAATGTTGGCTCCTTCCGGTTGTGATGGGGAAACTCGCACGTGGCTCGGGCCAAGAACCAGACAAGTTAGACAACCTTACCTCCTCGATCCGCTGCCAACAAGCCATGGAAGATGCAAATAGTTTGAAGGTATGTGTATATTTTCCGGGCAAATAAGACAAAGACAGTTATCAGCTGACATAAATCCACAAGAAGAAAATTCCCGAATATATACCCTGTCTCAAATACCACCCGTGAATACAACCAAGAGAATTAACGACAAAAGTGAGCAGAAAAGCCTATCCCAATCCATATATCCATATATCCATATATCCATATTTTGAGCCGAACAAAAAAGAAAAACCAAAGTCATTGCCGTCATTAGAAAGAATATAGTACCCCGAAGAAAAAGCAAGCAGTCATGAAAATCGGAATCCGTTGGCGGTTGGTATATCAATACTCGTCGTCATAGGTGTATTTGTTCGATGCTCGTCGGTATTCCTCAGGGTGTGCATTCTCCGCTTTCGACTTCAACGCACTATTGAGACGATTCTGGTCAGCCTGAACACGTTGCAAATGGCGCAGTCGTTTTGCCAATGCCAAGAATGGAATTGACAGCGGAGCGGAGCGGAATCCAGCGCCCAACGTTGCAAATGGTCTGCGGGAAGGGAAGATGAACAGAGATGGAAAACTCACGTCACACGCTTCTGAGTCCATTCCAAGTCACGCTTGGTCTCTCTGGCGACTTTGATGCCCTCGGAAAAATTGGCACGAGCACCCTTTAGGCGTCGCTGCGCAAGAGCCTGTAATTCTAGCAGCTCGCGTTGCTTTGCGTTCAGCTGGCCGGACCTAATTCCATGTCAGATCAGCAAATATGTACCCCACCGGAACGAAACGGTTGCAATCTTCCTGTCTTAGTACGACATGAGGGAACCTCAATGTTCCCAGAAAGGGAATGTTACTCACGCCTGCGCCTGCATGGCGAGTCCCTTGTCCAATGGGGTCGGATCAAATGCATTCTGCATGCGGTCACTCAAGACTTCGACGACATCAACTCCGGAGTACGAGGCCGAGCTGGACTCGTAGTCGCCACTGAGACTGCCAGAAGTGTAACTGAGTCCCGAGGTGCGACTTCCCGCAGTGGTGCTGGTATCGGAGAGCTCTGGTGGGGAGCCAGCCACCCGGCTGACGGGATAGAGGCTAGCCGGGGCAGGAGCCTTGGAGGGGACATTTATGGGAAGAGCGGCGGGTTGGTAACGTTGGGTAGCCATTGTTATGGTGGAAAGGGTGAACAGAATAGGGTCAGGCTCTGTAAAGGTAAGGTTCCTTGTGTATAAGTTGTGTCTGACGGGAAGGAAGAATAGCTTTGCTATCGGGTCTGGTAGGAGAGAATGATGGAGATGAAAAGGGAAGAAGGAGGAGGAGAAGGTCAGAAGGAAAAGGAAGAAGAATTTATAGCCTTCGCCGGGGAGTCTTCCCTCCGGCGGGAAGGTGTTGGGCGACGAGGAGGAGGCGAGTCCATGAGACTCGGAAGAATGTGAGGCATGACAGAGGACCAATTGGGCATCTCGGAGTCCTTCCTCCCCCTCCTCTTCCCTCCCTCCCTTCCCTCTCTCCTCCGTCTTCCTCCAATCTGAACTCTCCGGGCCCCCTTTGCCCCTCGATTGCTGCTCGCCAATTCGCCCCTCATCCCGAATCAACCCCGCTCAGAGTGGGAAAAGAGAGAGAAAAGAAATTGAAGGGACTGGTCCAGCCCCTCTCCCCTCCAGCTATCCTCCACTCGGACTCCGTTCCGCTTTCCCGTGGCCGTGCAGTCATTGTCTTAGTTATGGTCGGTGGACGGGGAGAGAAAAGATAAAAGGGGAGGCAAGAGAGCCCAGAGGGAAAGAAAAGGAAAGGTTGTGGAATATCTTGTTTGTCTGTCAAAGACTGGATGTTTTACAGTGTCTCCCCTCTTCTCTACCCATCCTCTCCGTCTGTTTCTGCTATTAAAAAAAAAAAAAAAAAAACGTCTCGTCCTCCTGGTGTTTTTTCTTTCTTTTCCTATCCGACCCCAGCCATTTCCGGGGGCTGGGTGGCTGGGGAATCTTTGGTGGTCGTTAGAGATGCGAATTGAGGCTTATTCGACTCGAAATGACGATGATAAGAGAGTTGCGTGACTACAAAAATGCCTAACAATGATATTATCCAATTGCGTCGAGCGATCTTGTCCGTGGCTTTTCCATACTATGCCTCGTTTGCTTCTTTGTTTTTTCTTTCTTAATTTCGCCGTGACCGTCAATGTCGTCACTTACCTGTGTCGCCGTTGTGTTCCAGTGATTCAAGTCTGTGGGAGGAATTAGAGTGAGTAAAGTGACTTTCTTTCTATGCGTGTTGGGAACAGGAGGTATTTTTTCCCCGCCTTCCTCCCCGGTTTTTTCTTGTTTTCTTTTCATTTTTCTAACCTCTTGCAGAGCATACCAGGTACTGGAACTGGACAAAAGAAAGACAAGGCGGAGAGCTGACGAAGCAACAGAATTCCGTGAAACAGAAAGAAAGGTCACGGGGATCGAAGATCAAACTTGTTGGACATCACTGCATAGTCCGAAGGAGGGGAGAGACGAGACATCAGGAATGGGAAATATTAATCCTGGATGTCTTCGTTCTCGGACTCCAAAGACGGGCCTCGCCTCTCGTCCCAATCCCGGCAAGAGAAACCTAAGATCGCCCAAGTGGCACGGCATGGTAGAAAGGGGACCCTAGGAATTGAACGACCACTGTACCATATGCTAAACTGGGGGAAAGTGATGGAAATCGTTGACTCAAGTTCTATCCCGACTGTCTTCACAGCAAGAATTCTCTTTGACAACCAAACGATGACAAGCGCTTTAAACGCCGCCAACGTGGGAATTTTGACGATAAATAAGCCAGAGTGGAGTGGATTTCCCCAGCTCGTGCTTGCATGCGACGATGGAATTGATGACTCGCTTTGTTGGGTCCCTGCAGAGTACTTCCGACGGTGCGATGTCCAACATTTGGCGGCCTTCGTTTTGAGGCCCAAAGAACCGAAGGCCAAAAAGAAAAGACGGGAAAAGAAAAAGAAAAAAAGAAAAAAGAAAAAAGAGGAGAAGAGAGGAAGCCCTACGCTGACACGATGATCTGATCTGCTTGGCACACAGTAACGCATGCCTCCCCATGTTCGACTGGACACACGGCTGGGACTAGGGAAAACCGCTCACCTTTTTTTCGCTGGCTTTGACATCCACCAACAGGCCAGCAGCACCACTGAATCCTACTAAAAATGCGGGCATTGTCACAGCCATACGACATCGCTGCCTCATGCAATCCCAAATTGTCGCCTTACCGGTTCAGCCGTACCATCGCCATTATGCAATTTCTCCGGTTCCTTTGGCTATGTGCTACCCATGCCTAAACACCACCCAGGACCAAACAAGAGAGAGATACGGATTGATTGCAGCAAAAAGTGACCTCATTTTCATACTACACTGGCCGGATCACCGGTCACACAGACGCCCGATGAACCAAGTATGCTGAGTTTTTTGACGGAAACCTTCACTCCCAATCCCACATCCGATTGTCTATCAACAATACTCTCTTATCAGGCCGATCATTTTAATTATCTTAATCATTTTCTTGGATCTTCGTCTTGTCACCAAACTGGCCACATCCAGTTGTTTCAGCAAAATTAAACGCAAAAATTGCCCTCAGAAACGGGCACCTGGGTTTGCCTGCTTGGGATTTGCACCGCTAGACCCACAGGCTGAGTCTGCCCATGCTGCACGACCTGTTTGACCTGATCCCTCATACGTTGACAATCCTTTGGTTGCTTTGAACCAAGAAATTTTTTTCTCAAGTCTGCCCAACAGATCGGGTGAGGTCCGTGTTAGGATGTTTATCGGTTATTATAGGCACTATACTAAAACAACGTGAGATTTTGTCACGGTGCCACCTTCTATCAACTCCGGTTACTTTTCTGCATTGGGATGCCCTCTTTGACGGCAATGCCAGCCCCCGATGCCCCTTCATGCAATGTGGATGCAACGAGTGTGGGGTTGGGTTGAATTCGCCTATCGTTCGTTTGCTCGCTTTTTCCTCACCGCCACATGCAACCCCCGATCATGATACTGCTCCAACCAACTGACTCTCCAACTCATTGGGTCTTGAGAAGAGTAGCAACCTCCCGATTCCACTTTGTTTTATTTGATTTTCTAGAACATAGTGGATTGGAGACCGGGTTAAACCCGGTAGTCCAATAACGTCCCGGGGGGGGGGAGCATGGGGCATCCGTTGGACTTCCCACACATGCCTAATTCGACATGGACACTCGCTTACACTTTACTGGACGCTGAGCCAGCTGTTGCTAATACCCAGACAAATAACATCATACTCAGCAGATCATCCCCTCAACAGGCTCATATCTTTTATCATGCACGAGAGAGCTCTGCCGGGTGATTTACGATGTTGTCATTGGGGTCTAATTATCATGGTCTGGGGCTGCAATATGACCACAGCCACATTTGTTTCAACTCCGAGGTTATCCTGCAATTGGTACCTCAATGAAATCCTTGCCTAGTGGTTTCAATTCCTGCAGTGGATCATGTATGACGAGAAGCTTGGAGACCAGCTGACTTTGACTGAAGATCGACTCTCTCTCAGTTTGCAAAGCGCCGAAATAGAAAGCAAGACAGAAAGGCAGCAGCGAATCCATGTCATGACCCCTTGGGCAACCCGAACAACTTCACCGACATGCAGTAAACTCGGCCGTGAATCGCCCTCGTCAACGTCTACTCGAAAAGGCCGGGGTGTCACCTGAACCTGAACAAAGTTACACGACAATCGGATCTGCCTCACCATCGGAGGTTTCTCTAAGCCAGGGTTGGCCACATGGTGAAATCCAAGGGTGATCATGACAAAATGCGCACATCCAATCAATGTCTTGCGAGCCTCTTTTCTGAACACTGGCTGTGGCGGTACTGCGTGTACTAGACGGTATTGCATGCATTGGGGCTGGAAGGATCGGGTCCTCTGACACCCTTGACATCCATTGTGTAACAAGGGAAGACGATATGAGCTCGAGTCTGATATTGACTAAATTTAGCAGTAAGATGATATCATCGGTTTATGTTGAGCTATGGTAAGTTTAAAACCGAGCCTTGCTCGTCACGACCAAGTTATATCCATAACACTTCTAGTCCGGCTCAGAATAGAGATAGATAGAAATTGCTAGTAGGAAATGATCTCTTTGAAATTTACCCACCTGTGTAATGAATGGGTTTACCCGTATATGGACGTTGTCGTGAATGACCTTTCAACTTTAAGCTTCCCTTGACTTGGGATAAGAGAGACCTTGCTATGGAATCGAGCTCTGTCATCTTAGTTTAACCCACAACTCCAAGTGTTTTTGTTTTCTGCCTTTGTTGTTATTCTTCTTGCCATCAATCCATTTTTGGGCGGGAAGTATGAGTCACGGCAAGAAATAATCCACCCAGCCCTATACTGATTCTTTTGATAGTCCATACAAAAGAAAGTCCTTGAAAGGAAGGTCCAAATGGAATCATAGTCTTCGATATTATAATAAAACATGCGAGTCATCATCTCTTCGTTCAAACGAGAATCTTCATCTCAAACGACGGAGAGCAAGTTGATCGGTCTGCTCGACCTCGGTATTCTTCCCCCAAGAACCCAAGTCGGCAGAGACCCCCTCTGATATGCAAGCGGCTAGCTGTTCACTAGAGTATCACTATATAAAATTATCTATAGGAAGTAATGAAGAAAAGAGGAAACGGGTAGGTATGAAATGAAAACGAAATGAAAAAGGGGGTAAGAGAAAAGACTCGTTGATCTGCAAATACAATTCGAGAAGTTAAATGTCGTGCTCATAAGCTGGTATCGGGAAAAGCCACGCAATGCAGAGGCTTGGAAGACAATTGGGAATTGCTCAGAAAATCCGAGAAATGACGCCGGGCACGAGGTCGAAGGTCCAAAGAACAATAAACCTGAAATTCCGGCCCCGTAATGCTGAAAGGTATCAATCAAACTTGAAATGCCAAAATGCAGATGCAATGTTGAGGAAGTCCGCAATTGCAAACAAAATGCGGATGATGAAGCAAAAAAGGAAGAAAAACAAGTGACAACAGAACATGAAAACAAGTTGCGACTGAAAAATAAATCAACCCAAGGCGCCGTTCCTTCCGATGGCTCTCTCGCCATTCCAAACCCCAGTCCAGAAAAATAAAAATAAAGCGTAGGAAGCAAAAAACACTGCATCCATCACACGAACATGTGAAGCAGCAAGAACCAATAACCCCGTTGCAAGTTGCGTGCTTGGGAGCGAAAGAAGCGAAGGAATCAAAAGATGCTCGTTGATCGTGGGAAGTAAAGCCATGTTATTTTTTAGCGAAGAACGGATAATCCGCCTCATTCGTCACGTTGGCTGTCGTCGTTGTGAGGTTTTAGGCGGTCTCGAAGTAGAAGAAGAGGCCGGTTGGGATCCAGTAGTCCCATCATCATCTTGCCGAGTTCATTGTGTTTGATGGGTTTGGTGACGTAGTCGTTGAAGCCAGCGCGCGCGGCGTCTTCAATCTGATCTGTCATTGCATTGGCGGATAAAGCCATGATCGGGATTTGAGGGTAATGGTTCTTAAGCTCCCATCCACGAATGTCGCGACAGGTCTCATATCCATTCTTCACGGGCATTTGGATATCGCACTGTAGGTGGCAATGTGAGCCATGATGAAGCTGATTAGGACACTACGAAAATATGGACTTACTATGATGAGAGAGTAATATCCCGGTTCCTTGGAGAAGACTAATTCCGTGCATTCTTGGCCATTGGCTGCGGTTTCAGCCATAATCTTGATCTTGTCCAAGTATTTCAACATAACCTATGTTCACGTTAGAGAGATACAATTAAAGCGTCAGGGAGAAAGGGGGGGAGCGTACCATGCGATTTGTTTCATCATCCTCAACAAGTAATACCCGGTAGCCTTTATTACCAATGACCTCCTTCACCATTTTGGACATTGTCTTGAAGTTGTTGTTGATCTCCCTTGCCATATCCTGGTTGCGGTCCTTGCTCAAGTCACGTCGGTTATCAGGGTCGAATATGGCCGAGAATGCAGAAGGCTTAACCGGCTTCGGTACCATATACACACGCTTTCCGCTCGAAGACAATTCCTTGATCTTTGCATTGATTTGTCGTTTCTGGTAAAGATCCGAAATGATGACAAGAGTAGGAGCAGCGCTAAGCTCGCACTCCGCAACATACTGAACGACATCCAAAACATCATCGACGCCGGGCAAGTTCAGAACCAAGTGTGTGATGCTCGACCCAGAACTGGCATTCACCGAGTCTCTCCAATCCTCGACATCCGGCAGGGATTTGGTCTCGAATGGGACCTCATGGGGAACCACCTGCTCGATATGCTGCTTTATGGCCATGCGAGTGTTGTCAAGTGGACATAAAATCAGTATCGAGTATGAACTTTGTGGATGCGATGGATCGGGCCCTGGATTCTTGGTCGGCGCTAGCGAGTCTTGCGAGCCAGATGAGCTAGGTCGAGCAATTGGACCGTTATTCGAAGGCGTCGCTGGACTAAGTCGCTCATCAGACTGGCTAGGAGCAGGTTTTGCGAGGTCCATTTTGGCGAGAGGATCGACGGAGTGAATCTCGGGGGTCGGTAATGCGGAGGAGAATGAAGAACGCTCGGAAAAGTTGGTGTTAAAGCGTACTGGAGAGTCATTGGGAGATGGTTGAGAAATTGAAGATTCGAGGGCAGATGAAAGATCAGACGCCTCATGGCCTTTGGAATCAATGGAGTCCCTGGATGAGAAGAGCATTTTGTGTAGAGAATTGGGCTTGGACTGAACTCCAAGCGCTTCGGAAATGTTTGAGGACTGCCGAACAAGTCGAGGTTCATCCGGAGTCGGTGCTGGAGGGGGAGGGGCATCCACCTTGACGTAGAACGAAAACTTGGCTCCTTGACCCTCTTTGCTGCTGGGGGTCAATCTCCCACCATGCATTTCGACCAGCTGCTTCGACAAGAACAACCCAAGCCCACTACCAGCATGCTGCTGGGAGCCATTTTGCCCTAATTGGCTAAATCTCTGCATCAGACGTTCAGCATCCCTAGCACTGAAACCCTTCCCAGTATCGACAACGTCGAAATTCAATAAGAGCTCCGTTTCCTTAGAAACAGCCGAGGGGTTGTTGTGAAGAGAGCAGCATATGTGAATTTCACCTTGCGTGGTAAACTTGACCGCATTGCCGACAAGGTTGATGAGCACTTGTCGAATCCGAAACCTGTCCCCAATCACCATTGCAGGTACGTCCACGTCCATGAGATAATTGATTTCGAGACCTTTATCGATCGCCCTAGATGCAACAGTGTCTATCACATCTTCGACCACTGACCGGACATGGAACCACGAGTTGACCATTGACATCTTGCCGGCCTCAACCCTGGATACATCCAGGATGTTGTCAACCAGTTCACGTAGATTGGTCGAACTATTCTGAATCGTGTCGAGCATCCTTCTCTGATCGGTATCAAGCTGTGTATCGAGAATGAATGGGATTGTCCCAAGAATTCCGTTCAACGGCGTTCTTATTTCATGGGACATGTTGCTGAAAAATTTCGTCTTCGACTCCATTTGGTTGTTGAGTTGTTGCATCGCCTTGTTGAGCTCCCTTTCCAGATTTTTTCGGTCGTTAATGTCAGTGCAGGTACCGTACCATGAAGCTTCACCACTGCCAAAACTGCTGGTCTCAACCCTAACCAAGCGGACAAGATGCCAACGGAAATCACCTCCTTTAGACCGAAGGCGAATTTCAGTCGAATAGAAAGCACGTCCATTTTCATCCTTTTGTACCGATGCCACCCCGCGCCTTACAAGCTCGTCCAACGCAGGTTTGACGCCATGACTGAAATGTCGCTCGGGAGAAGCTGCCTTTGCCTTTGCAGATTCGGTTAATGACTCATGCGATTCGCTCGTAATCAATCCGTTAAGGGACTCGAGAAGCTGGAGAGATAGCACGCCGCACTTCTCTAGGTCATCGGGATGAACATGTTTCGCGAACCCAAAGTTCAACGCTTCTTCAAGCTTCTGGCCGGTATACAAATGCCATTGTTCGTTCGCAAAGATAAGGCCACGGTATTCGGCTGCCTCGAACACTACCTGCGGAATCGAATTGGAAAACGCTCGGTATTTAGCATCTATTGCGAATTTCTCCCTCTCTTGCGTAGCTTTCAGTTCTGCAATATGCTGCTCATGTATATCAAGGAAAGAACCAATCCAATATAAAACCTCTCCTGTAGCAGAAAGCAGAGGATTTGCCCGAAAAATGAACCAGCGATATGCTGATTCATCATTGAATCGCTTGACCCGTACCCGTTCCGTGAACTGTGATCCAGTCCGTAGCGCATTTTCCCACTCTTGGGAGACGTGCTCACGTTCACTGTTGTGAATGTTCTGCCACGGATCTCTCAATTTTTGCTCTTGGGGCTGACTCCTCCTAAAGGCATCGAATTTGGCATTCGTCCAAATCACTTCTCCACTTTGGGGTTTGGCGAGAAACAGGTGCAGAGGTACCGAGTTCAGCATTAGCTGAGCCACGGTATCAGAGAACGGGCGGGGCAGCTCCCGTTGTAGATGGGCGTAGAAGGAGTTCGTTGAGGGATGGCGGGAAGGGTTTTGAGTTGGTGATATGACTGGAGGAGCTCTGAGTTCCTGTAGGGGAGATGCAACCGCGAGATTAGGGTCTTGAGGAACCGTTTCTTCATCTCCAGATTGTTTGCCCCATGGCTTTCCGGGAGACGTAGGTGTCGAGGACGCGGCGTTTTGCTTCACTTTAGACAGCCTGTTGCGATGTTGGGCAATGGCCTCGCGAAAACCTCTCGACTGCTGGACATTGAAGTAACTGTCCACAGCGTCGCTGTTAGCTTTGGTAGTTAAATTGGGAGATTCGCCGGAATCCTTTGTATTCCCAGCTCCAATATTATTCAAATCAAACCCGGGTGTGCCAAACCCCGATATAGCAGGACTGAGTTTTGTGGAATTTGACTTTTCATCGGGGCTAGAGAGGCTGGCACGGGCGGATAGAGAGCCGTCCTCAGCTAATGTATAACTAACATGCCCACTGAGGCCAGCGACAAGCTCCAATTCACTGCTCTCATCAGAAAATGTTCCGCCAAGGCCGAGAAGATGTCCATAGCGTGGTGTTTCGAGGCGGGAAGCGAATTGCCGCTCAAGTTGGCTGTATTGTTGAGCCAGGCAAAATGAAGTAGTAAGGTGAGGCATGAGGTAGGCTAGCGACTGCCTTAAATTGGAAGGATAAGGTATTACTGGCGATAATATCGATATGACAGCGACGGGAAATCTCAGAGTGGATGAAGAAAGTTGTTTAGAACGCCCTGCATGCAGAAGAGGAATATGAACCACAGACTTGGCTAAATCGACACCAATTGCTGCTAAGGGCTCCAAGTTGGAATAATCATGCGGAGGTGGGTGTTTAGCAAAAGCCTCCTCATCTACAGCATGACTAGTAAAAAATGGGTTTTGTTCTGCATGCGCTCGAGGCGCTGGCGATGGAGCGGGAGATTGGGACCAAGGGGACGGTGGAACTTGCTCATATTCATCGTAGAACTCGATTGACGAATGTTGAAGCCCAGTTGCACTAAGATTTGATGCGGAACGATCGCGCGCGGAGCGGACAGAGCGTGATTGTTGGTGAAGTGGCTCAGCAGTCGGTGTAATCTGAACCTTGTCATCTTCCAGTTCCTCGCCGTGGGGCAGCGAAGTCTCCCCTTCATCGTGAGCATATTCTCGGGTCAAAACAACAGGTTTCGTTCGCCCAAACAACTTCACGACGCCTGTCCGCTTGATAAGAGGGTCCTTTTCAACCTCCAAAGGCCTGGGTATGGGGAAGACAGCTTGTCGAAAATTGTACGGCGATGCGCCCAAGGAATCGTAGGACTGCGATTCTTCCTGATTTCTGGCAGATACGGCCCGCGATCCTGTTTCCTCGTTCGAAATGCCCTCCACATTATTTGTCTCTGATTTTGAAGTGGGTTTCATCTTCGAAACATGTTGCGATCGATCCGAATCCTGTACCCCCGGGTGTTTCCTATCCTTACCAAATCCCGCAAAAGAATGCCGTGCCAATAACGGGGGACGTTTCATGGGAGATGGAACAGGCCCTTGCCCTTTCGCGATGTTTCCCGTAACCGCATCATTGGTCTTCTTTTCCGAATCACCGCCGTCTTTCCGTGATTTATTGCAGATGGCCGCATCATTGTGTAGATCTTGAAGACGTAGACTGTCGGACTCGCTGCTAACGTTTTGGTTGAAAATTGCTTTTTGACCCCACGGCACATTCTCGAGATCCGTCGCATCGCCCGGAATGGCAAGTGATGCTCTCTCCGCTCCATAATACGTTTGTAGAATAGTAACCACGTTAGACCACCATCCATCCAACCCAGGTTCCGCATTTAGTTGCAACGTTAAGTCATACAAATTCGGGCTAGGATAGAAAGGGTCTTCTGTAACAGGTTTGTGCTGTGGCGGCATGAAAACACTGTGAGATGTTGGGGTTTTGAGCGGGACGGTCTGCCGTTCATCCGAGGCCTGCGGTGGGGTCCCATGGATTTTTAATTTCTCGGTCGGAAGCGTCAGCTTAAAGTGACCATTGTTGTTGAACACAGAGTCCTGGCCTGATCTTGCGGTCGGCTGGGGCTGCTGCATTTTGGGGAAAGGGTACGATGGCGTTTGTCCGGGGGGGTTCTCGGGCGTGGTGTTTGAATCCACGGCTCTAATCGTGCCACCTGAGCCGGGAGAGTCGGAATACGGGGCAGAGGGAATTGCTCCTGTTGATAAGGGTGCGATCTTCGGAGGTGAGACATTGGATAATCGTCGTTTTCTCGGGGGTTCTTGGGCGTTGGATGACACAGGATCGGTTCGCGATGGAAACCCTTCTCGACCGGTGGATGCGTTTTCGTTCTGGGACTTTTGCATCTGTTGGTAGACAAGTAATTCCTCCATCTGTCTCCGTAACTCTTTGAGAGTCTGCAAACTTCGTCCCTGGTCTTCCTGGTACCCTTTTCCCGAATCTGGGTTCTCCTCTTTGATGGGCAGCGGTACACGGCACGAATTCGTAATCTGTTCATGCGGCAGAGCAGGATGAGTGTTAGCCTTTTTTCCAGTATCCTCCAAGGCCATATTCCCATCCACATTATATCCATCATTGCAACTGCTAGCGAGACCGGAGGAGGTTGGCTGTGAAGGACCACGATGGTGAGGATGCGCGGCGACAGGCGAAGGAGCCTCGGCCGGCGATGGAAGCGGAGGCGTCCTCATGCTGCGAACTTCCCCCATCGTCTCTCTCCTCCACCGCCGGTCAGATAATCAATTCTCCTGGGCAAATCCACTTCCACAGGAACCAAATGAGACACTCATCTCTCGGACAAAACGGTCCGCGGTCAGGGGGGGATGAGGGGAGGGGAAGTGAATCGGAGAGAGAGAGGGAAAAAAAAAAAAAAAAAAAAAAGAGGGGGAAAAAAAGGAAAAAATAAAAAAAATATATATATATAAAAGAAAAAAAATATATAAAACACAAGAATCGAAAAGAAGGGAAAGAAGGAAAGAAAAAAAGGTGTAAGTGAAAAAGGGGGGGGGGGGGGGGGGGGGGGGGGGGGGGGGGGGGGAGGTTTGGGGATGGGAATGGGTAAAGAAAAAAAAAAACGACCTGGGAAGTAGTACCGGGGGGGGGGGGGGGGGGGAGGTGTGGGGATGGGAATGGGTAAAGAAAAAAAAAAACGACCTGGGAAGTAGTACCTCTTGAGATAGGGTAATTCTAGAAAGAAAGAAAGGAAAGAGGGAGAGAAAAAAAAGTTCGGAAAGTTGACTAAAGCGGTGTATAGCGGTGGTGGTGAGGTACAGTAATAATGGTTGGTGGTGGTGGTAGCGAGTACGGTAAGAGGTATCAAAAACAAAAAGAGAAGAAAAAAAAGAGAAAAAAAAAAAAATGGAAAAATAGAAAATAATGAGATAGTGTGTAGGCAAAGGGTAGTGTGGTAAGGTAGAAAAGTGAGTGTGAAAATGAATGAGGGAGGAAAGTTCGAGTGATCTGACCTTCCCAACCAGAAGCACTGGAGCAGGTTCTGCTGTGACCCAGCGAGATCGACGATTTGTGGTGGAAATGGTCCGTCTCCGGGGGGGTCCAACCTATGACGTAGGCGAGCCCTGGGGGGTGGGAGGAGGGAGGAGGGAGGAGGAGGGGGGCTGGCAAAACCGCGGCAACTGAAAAAGGCTCCCTCAGCCCTGGGGGGGAAATTAGGAGGAGAGACAATGGGGAAGGGAGGGGGGCAGGAGGAGGGAGAGGGGGGAAAAGAGACAAAGAGAAGGAAATCGTCAGCCAGAAAGAGAAGGGAGAGGAAGAGGAGGGAGAGGGAGGGAGGGACTGGCAAAAGGGAAAAGGTAAGAAGACAAAAAGGAAAGAAAGAAAAAGACGGAAAAAGGAAGTAGGATAGTCCGCTACGGAGTACAGGAAATAATAATTCTCATAATGATAATAAATATTAAGGCAAAGGGGAAAGAAAAGAAAGAGAGAGGGAGAGGGAGAGACTGATGAATTTACTAGTAGTAACCACCTACGCATTTCAACGGATTTCGTCAGAGAATGGTTATTATTATTACTATTATTTTTATTATTATTTATTTTATTTGGGAGAGGGAAAAAAAAAGAGAGCAGATACACTGAGAAAAGAGAATGAAAGAGACAGACAGAGAGGGAGGGGGTGCAAGCGCCCAGAGAGCGAGTGGGAAAAAGGACAAAAGTGGGTTTTGCTTTGCTGAGTTGGAGGATTTCACGGTATACATGGTATTATTACGGTATCATCAGTACTGTTACAGAAAAATCCCCCCGTTCAACCTTCAGGTTCTAGGGCATGTAATAAATTATGACATCCACCAACAGTTCCATTGAACCACACTGTACCCAGTGCATCTGATATTCATGCTCATCATCATTCCTATTACTGGGGATCCTAACTACTTATCTTAACTATCTGAACTAAAATTGATGGCCATCATTTGATGTGCTTGGAATAGAATGATATTTAATACTATGAGGACATGTTTCTCTTTTCTTTTCTTTTATTTTAATTATTTTTTTGTCTCTTTTTTCTCTTTGCTCCACATGGACTCGGATACTGTAGGTTTTCGGCACGTTTCTTGGGTAAGATATTTAGGTATGTACCGTACAGTACAGAAAAGTATTGACCTACAAGATCTCCCCATAGACTCCATCCAGCTGGACGACACAAACCTCATAGGCTGTCGATTCTCATACTTGCGTCGGGTTCTTCTGTAGGTTTCTTTCTTTCCTTCAGCTGTCATCGTGACAGGTCTCCTTCAGTCATGGTCCTAAAGCCAACGCTGAGGTGAACAGTTTTTGATACTGCATAAAATCCATGATAGCAGTAAGCAGACCCTTCAATGCTGGTCAACCCACGCTACTGGAAATAAACTACTGGTTCACTATGCTTATTATTTATGCCACGCACCTACATCATAAGGGGAGACAGGACAGATGCGGTCGCAGAGACGGATATAATGCGAACCAACCAGCGTTCTCTCTGCTGCGTGTTTGTCAATTCTTAAAAAATGTTATTTTTATTCTATTTCAAATAACCATGTCAGAATGGTTCTTGGAACCCCCGAAGAAGCAATGGAAAAAATAACACCACCTTTTCTTCCCCCTGGGTTTTTTTTTTAAAAATGACGAAAACAGAAAAAGAAAAGGAAAGACAAGAAAAAGATTTGCTTTCCCCGGTCCGCAGAAGACGTCAATGGTCGTTGGTGGCGCATTTCGACTTCAGACCTTCGGGTACGATAGTTGGATAATGGACGATGACGACCAGTAACCAAAAAAAAACATTGAGCCATATGGCCATCCAGAAAAGAGCAGCGGTCGCATGGTGTTTGCCACGCTGCGAACCACTATTAGGAGGGAGACTACCATGGTTATAGTACCGAGAGTGACATACCTCATCTTTTTACCCATCAATTTCATTCCGACATGGTTCTTCAGTCTCCAATCAGTGGCTGTCTTACCCACCCAAGCTAGGTAGGTCATAGTATGGGGTACAGCATTCCATACTACTAATACTGCTAAATTACTTACTAGCTCGCTATGTATATCATCGACCCCTTCAAAGCGTCATCGTTTCTCAATATATATTTTCATTCTGGCTATTGTTGTGATATTATCATTAGCTGCGATAATAATGGCCAACGGTCCACAGGCAGGGGTACATCATCCGCCCTTGCAATTAACATTCCGAAGCGAGTCATGATCCAATCTATATAGTGTGTGGGACACGCTGCGACGGTCTCTTAAATAATCCCGGATGTCCTGCCTAACCCGCTTCTTTTCGGTGTTTAGCCCCTGTACTGACTACTACACATACAATTAATAGTCAATCTGCCATCATCCTCGTTCTCTACCCCTTTTTTTATTTTTTATTTTTTAAATTTCTTGTGTTTCTTTTTTAAGACATCGTCATCGATCATATGGGGTAGATGGAGCACATCTATCGTTCTATTGCTTTGACTACGGATCATCCACTGCATGCTGATTCCCTTCCTATCACTGTCAACGTCACCAACGGAAAATTATCAATAGGCAATTTCACTGCATTGCCCGTCGATCTTCCAACGGTTCGGACGTCATCCCGTCCACTTACGGTATGTTGTCTTGGACCTATCGTCAATATTTCATTTCGCCGTATATTCGGGTACGTACTCTGTACTCAGCCTAGAAAAAAAAATTCTTTAAACAAAAAAAGGGTCCAGGTGAAGAGCCACAATAGTGGAATCTACCCTAACTCCCTGAGAGCACATGGCCCTTTCCACTCCTATCCAGCCTTAGCTCTTATTGTAGTTATTCCGGTAGTATTCCGTACACATGGTATCCCGTCATTGCAGTATGGGACTCTATCAGAAATAGTTCAAAACAGTGTCATTAAAATAGACAGATCCGCTCAATCCATTGGCTTGGGATATCCACTGTTCTGGTTAGGTTGGCTTGATCTTCGCTATATCGTCTCGGAGATGCGACGGCGGTAGCAATATATATCAAAGGAGTCGAACCACTGACTCGAAAACAAGATTACAACCACCACGCTCGCAGATCATCATTATAAGCAGACCATCGGTAGTCAGGCACACATCAAATGTGATTCGAATACATGAACATATCCATATAGCCAACAATGGCATTATTATTCGACGTTCACTTACTCCTTACCAGGGGTATTCATTGTCCGTCTTTTTCTTTCGTAGGCACCCCACCCAACACTGCAGGTGATACAATCCACGATAAACTCACTCGCTGGCTATGGATCGAGCAGAAGCTGATAGCATAGAATTGATAACACCCCTTAATATTAGCATCAAACTAGTCACTATCCTATCCAAGCATGTCATTTGGGCGTTGGAAGCGGCTGATCACCCGCTTGTCTCGTGATGCCCACCAAAGGCAGCTGACTAAGGTGCTGCTTATTCACACATTGTAGCCTGAGGCCCGAAACCCAACTAAAGTCTTGCCCACCCCCCGAAAAAGCCCAGAACAGTCATCTCGCAACTCGACAACCCTTGGATGGTTAGAAATGGTCGCAACCGCGCCGTCGTGACAGTCAAGTTCTTGTCCGCCCTCCGTCCTTGTCACCGTCCAAGGCGAATCGTGCGCTGCTTCTGCCATCCCAGGGCAGTTGTTTCGTTCGATTAAAGAGAACGCCTTGTCCCCTCCTCCGTCCTTGGCGTGTGGTCCGTTTGCGTCCTTATGATACCTTTTCATCCGTCTCAGCATCCCTCTTGATCAGAACCGCGACTGTTTCTCTGGACAATTCACACATGGCCTTGAACTGAGGGGACGGCTCAACCAGGGTTCCTTGCGAAAAGTTGGCTGATATGGAGGATAGTCATCTCCTCGGCGAGGACCTACCGCTCCCACCAGCACGGCTTTTCGATCGATTAGCTCAGCTGCCTGGCTATACTTGGGACCAGTCAATCGAACCCTTTCACTCAACCTACAGCCATTGGCATGTCTTTGGTCTTCGCCATTCTTCAGAATCCGATGTCTCTACCCCCGCCGCTACCTCCTCTGGACCGTCGAGCCTTGTTCGCAACTCCCCCCGAACCGAGTCCCGACCACCCTTCCGTCATCATTGGAGAAGTAGCCTGAGCGAATCCAGCAGCGAGCTTTCCATCTCCCGCCTGGACCATGAACCGGTATGGATTCCTGTGTTGGCCCGCGTTTCGTCCCACATCATACGGCTCGAACGTGAGTTCCATATGATCAGGTCCATCGTGCAAACTTCCGACCCGGACTGCAACCATACGATACGGCCGATCGATTTGATACGACTACCACCAGACCCTGGCGATGCAGGACCCCTTTTGGTAGCTATCTTCGAGTCGCCAGGCCCTAATATGCTGCGGGAGTTGATTACGTTTGGTCCTGCTTGGTTTGCAGTTGGTGGTAAAAGTGATAGTAACGATTCGAGCCCCGGGGAGCAGGTCTCTCTTCCGGTCTTCCTCGACTTTGCCATTGGCGCATGTGATTGCTTGGAGATTTTACACTACGGTCTTAAAACGGTGCATGGTGAAATTCGGGGGGACGCCTTCCACTTCAACCGGGAAGTTGGGTCAGTGAAACTCACCAACACAGGAAACGGTGCCAGGTCATTCGACAATATACTTAGTGAAGGATGGTTCACGCTCTCTCGAGAACTTGGTGTGAAGAACAAGCTGCAGTTCATTGCCCCGGAGCAGACAGGAAGAATGCCGACAGAACCGGATAGCCGAACTGATATTTATGCACTGGGTGTTCTTTTCTGGACGATGTTAGTTGGGAAGCCGGCCTTTAGTGGAAGTGATCCTGTGGAGGTGGTGCAGAATGTTCTTGGGAAGAGGTTACCGCCGGTTTCGATCAAGAGAATGGACATCCCAGACGCAGTCTCAGCCGTGATCCAGAAAATGACACAGAAGGCGGTTAATGAACGTTACCATACGATCTCATCCGTGAAGAGAGATTTGACGCAGATTTCCCATTTACTTGGCGATGGCGATAGTGAAGCGTTGAAGGATTTCCAGATCGCCCAGCGTGATGTGTCGTCTTTCTTCACGCTTCCGACTCGCATGTTCGGACGACGAGACGAATACGACAAGATCATAAACGTTGTGGAAAGGGTTCACAGACGCCAGCAGAGTGCACTTGCAAGGGCAACTGCACAGAATTCCAGCGGAATCGGCTCAAGCTCCTCCATATCAGATGGTCGGGTCGATAGTTTCGAGATTGCCTCTGGCTCCAGCGATTCTGAATCGTTTCATCTGCCCCCAAAAAACAACCACAACGGCAACTCTTGCAACCTTGGACGTATTTCCACGCACGAATCTCTTCACAGTACCGAGTCATCACTTTCGACTCCCAAGGCAGGTCAGAATTCCAATAAAGCTAAAAGCCCAGTTGATTCCCGCTCTTCCTGGGACAATGCAGACCGGGATAGTCACCTTTCCAGTACAAACACACTAAGCCACGGAGATTCTCTCAGCTCTGTAAACAGGCACAAAACTGGAAATAAGCTTCGCCGCGCTGGAAAATGTGAGGTTGTCACAATCAGCGGTGCTGCTGGAATTGGAAAAACCGATCTTTTGAATCGCATTCAACCCGCAATCCGTAAGCTTGGTTATATTGGTATTGCTCGCCTGGACCGGGCGAGGAGAGTTCCCTTTGAACCGTTTGCGAAAATTCTCGCTAGTCTCCTGCGCCAGATTTTCTCCGAACGTGATGTCACAACAGACTATCACAATAATGTCCGCGCGGCATTACGGCCGATGTGGTCGACACTGCACCGAGTTCTGGATCTACCCGAGCAACTGATGTCCTCAGGCGGGAAAGACAAAGAAGTGTCTCCCAAGCTTTCTGCTGCCCAGCATATTTTCAAGGATGTATCGACCAAGGGAGAGCCTTCTAAACGTGTTGCACTTCCACGCCTCGACTACGGCCAGAATTCCGTGGATTTCTTTCTATCAAGTGCCGCTTTAAAGAACATGCGCCTGTTAGAAACGTTCTTGGAAATTTTGAAGACACTGTCTCAATTCAGATTGATCTGTGTTTGTGTCGACGATCTTCACTATGCAGACGATGAAACCCTCGATCTCATTATTAATATTGTCAAAGCGAAGGTGCCATGCGTGCTCCTTCTCACAAGCCGCAAGTCTGAGCTGGAATCAAATGCCATCAGGTCACTATTTGAGATCGAGAATCCCAGCGTAACCAGCATTGTGCTCAACCCTCTGGGAGAGGAGGAGATCATGCAAATTGTAGCCGCTACAATGCACCAGGACCCAAACCCAACGTTAACTCCTCTCGCAGCCGTCATTCAGGAGAAGAGCGTAGGAAATCCTTTCTACGTGCGGATGATCTTGGAGACGTGCTATAGCAAGACTTGTATCTGGTATTCATGGAAGAACTCTATCTGGGAGTTTGATCTGGATCGAATATTCACCGAACTCGTGGCACCTAGGTATGGAGAAGGGCTAGGACTTGGTTTCATTACCAGGCGTCTTCAAGAAATTCCGCCTTCCGCGCGCTCCATACTGGTTTGGGGTGCATTACTTGGGAGTCCATTTTCGTTTTCTTTGGTCCAGAGGCTACTCACAAGCGAGTTTCTATACTCCAGCGATGACGATGATGAGGCAGTTGATCTCACTTGCCCGCAAAATGCAACTATGATCAGACAGACTGAAGCTGATATAGTGGTTGGACTGCAATACCTTGTCCAGGCAAATCTTGTCTCTCCTGGGAAAACGGACGATGAATTCAGGTTCGCGCTTGCTATTCCTTCCATTAGTTTTCCTGCATAATTGTTCTAACCGAGTTTCTGTAGGTTTGCAAATGACCGACTTGCGCAGGCTGCTGCGTCTTTAAGCGAAGGCCGCAATATAGAAAAAATGCATTTTATCATTTCTCAAGCGATGATGAAATACTATCATGACGGTCGCAGTCGCTATGCAATGGCGCGGCATGTAGCTCTCGCCTCACGAATAATCAAGTCCCGTGTCCTTCAGAGACTTGACTACAGAAAAATACTTTGGGACGCTGCTCAGACCGCCGCCCAATCTGGCGCGCGACCAACTGCGCTTTGGTACTTCCGCCATTGCATTTCTTTCCTTCAGGACAGCCCTTGGGATGACAACCTTACTGATGTTTATTATGACGAAACGCTGCGTCTACATATCGCGACAGCAGAGATGTCATGGTCCCAAGGCCATAATGCAGAGGCTCTTAGTCTACTTGACGAAGTCTTTGAACATGGAAAGAGCGCCGTATGCAAATCGAGGGCCTGGATTGTCAAAGCCAAAATCTATGCCCAAATGGGCAATCATCTCCAGTCGATGAACTCACTTCTCACATGTTTGGAGGAGCTTGGTGTGCATCTTCGCGAGCCTACGACATATGAGGAATGTGATTCCGCATACAGTAACCTCAAGGAATACCTTGAAAAGGCAGACCTTGAAGCTATCGTCCGTAAGCCTGTCAGCAGGGACATTAACATGATAACCATCGGAGCTGTCATGGCGGAGGCAATGGCTGTTACATACTGGGATGATGCACTGACTTTCTATCGGATGGCTATCGAAATGATGAACCTTCATCTTTTCAAGGGGGGCTTTGTCCAGATCTCGATTGGCTGTTCACATCTCGCAATGATCTGCTTTAGTCGATTTAGGGACCTGGAGCTTGCTGTGAGGCTCAGTGACTTTGCCCTCTTGCTTCTCGAGCGTTGCCCGGAGCCATGGACCCAAAGCAGGGGCGCCATTGTCCATAATCTTTACGTCAGCCATCTGCGGGTTCCCCTGGCATCAACACTTCCCTCGCTTGAGGCCTCCTTGGAGGCTTCATTCTCAATGGGCGACCCGTACATAACGTTGGTTAGCGTTTCATCCATGGCAATGACCCGATTCTTCTTGGGCCATGATATGGTCCAGCTGGAGGCATTCTGCAACGAGAGCCCCGAGGATCTCCCTGAGTGGATGAACGATACTCGCGGGGGTGCTAGTCTTCTTGCAGTGCGACAAGCTGCTCGTGCTTTGCAAGGAAAGACATCTTTCCGAAATGCCGAAACTATCATGGCAGATGAAAACCATAGGACTGACGAGTTCATTGCGTTCTTGGACAGCAATGCTAGCAATGCTGATCGCCCTCGTGACATCTACTGGGGTCTTGCCATGGTACCCCTCTTTGTCTATGGACACCACACAAAGGCCATAGAACTGGGGATCCAGATGATGGAGACCATGCCCAGATTGTGGTCTGCCCGCGTTTCTTATATTGTTTATTTCTACCTAGCTCTTTCCCTTCTCACCCTTCATCATGACTACCCTTCCCGTGGATACCTTGACGGAAACTTGAAGACCGTCTTAGACTACAAGGCGGAGGTCGATTTTGCGCGAAACGCCTGTGATGCAAATTATGGCATGTGGTCCTTGATTCTAGAGGCCTTGGTCTTTGAAGTTCGGAACGACTATACGTCGGCCATTCAAGCTTTCGAGGTAAGTCGCATGCCTACAAGGCTGCACTGTAGAATCGCTGCTAAATGTGTATCAGGCTGCAATTGATCACTGCCAAATCCATGGATGGCCCTTAGAGGAGGCGCTTGCCCTCGAGTTATACGGTACGTTGATCTGATTTCTCCGTTGCGTATGCCGCACTGATACCAGATGAAGGCGAATTCTTAATACGACGTGGCGCCAAACGTGCAGCGCGCTGTGTGATGCAAGATGCAATTGCCGCATGGGCCTCCATAAGTGCAGCTGGAAAGGCATCGCAGCTCACAGAAAAACATGAGTGGTTACTCAAGACGGCTACATCCTTGAGAAGCGTTGATGTCGGATGTCAAACTGTTGACTCTCTTCTTGAAATCAACCGCAACTCTACAGAGGATCACATGGTGATGACCCAAACCATGGAGGAAGACGACAGGAAGCATCGCTGGATTGAACAAAATGGTGTCACGACGGGTGAACGGTCTCTGGATATCTCCGGAGTTGGTCTGGATATTATCGATCTTTCCAGCATACTCGAGTCCAGCCAAGTGATGTCATCAGAACTCCAGATCGAGAAGCTTCTCACCAAGATGATCGAGATTGTATTGGAATCGTGTAACGGGTCTGATTTTGCTGTTATCGCAACAGAGTTTGACGACAATGGCTTCGCCGTAGCGGCAGCAGGAGATCTTGAAAAGGGACAAAGGGCATTTGTCGATGGCCTCCCCTTCCCTGAGGTCGAGGATAAGATGGCCCAGCAAATATCGCATTATGTCATGCGTACGAAGGAAGAAGTTCTCGTGCACAATGTTCTTGAAGATGAGCGTTTTTCCAACGTCAGCGAGGCCTATCAGACAAGATATCCGCTTGGAAGGTCGGTGATTGCGCTGCCTATCATGCAAGCAGAACATCTTCTTGGTGTCATCCATATTGAGGGCAAGCCAAACTCGTTCACCCAACGGAACGCTGTTGTTCTCCATCTGCTTTGTAACCAAATTGGCATATCATTGTCCAATGCTTTGCTTTTCCGTGAGATCCGCAAAGTCAGCGCTACCAACGCCTCAATGGTCGAATCCCAAAAGCGTGCTCTCGCACAGGCCCGTGAAGCAGAGCAGAAAGCCAAGGTGGCGGAAGCAGAAGCCAAGCACAACGTCAAGCTCAAGGAAGATGCCGCTAGAGCCAAGTCCATATTCCTGGCTAATATATCCCACGACTTGCGTACGCCAATGAACGGAGTCATTGGTCTTTCCGAGCTGTTGAAGGGGACGCACTTGGATAAAGAGCAGGATGAATATGTTGAATCCATACGTGTTTGTGCTGACACTTTGCTTACTCTCATCAATGATATCCTAGACTTCTCAAAGTTAGAAGCAGGAAAGATGAAGATTTCTACGGTGCCTCTCAACATCAAAGAAACAATCTCAGAAGTCGTTCGTGCGCTCCGCTATACGCATAGGGATCGAGGTCTGGACACCATTGAAGATTTGGATAGAGTTCCGCCGGATCTCGTGGTCCTCGGAGACCCTGTTCGTTTACATCAGATTTTCATGAATCTTCTCAGCAACAGCTACAAATTCACACCCAAGGGATCCGTGGCCGTGAAAGCTAAGATATCTCGTGAGGGCAAGGGGCGTGTTCGTCTAGAATGCTCGGTTTCCGATACTGGAATTGGAATTCCCGAAGAACAGAAATCTCGACTCTTCAGACCGTTCTCTCAGGCCGATAGTTCTACTGCAAGGTCATACGGTGGTAGTGGACTTGGCCTGAGTATCTGCAAGGCGATCATAGAGGATGTTCTTGGCGGTGCAATCTGGCTTGATTCGACTCCCGGCGCTGGGACAACAGTCACCTTCCATCTAGCCTTCAACAAAGCTCCCAAGGAGAGTTTCGCGAAGGCATCTTTTACCCAGAACATCAAGAAAACTGAGAATCAGTCGCCACCGAAACCGATTGCCCGTGACCTCACCATGGTTCCTCGCGAACAGATTCGGATTTGCATCGCTGAAGATAATCCAATCAATCAGAAGATTGCTGTCAAGTTTGTGAATGGTCTCAACCTCCAATGTGAGGCATGTAGTGATGGACGCCAGGCTGTTGAGGCCCTGCGGACACGCTCTGCAGAGGGAAATCCATTCCACGTCGTGTTGATGGATGTGCAGATGCCGACCCTCGATGGATATAACGCGACTCGTGAGATACGCAAAGACGCAGACCCTAATGTGAATGAAGTGTTGGTCATTGCGATGACTGCGAGTGCAATCGAGGGTGATCGGGAGAAATGCCTCGAAGCCGGAATGAACAATTACCTTCCCAAACCGGTTCGCTCGACAATCCTGAGTGACATGCTGGACCAATATCTTGCTCCGGTGCCGCCAGTGACCCGGACCAGGCTAGCATTCAGAGAGAAAAGCAGAGCTAGCATCAGTACTGATGTGGGCACACCAAACAGCATCTCGTCATCCGGGTCCGACACTCAAGTCATTGCACTTACACCGGACGAAGAGAAGCAATCGCAGCCGAAGCTCTCTGAGAAAAATTAATCTTGTTTGATTACAGAAATGCACCAGGGAAAATTGCGATAGATTCTATGGCGTCCGGCGATAAAAACAGGCGTTTCGCCTCGTGTTCGAGTTACAAAAAAATGGTTGATTTTCCGTGGCCATGTCTTTTGCGCAGATTTTGATTTACCATTCTTCTCATTACTTATTGTCATCGAGGGAGTTAATAGCATTTTGCCTCCTTTGTACCTCTCTATTTATTCTCCCCCCTTCTTCTTGCCTTTGCAGCCTCTCGAGAGCGCGAGATCCATGGGGCTTTTGTTCTTCCTATCGTCCTTTTTGATGGTTATCGTTCTTGTTGTTACAATTGATGATGACGATGGATATGAATGATGATTTCAGCACTCGAGGCTGATTCCGCCAGGTATGTGGGTAAAAAAAAAAATGTGGATATGTTTCAGATACCTGTGATTGTTTTGCTGCTTTTATTCTCTGTGTCCTCCTTCATATATATATCCTCTATCTGGAGGGAATTCGACTCGACTGTTTCTTGACGATTTCAAGGAGATGATGGACATTGCAATTCCTTAATTTCTCACCCTTTTTTTGTCGTCGCAGAAGCATTTTTTATACATTCAGATTGTGTGCTATACCGGAATGGCTACTCTTTCTACTGTTTTGTCCCTTTTTTCCCCTTCATGTCGGGGGTTTCACTTGATGCTCCTGAGATGAGAATCCCATGTTAGATACTGTTTGCCTCTGCTTTGCTGGTTCCTTGTTGGTTTAGAAAATAGGGCATACCCATGACGCTGGTGTAATATTTCTTATGCTGGTTTTAATGCGATTGTTATTGCTTTTTTCTTGTCTTCTTCTTTTTCTTTTTCCTCCAACAGTCAAGCACATGTATGACTTCGCGAGATTTGTATGAAGAGAATATTAGGATTTTTTATGGTTTAATATGAAAGAGTTTATTTATTCAATGTTTTTGTACAGAACGTGTGTATCAACAGACATCATTATCATGCATCATCCATCGTCTTGGAAAGTGGCAGCGCAGCCGATTAAGCCCTCTTGCCAAAGATCCGGAAACGCTTCACTCCACCATCAGGCACAAGAGTCAACTTGGCATGAGTGAAGACCCGGGTATCCTCACCTCCAGCAGCGAGATCTGCTGCTTCAAAGACATGCTCTGTATCGGCTTTGCAGGGCTTGTCGCCGCTGATCAGCTCAACCCATCCTGCATGGTCGTGCGCAGGCACTTCGCCCTCCTTTCCTTCAACCAATCCGTGAACTCTCACGGCTCGGGGGAAGTTCCCTCGGAAATCCTTGGTATCCACGACAATCTTAGAGACAGAACCAGGAACACCCAGCTTGACAATGGCCCAGTCGACATGGCCGGCGCCTCGCGATCGGGCCGTCTCCCACCCATCTCCCATATCCTTGCCCCGACCCGGCAGCAGCAGATTCGAGCAAGGCGTGAAGTGCTGGTCGGACGCAGCCAGGGCCAGACCACCCAGCAGGGCAGACGACAATTCCTCCACGGCCGTGCTAGCGGCCGACTGTGCAGGAGGGGGAGGCGGGATGGCATGGCCGTACAGACGCAGTCGGCCAAAGCCACCGTCGGGGTACATCAGAAGACGCACATGGGTGTAAGGCTTGGGGTTGGCGGGGTCGTAGTTGCCGAGTTTCCAAGCGCGACGCTGCTTGGGGCCGCAGGGTTGCGGGCTAAGAATGGTCGACCAGCCCGAGTATGCGGGGTCTGCGATCTGCTCGTCTGTGATGCCGCTGTCGGCGGGGGCGTAGGTACCCTGCACTTCGGCCTTTTCGCCGTAGTTGCCGACGAAGAAGCCCGTGTCGACTTCGACGCCTTGGATGGCGGCGCTGGCGACGCCGAGCTTGATCACGACCCAGTCGTAGGGCTCGGGGTTGTGACGTCTTGTCTCCCAGCCATCGTACCAGGCGCCGGTGTGCACGAAGACACCGGGGCGGTTGATGGGAGGGGTGGGAGTGAGGAGGTTGGAGGCTACGGCGAAGTAGTCGTTGGAGCAGGCGAGAACCTTGCTGTTGAGGGCCGATGAGGCCAAGTTGGTGGTGTGGGCAAAGACCTCGTCGATCTCGGCGGAGGGGATGAAGGAGTCGGCCATGGTGTATACTGATTATTTGGAGTTGTGGAGTAGGAAGTAGTGTAGAGATTAGGATGGGGGAGAGAATAAAAAGAAAAATACCAGTCAACCAGGGCTGATGATTGCCCTTAAATAATCACGGCATGAAGCAATCGTGGAGGGGAAATGAATGGCGTTATGTTATCGGATATCGATAAGCCATTGCCCCTCTTAGATTACTCGATGCTATCGAGCAATGCTTTTCTCCCTTCTTGCACCATCCCCACGCTTCTTCTTCCTTCTCCTTCTCCATCCTCTCCTCCATCCTATTCCTCCCGACCAAGTTCCCCCTCTCCATTTATTCCTTTTGACTCATTTCAATTCTATGTGTCAACCGGATTCTTTCCCCCCTCCTCCAGGTTTCTACGGTTCATGCCCCACCGTTGTTCTTCTTCGGAGGTCTCCGACGACCGCAGTCTTCCGAGGTTCAGCTTCAACAATTCAGAAAGTGAAGATGAAGATGAATTGAAGACGTCAATTACCTCATATACGCCCAATGGGTTGTCGTCGTGGTTTATTCACGTGCGTTGTGTTGCTGGTTGAGGGAGAGAAAGTCACCTACCCAACGAATGTCGAAGCACTCAAGGATTCGATAATTGACTGTTGCTACTGACTTCAATCCATAAGATTTTCTTATTATTTTTTCAACAACGACGTACGACCATAGGGTTATGACAAGTCGACGCGAAGAAAGCCTCTCCCCGTGCACCGATGCACACACCAGATGTGGCCAATTCCTTCTAAACTCCGATGATGAGCGGACACACAGAATACAGGTTACTGTTGCAATTGTGGTTAGAGTTCTACTACCATTGTTGTCTACGTTACATGCGTGACGCTGAAGGACGGGGTTTCAAGGTGATTCTTGATTCCCTATGATTGCTCGTGAAATAGTAGAGCGTACAACTCTTCGACAAGAAAAGAAGAGAAATAAAATGAATTATCAACATATGAAGGAGCCCCATCTGCCGTGGTGCTACAGACAGTTTGTGCTTTGCGCGAGGCTCCTGAATCTAATTAACGCCGGTAGTAACGACACCTGTTTCTATGCATATATGCCCCGACAGCAATCAACTTTGATCAAACTCCCAAGCGGTGAGATATTCATCTTCCTGCACTTTTGGTTGCCATGTCTTCCAAGTTTTTGTATTTCCATTCCAACTGCGCCAGCTGCTTCTTGTCCGCCGGTGTTAAGATCTTGCCCTTGTCCACGATTTCCTTTTTCGTGATCTCCCAGCGTTTGAGAAGCTTGGCTTGGTGTTCAGAAATGGACGCTAGATTAGGGTCTTTCGAGGCCAGGCGTTCCTCAATGGTGGAGTGGTAGGATAATTTTGCGTGGAAGAGTGCCATTTCGGTTTCGTCGTATATCAGACCCCGAGCCTCGGGGAGGGAGGCCATGTCGTGTGAGCTCTTAGATGGCATTGTCTAGGGGAATATGCGGCTGCAATTGGTGGTCTTGAGGTTGGTATTTGATTCTGTTTTCTTTTTCGTGGTTCACAGACAGTGTGTGCAGCAGACGAGGATTGGCTTGATGCAATGGGGAGGGACGACAGCAAGAGAGAGTGCAGTAAGTGAGGATTGTATGCTGGTCAATGGATGGATGAGTTATATACACCCTCCCAGGCAACAAAGAAAGAGTGGATTGAATTGAAGCTGAAGACTGATTGTTGGAAAAGGGCCAAATGATTGTTTCTCAACGAAGACCAAAAGACAGAAGGCGTCCTTCCCTTAAAATACCCTGGAGGCTGCTCCAGAAACGACGCCTCCATGGCGGCCTGTCTTTCAGTGACCGCTATCCAGGTGATACCAAGGCGGCCATTGCAAAAGCACCTTCCAGATTGAACCGTTTTTTTTTTTTTTTTTCTCTCCTTTTCATCTTTTGGTGCAGGATGCCTTTTCATCTGCCAGTCTGTGTCCAATCTGTTTGTGTCCATTTGTCTTGTGATTTCTCGCCAGCGACCCAGTCCACTTGGTGTCGTTTGTTTCCCCATTCGGCCAATTTTGTGACACCGTCTGGATAGCACCGACGCAACCAAACCGGAGTGCAGTTGGGATGTCCCAAGCTCCTCTCTGCCACTCTATTCTGCCTAACTGTCTGTCGGTGCTTTTGTCACGTTGTAGAGTCGGTGTAGAGGGTTGGGTGATTTTTTTCTCCTTCTTTTGCTGAATAGAGTTCTGCCCTATGCTTGCATATGCAGTGGACTACAAACACACATGAGTCGTACATGGCCATGTTTGTTTGAAACACAGTAAATCCCACTGTCTAGAGCCAACAGCCGTATATGATCTATTCCAATCGTCATCAGCATGATATTCTAAGGAATGGGATCTAAGCCTCCCCTCCCCCCCCAAAAAAAAACAAAAACAAACCCACCAACGGTTCCTCCTTCCACAGACAAATGTCCCAGAACATTCTCCGGTCAAGAAAAGAATCCAACTCACCCCCCTGACTGGCCGGTTAATATCCTCAATCCCGGATGCATCTGTACGTAGCCGTTCGTGATGTGTTGTAGCGTTGCACCCGCTGTAGGCCCCGGTTAATGGGATCGTGGACGGAAGAAAATCCATCGTGGGAATCGGTTGACATTGCAATGGAAGGAAGAGCCATGATGAAATGTGTGTTCTCACTAGTATAGATAGAAAAAAAATGGCCTTTCTCCCCCTACATGGGCATGATTCAAGATACCGTCTGCGGTGAAATTTCTGTACAATCTTCATGGGTGTTTCGACGTGAAGCAAAAGGCATGTATCAGGGACCTTCCCGATTGGGTTTAGTGTGCTGGCCGTGCAGAACTTCGACTTTTGACGATGTTGGATTAACAGGATTGATATTACGGTGAGGGTGGTTGTTTGGATAAGAGGAATTAAGGGGAGTGTCTATGTGGGTGGATGAAGCGTATTGCCGTTGAACTGACCTGGAATCATCGAAAATACTAGGATAAAATTATCATGAAAATTGGATGAAGAACAGAATACACTCGTGCTTTTGTTATTGAATACTAGAATACATTAACATTTTATCCCAAACATTATATCCTACAGTCGACTCCAATGCATCAACATCGTCACTTCAGTAGCCGAGATATCGTCGATGTGCCTTGGAAGCACCAGTCAGTACTCAGTCAAGATATAAAGAAGGAACACTAACAGCACTGTACTCATCAAGACATTCACTGCAGACTCAACACATCAAGACATCGAAGATCTTCCAGGCAAAGGAGACTGGAAGTGGACACGCGAAGACTTCTGATTCTGCTGCCCACCACTCGACGCAGGAAGCAAAATCGAGCTGGGAAAATAAGGCTGCGACGGCTGTTTGACACTGGACGATAGGATAGTATGCTTGGGCGCGAATTCAGTGGTAAACATATCCCAAGGATCCTGCTGGACGATCTCTCCATCTTTGATAATGCCACGGAGGACGAGGAGACGGTGCATGTTTCGTTCTAGGCTGATCCAGTCGAGTCCAAAGGGCTTATGTGTGATGCCATCGTGGTCGGTATTTGTCCAGAAGATGTGATATAGATTGTAGATGGTTTGTTGGATTTCGTTCTCGACTTTGGCCATTTTGATATTGAAGGATTCGCAGTGTGAGTGACTGGGAGAGTGGGGGTTAGGATGGTTAATGAAGAGAGAGTGGTGAAGGAGAGATGAACTTCACTTATTTTATGCCATTTTAATAGAAGTACTTGGGATGCTCTCAGTCTATCAGAGATTTTTGTGCAGTCTGGTTTGTTCTGGTGTGGGTTTGCAGTCAGTGAATGTCGACTCCAGGGAGCACTCCGCTGAGGGTGATCGATTTGTATAGGGTTGTCTGACAATATCACTCAATATACAGCATGGCAGTCTATTGCACTGATAACAGTAAGGATACTGTCAATACTATCATTCTACTAATTATCCTATTTACAAGTTGATCAATACGATTTTCTATATCTCCCCCGCACTCGGAACAGACTGCCGGCAAGTGAGGGGATGATAAGACTTTAAGAACCCTTTCTCCCATCTCTTCGACTCATCTCCAGACATCTTCAAGCATCACAATCTCTTCACCATGCATTTCAATGAGAATGATATAGTAAAGCTCACCCTCAAGGGCACACCAAGAGAGGTAAGTCTCGCCCCCTCATCCCTCATCACCATCGTTAACCCTCCAGATCGGCCTCGAACATGGCCGTCAACTCCAGTCGCAAATCAAAAGCCAAATCGCCACTTACGAGGAAATGTTCCAACACACCGCTAACAAGTCCTGGGAGAATGTTCGTCTTCTAGCAGAAGAGTTTCGAGTATCGGCGGAGAAATTGACACCGGACATCTATGCGGAGATGCAGGGTATCGCAGAGGGTGCCAGCCTCAACATTCTGGATATCGTAGCGCTGAACTGTCGAAGTGAGATTGCGTTTGGATTCTCGGATGGCTGCACGAGTCTGTCGTGGAAGAAGAGTGAGAATGCTCGTGTGTTGACGCAGAATTGGGACTGGACGACTTTGGTGAAGAGGAATCTGGCTTTGGTCTCGATTGAGCGTGAAGCGAAGCCGACGATTTACATGGTTACAGAGGTGCGATGTCATTCTTTTCTCTTCGCGATCAGTTACTGATAAAGGATAGGCTGGGATTGTTGGAAAAATCGGATTCAACACCGCTGGAGTAGGGACCTGTCTCAACGCCATTCGTTCTCGACCATGCATCAGTTCCAAACTGCCCATTCACGTCGCTCTCAGACTGTGTCTTGAGAGTAACTCCGTTGAAGATGCACTACAGACGCTTTCATCGCTGGGTGGTGTAGCAAACAGCCAACATATCCTCATAGCAGACAGCAAGACATCGCTCGGTCTAGAACTCTCCCCCCTCGGAGATATCCATCTCAAGGAGGACGAGTTTGGTATGGTCTTTCATACAAACCACTTCCTTGAAAATCAGACAATGGACCCATCGCCCTGGCTACCGGGTTCTGCCATCCGTTTAGACCGGGCACGACAGCTTTCTCGCAGGCTAATTGACGATGGAATCAAAGGGGAGAAGATCACGCCGGCCTTGCTGCGACAGAAGATCTTCTCTGATACGTATAACGCACCGCAGTCGATCTGCTGTCAAGAGGATATGACTCGCCACCGAACAATGCGGAGCTGCACGTTGTTCAACATTGTCATGAATCTAGATCTACAGAATCTTGGGGCGGAGGTGGTCATTGGACAGCCAGGGTCTGGTAAGGAAAGCTCCGTGGTGAAGATACCTTGGTAGTTATTTCTTCATCGATACTGAAAGAGATCTATATCATATGATTCCGTCATGAAACGAGATACTGTTGTATCTATATGTGGAAACATGGAGATTGCCGAGATTTAACAATGGCCAGGTAAGACAACGAGGCCTGTTATAACTTGGCCTGGTGACAATGGTATTATTTCGATATGAGACAGAATACTATCTTTGTTCTCAGAAAAGATATATAGAGCAGTTGGATCTATGTCGAGATGTCAATATCATCATCATCATCATCATCATCATCATCATCATCCTCAATTCTCATCATCTCTCCCAAGCCCATTCTCCTGACCCATTATATCTGGCAAAGCATCTCATTCTTATCTGGCATCAGGACTCTCAAATCCAAAGAAACATAGCACTCCAGACCCTTGTCTGAAATCAACAGTTCAAGATGAGTACTTACAGCCATCTCTCGACCCGCAACGCCCTTCTGGCTGCGATCCACGAATACACCAGTTTTCTCGACAAGTACCCCGAGGATCACCAACTACTTACCAAGGAAATTGATCAGCTTCAGCATCGGCTCAAGCAACTCGAGAAGCTCGAATACGAAGTAAACACAGAGGATAACCAGGCAGATTCCGATTCCGATTCTGACTCCGAGGAAATCAGTCCCATCGCCATGCACAACCTGTCCAGTGAGGAAAGTATCTTCTCATGGAAAGACGAAGGGTTTTACGACCACGGCGATGAAAACGAAGAGGACAGTGATCATGATGGAGTAAAGGCTCACACTGGCGATAGCACGGAATGCCTCAACTGCCAGTTGCAGGAAGTGATTTGCGCTTGTCCTGGTCGGTACAAGTGTGATGACGAGCCTTGCAGAAAGGCTAGACATGGTTGGTATCGCTGTGCATCTTGTTCTCAGGGGCCTTGATTTTCTTTTTTGTTGGTGGTTGTGATGAAATGGTATGACTGTGATTGCAAATGGAATGTTCGGGTTTATATATTCCACGTCGTCTGATTTTGTGTTTTATCTGGTTCAAGTTAGCCATTTTAAATAAATATAACCAAATACATCTGCGTTTTATAACAAATACAGCCACTGTGATCGCCAAAAAACGATGCATCTTGCGTGATGGGATGGCCTCACGTCATTTCGATTCTGTCTAATGCGCACTCTGTGATTGGCAGGTGATACATTCAGCTCCCCCTCTATCCCCATCTTAAAGGCTTTCAGCTGCTGATTCCCCTCGATCTCGATCCTCGCCATCGAATATCATCCGCAACCATGGCGTCTGAATCAGGCTTGCCTCAGAATCATCAAAATACCCAGCCTGGAGAACAGGAGCCTCTGCTGGGCGGCCCAGGCGCTGCTACCCAGAAGGAGGGGGACGCCGTCTATTACAACCTCATCACGGGTCGATCCCTTTCTCTCTCATCGGCAGTAGAATTAATTGACTGATCTTCTTGTCCTCTAGGAACTGCCACCGTTGCACAGGCTGGGATATGGATTGTAAGAGGGATTCTGTATTCAAATTGTCGCATCGCATGTTGACCCTCGTCTTCACAGTTTGCGGCCCTGGTCTGGTCGGGTGTTTTGGCCCAGCAGTGGATTCTGTTCACTCTTCATCCGGTGAGTATCACGACCTGAATACAAGCCAACGACTGTGTCAATAGCAATCTCTCATGTCGATATTAGGTATTCAATTCGGCCGCTCTTCTTCTCCAGGTCCAAGCCGCCCTCGTCCTACAACCCACTGCTTCACCCCGACAGAAGCTCTTGGGTACACGCTTTCACTACAGCTTCCAGGCCTTTAGTCTCCTCGCCTTCTTGGTCGCTTTCGTCGCCATCGAAGTTAACAAGGGCGATCATCCGCATTTCGTCTCCGTGCACGGCAGACTCGGTTTGATCACTTATCTTCTCATCTTTAGCCAGGCGCTCATCGGAGTGGTGCAGTACTTTTTCCCCGTCCAGGTTTTGGGCAGCGTCGACACGGGGAAGAAGATCTACAAGTACCATCGCATTATTGGATATGTGTTGCTTGTGCTGGAGTTGTTTACGGTCGGGTGGGTGATACAGGACTCTAGCACCGATTGGTTGCATATTTCGCCGTGGGGAATCCTGGTGTCGATCATTCTGGTTCTCGCTGGAGTTGGAGCTCGGATTAAGAAGCATAAGCTGGGATTTTAATTGATTGTGTTATTTTGAGGGTTGAGGAGTGGGAGTGAGCATTCATTGAAGGGTGCTTTTGGCTGTTGATGCATTTAATGACAGCTTGACTAGTGTGTTTCAGTTGTCTTGCCCTTGAACATGGCATTTCGGGATTATAAATTTATATAATAATTAGCAGTTATTTGATAGCAAATTAATGTCGATTGTCATTGCAGCGCATATGATGCTCTCTATAGCTTCCCAAATAGGAAAAGCGGGCCGTCACTTTCACCTTCACACCTTCACGATTCTTCCTCTTCTTAACATCCACCAAACCCCAACCATCCAGTTCTGCTCTCCCTTCCTGTCCATGGCGTCTTCAAGGACCCCATATGTCTGCGTTAATTGCAGACTATCGACCCCATTAAGCCGTTCCCTCTGTCGCAACTTCTCCTCTTCTGCTCGTCGGCCCGAAATCCTTCGACCCGCGACAGCTCCGAAGCCCACCCCAGACGTCAAACACATTCGCCAGAATGCAGAACTCTACTCCAAGAACTGCATAGAACGAAACTACCCCTCTCATGCCGAATACCCGCACAGAATACAACAGCTATCCGAGGAGGCCAGGCGTCTTGACCACGATCTCAAAGCTCCCCGGTCCCGCATTAAGCAGCTGGAGAAGACAATTGCGAAGCTTGCAAGTTCTGCTCGACAGGATGGACAACAATCTGGGGGAAACACTAGCGAAGACCTGACGGCTCTCCGATCGGAAGCTCAGCAATTGAAGGATGAATCACAGGCGATGATGACGCAGAAAACAAGCTGCGCGGACGAAATCCAACGACTCGCACTCTCCCTTCCGAACCTCTCTTCCTCCGAAACCCCCGTGGGAAACGACCACAGATTAGTCGAGTATATCAATTTCGATCCCAACTCCCCTCCCGAATGGGTCAATCGTCCGGACCCGGCCCGCTCCCATGTCGCGATCGGCACGTTGCTCGGTCTTATTGATTTCACCAGCTCCGCAACCACGACAGGTTGGGGTTGGTACTTTCTTACCAACGAAGGTGCTCTTCTCGAACAGGCCTTGATCCAGTACTCGTTGAGTGTTGCCCGTCGTCGGGGCTGGAAGGTCGTCTCCCCACCGTCGATTGTCTACTCCTACATCGCAGAAGCATGTGGCTTCCAGCCCCGCGACCAGCACAATGAACAGCAGATCTGGTCCATCGAACAAAGTGAAAAGGATAAGAGCAAACCACAACGGTCTCTGACTGCCACAGCGGAGATCCCTCTAGCTGCCATGTATGCCGGTCGGGACGTCGATGCGTCCAGCCTACCCATTAAATTGGTCGGGGCAAGCCGTTGCTACCGTGCCGAAGCAGGATCTCGAGGCGTCGACACCAAGGGACTCTACCGAGTCCACGAGTTCACCAAGGTTGAACTGTTTGGGTGGGCAGATAACCTCCCAACACCAGCAACGGACTCCCCTACCTCCAACACCCTCTTCTCCGAGCTCCTAGATATCCAAACTGAGATCCTCACCTCGCTCAACCTCCCATGTCGCGTCCTGGAAATGCCCTCGACCGACCTGGGCGCCAGCGCCAGCCGCAAACGCGATATTGAAGCCCTCTTCCCATCACGACTTCGTGCTACTTCCGGTACCGACTCCTCTCCTGACCTTGGACCTGCCTGGGGAGAGGTAACCTCCGCTTCCATTTGCACGGACTATCAGAGCCGTCGCCTTGGAACTCGTGTGCGTGGCGGTGTGGTCAAAGACTCTCGCTTCCCGCATACAGTAAACGGAACTGCGATGGCAGTTCCGCGGGTGTTAGCAGCCATCCTGGAGAATAGTTGGGATGAAAAACGGGGGGTTGTTGTCGTGCCCGAGGTTTTGAGGAATTTTATGGGAGGGTTGGAAGTTATCGGGGAGAGATCTTGATCATATATCTTGTATATCATATACATTTGTACAATATCAAAACAAAACTCGACTTTGCCAGTCTGTATTATGCCTATGTCTGGAATAAAAGTAGTTATCGGTCTGGGCCTTATTAATCTCATTTATGTACTGTATCGAGCGTATATGGGAAGATATCCCCCAAACAAAGGCACAACATACCCGAGGGAGAAATAGCGAATTTAAAGACACAGAAGTTGGCATTAGATACAAACAGACGAGCAAAAAGAGGCAAAAGCGCTAGCTATCATAACGTCGTAATCATGTAGGGGGGCATCACAATCGTGGAAAAAATGGGACATAAACACAGACCATTTCACACGGAGTAGAGAAAAAAACGAGAACAGAATAAGAAAAAGCAGAACATCAAATCCGAACATAGAGCAAGCTCATTACATATTTCTCAAGCATCCACAATCGAACAAATGTACTCCGTACCTATCAGCAGAAAAAAAGGATAATGTTTATCAGGGGGTATCGACTAGACAAAACTCCAGCCCAGTAACCAGAAAGCTCATTTTTCGTCATGAATGGATTGGCAGGGTCAGGTCTCATTGCCGGGTAAAGTAGGGCGAGTGGGTTGGGTTAATTAGGATTTTAAGGGTGATCAATAATCCCAAGGAATGTCTTCATCTTCGACTCGTGTGCAGGTTAAATAAGGTAATCCGCCAATGGCAGTGTCACCTGTTGTGGTACTACCGAGCTCGCCGCCTTTCAGGTCCAGCTCGAGGAAATTCCTCATTAGCGGTTTGACGATATCCCGGGCCAGCCGTTTGATCTCGTCCATCTTGCGTTCGAATCGCTTGAGAACATCCCGCGAGTATAGAGAATCCATCGATGAGGTGGGATGAACCTTAAGGAATTTCTTGAGCTCGTCATGCGGTAGGTAGGCCTGTGTAGATGAGGATCCAATAAGACGGTACACCTTTGCAGAGGGATTAGGACTGGCAGGTGTTGGTTTGGCGGATGCGGAATCTTGCGCACGGTGACTACCTGATTGCGATGGACGACTGGTATGATGGTTCGATGAAGAGTTCTTGAGGATTGGGGCCGGGGGAGGAGTGGTGTTCTCCACAAACCATTGTCGGAATAAAGAAACAGCCAGCCAGTCAAGGTACGCATTCGTGGGACTGACCCGCTCCCCGCGGGAGGTGGTGAGCGTCAGGCGAAAGAGTTTCGAATCAACGCGCGCCTTCATGTCTTCGAGGTCCTCCGCTTTATCTTCGATGATATCGAGCACGGAATCTGGGAGGGGGGAGTATGATCCGTTTCGAAGGTGAGGTAGTCCAGCTGGCCACTGCCCGACGACATGAATGAGGGCTTCGGAAAAGATGACTCGACTGCGCGCCATGTACCCCAGCTTGAGATAGCTTGGGGGGTATTTTGCAATCTGCTTGAACAGACGGGAACCGAAACCAAGGAGGTGGTGGTCTACTCGGGGCCCGGTAACTGGCAAGGCGTCATACATATCGGCCAGGGCGAGAAGAGACTTGCATTCGGCGTAGGAGGTCGCAATGTTGACACTGTTTAGTACAGGAGGATGGTTATAGAATAGACGCATAAGGTTATCGTAATCGCGAATAATCGGGTTCATATCAGCATCGCTCGAGTTCTGAGGCACATTCAACGCCGATTGCATTCCGGTCAAATTCGCCATTGAACGGAAGAAGCCTGCCTGGGTGCCTGAGGGTTTGGTCATTGTCGGAGGAGGGTTAGATGGGTTATTCCCAAAGACAGCGGAATAGCTGGGCCTCTGCATATGAATTAGATATTGCTGTTTTCTTCTTTTTTTTTTCTGGCGCAAACCAGTAACGATATTGAAGTACCAACCTTCTGGACCAGTATCGGTTCCTCGTCGTCTGCCTTATTCTCCCAATCGAGCTCAAATCGCCACCTTCTCTTTTCAAACGACCGTGAGGATCCTCCAGTATCCGACTGTGCAAGAGTTGATCCATTGGATAGAGAATCGGTTCCCTCGCTCAAGCCCGACAGAGCACCTGTGTCTGGCTTGGGGAGTGCTTGTCGCGACCAGTCCTCACTGGTACTTGCACCAAAGAACCCCGAACACTGCGCCAATATCAACCGATGTAGCAGATACCGTCTCTCTTGTCGACCTGCACGGATAACGATCTCGACGTCGCCGGTATGAGTGAAGATCGGGAAGTCGTTGTGTTGTTGTAGTTGTTGAGATGAGCCGCCATGGTGGGAACGACCAGAACGGTGCCGACGGCCGATGTAGGAGTTACGTGACACAACGGAGGGGGTGCTCTGGGCTGGCACAGAGCGATCGATAACTTGGGCCTGAGAGACCATTTTAGTGGTTGTATGAGGGGATTTGATGGGCATGGCCAGTTCAAGCGCGTGCAGAACAACTCGGTGACAAACACCAGAGAGCGCGTTTGAGGACCTTCATTCAAGTCCAATACACGATTCCAATGTTGGCGATTGCGTGAAAGAGAGAAAATGAAAGAAAAGGACAGAGAAAGTGGTTGCAGTGGTGGAAGTGAAGGAGGAGAGAGCGTGTGTTTATCAGCACAACAACAGCGGCTGTGTTCCCCGCAGCGATGAAACCAGGGAATTTTGGGGGGTTGTTATCGATAAATGGCTGCACGCAGAAGAAAGGGAGAAATAGACGGATTCGAAACTGGCAGACGAGTCGTGAAAGAAAGAATGAAAGACATATAAGGCATGAGCTATATGCACCTCGCCAGACTGAAGACGAAGAGGAAAATCCGAAACTGGTGCGAGTCCCACTGGACGCAACCGGAAACGCAGCCAAGTTCGCCTGGTTGGAGAGAGAGAAGTTGCAGATAAATAAACAGAAGATCAGCTCACAGACTAGTTCATCATGTATATGGGAGCAGTTCTATAGGAGAAAAAAAAAGAAAGAAGCAAAAATAAAAGTGAGAGAATATGGAAAGGGGGCGACGACGACAAGAATCTGCAGCAAAGCGAAGCTCAGAATGCTATTGTCTGGCGACCTCAGCTGAACAGCCCTCTGCAGCGCTGCAATTGGCTGCAATTCGCCGGTGGTCACCGATTGGGAAATGAAACCAAACTAGAATCCATTCTGCTCTTCTCGATTTGCTATATTTCGCTGGATTATCCCGAGTCTCATATCAGAGTTATCATATTCCCATATTATTTGGATGGGCCGTTTTGAGGTTATTCAGACCGTACCATACGTGTTTCAGATACCGTACTGTACTGTACCGAACCATACTATATTCTGACTCAGCGAATTTCTTTCCCCGCCAGTCTTGCTGGATTTCTTTCCCTACAACTATCACCTCCAATCCGTCTTGATGGCTGTTGTGACTGTCTAGGAGCTACTAACTGATCATCCGGCTGCTGCCAAGAAATGTCCCATACCTGATCGTGATCTCCGAATTGATTCCTAGCGATGAGCGAGCGGTTTTGTTGCGTCTCACCGACATACAATTCTCCCTGACCTTCGAGGATGGCGAGTGTCAATATCTCGCGCACTTTGGTTTATAACGATCTAGTTGACTTATCCCCCTAATAAAAGGCTCACTCTGGAGCTAGAGTCATGACAAAAGGGTGTTATACCTGCCGTCGTCGCCGCATCATCTGCGACAACGGCCTCCCAACCTGTCGAAAATGTCGAGATGCGGGGAAGGAATGCCTGGGGTATCAGAAGCCTCTTGTCTGGGTGAAAGGAGGTGTGGCCAGCCGGGGCAAGATGATGGGTCGCAGCTTTGATGAAGCGAAGACGGACTCGGATCACAATGGCCCCTCAAGCAGCGGCCCGCTGCCGCTTCCCATGGTTGATGCTTGCGGTCCAACGAGACCTCACAAGCCCGGAAATGCTGGTGGTTGCGAGACCTCCATGGTCCAAACGGTATCTAGAGCTCAGTCCAACAATGTCAATGACTTCGTCTTCACCGAAGATTACATTCCCTCGCCATGGGGCTTGGTTGATCCCCTGCTTAAAGACCTCAGTCAATTCTCGCGCATGTACATGTTCCACTGTAAGTATACACGTCACCTCTGCCCGTGGCATAAAAAGGGTATGCTAACCCTCTCACTCGTCAGTTAATCAGTATTTAATAAATGATCTCGTGCTATACCCTAATATGGGAAACCCATACCGTGAACTCCTCGCCTTGGTCGGCGACTCTCCTGTTCTCGCCCACGCCCTCTCTGCCACGGGGGCTTTACACTATTCACTCATGGCAAATGAAGACTTTTCACCAATGCCTTGGTCAAATGATGCGACCCCAAATGGAAAACAGCTATCCCCGCAAGAGGTAGAGAATTTGGCAATAAACTCCATGCGCCGGCGTCCAATATCCAAAGTGTATGAGCATTTCCTCGGGTTCAAGCAGCGCGCTCTCCATCAGGTTTCCCAAGATATCTCGGATCCAGTGATGCGAAATGATAATCGGACTCTAGCAGCAATCATGCTTCTTTCTTTAATGGATGCCATCGAATCAGGCGATGGGGCTTGGAAATATCACTTGGAAGGGGCAAAAAAGTTGATCAAAAGTCGGCAGAATGACTCTGATCGCTCTCAAGCACGAGGGATCATCGACTGGCTGGATACATTTGCTGTTGATGGGTGTCTTATGTGAGTTTTGCACTAGTACTCTGCCATTATCTTGAAACTGACGTTGATGGGTGTAGCATCCAGCTTATGGGCTCTACTCTTGCACGGCCTGGGGTTCTTTCAAAGCCCGTCTACACCTCTTCCATGGGCCCAGCTGTGCTAGAACGCTTAGAAAAAACATCCTGGGTCGGCTGTCCAGCTTACCTACTCGATGTGATATTTTTCGTTCATTCCGGGTGGTGCTGGGGAGACTCCGATGCCGACTCTGACTCGCAGCCGAGAATGGTCTTCTCCTCGTCTTTTTTGCCCAAAAACTCCCATCCTCTCCACTCCCCCGATGCCCTTCTACAGCACATCCAAGCTTTTGATCCAGTTTCCTGGGCCGAAAGCATGCAAACCTATCTCTTCCTCCCAGATACATCGGTACGAGTCGCGCTAGCAACCGTCTACAAGGCCTCTGTGTATCTCTACGCCAGTCGAGCACTATCCCGGCCCCGAACAAGCTTCGTCCTCACCTCAGCCCGTTTCGGTCTACCCGCAGATCATGCATCCGTGGCCGATATCCTCATCCGCCAGATCGCTCTCATCCCCGTCGCCGATCCGCATTTCAAATGCCTCATCTGGCCTACCTTCATCGCGGGCGCCGAGTGCCGGAATGCGTCTCAACGTGCCTTCATCCTAGACCGTCTCAGCACACTCTACTATGCCGTAGCTAGCGTTAATGTCCGAAACGCAGCGTGGGTGCTAAGCTTGATGTGGCGGAAACAAGATCTCAGGCGAGAGACGAGGCGTAAAGACAGCATGGGACAAGACGCTCAGTCCCCGTCCCCGTCCCCCACTTCTTCAAACGACGAGCGTATCAATGATTATGATGATGATTTTGATTGGATCCAAGAGCTGGATGATTCTCGAGTTGACTGGCTATTTATATAATAATGTCCTGTATCTATTAAAATACTTCTATGAATAATGAATATGTAATAATGACATACATCTTTTTCAGGTGTAACCAGGGAAAAGACTGCATTTTTGCATTCAAGCTGTTGGAATCTATCCATCAAGCTACTGTAGTTGCAAGCCAGCTCAAAATCTACAGACTGTAAGGAAATTTTTTTCAAGAAAAGAAATCCAAAAAAGGGGGAAAGAGAAGAACGGAAATCCCCGGGCCGAGGGTAAAAATCGAAGCATCCAACAAAAGACAAATGGCCACAAAATGGGAAAGAAAACACAAAATAAAATCAATAAAGGACGGTATGATGTAGCATTTTAGAGGGAAACTATTTGACAAGAAGATAATTGTGTATCGAAAGGGGGGGGGGGAGTGAAGTTGACTGAAGGGAAAAGAACAAAGGAAAAGGGGAATCTGGGCGAAAAGAGAAAAGAGAATAAAAAAAAAACCAGCTCAACTCCCAAAACCGCTCAGTGTAACAAACCAGACAATATAGGGACAGGAATGAATAAGGACTGAAGCAGCAAAAGTTGATCGACGCATATTGGCTGGCCAAATCAAAGAGCTCACAGGTTGTAAGCATCAATAAAACCAATCAACATCCCTTCAATCAAAAGGAGGGTATATACCTTGGGAGCAGGGAAGAAGAAAAGGTATGAGAAAATAACACGAAAAGGAAAATGGTTGGAAGAAGAGAAGAGAAGAGAAAAAAGGATAAAGCCCAGATGAAGGATAAATGCATACTCCTTCCAATCTAAATGCAACAACTTCAAAATAGAACACGCTCATCATTGCAAAATGCAAGGCAAAGACGAGAATCAAGACACGCCACAAAAAAAAAAAAATTCTTATAGATGCAAATAGACAAAGGAAACAATGATAACCGGCTAAGGGTTCATGATCGAAATTCGCGGATATCAAAATGAGCAAGATTTGCTCAAGAAGCTGTGAAAGCGTCAAGTAACGCTCATGTGATTGTATGCAAGGCATTCCGTTCGGAAACCCAAGCAGATGCAGGGGGAAACAAATCATTCGAGTTACAGAGTGAACAGAGTGAGAGCTGAAAGGTTTGCGATCCTGCGCAGCCGAATCCCCAAGGACTCTGGAAAGAACAAGGGGGACACGTGATTTGAAGAGGCCAAGGACATCTCTCAGATGCGCACAAGCCCTAGAAGACTGCTGCCAGGCCGTTCTTGGAATGGCGCCGACTGAATCTCTTCCTTCCTTTAACAGAGTCGGAGTCAGTGGTCTGGTGCTTGACTAAGGTGGCTCGTCCAGTTGGTGCACTTTCATTTTGGATTTGTGAACTGCGGTCAAGTGTGGTAGCGTGGCTGGACAGACCAGAATGGAATGTCTCGTCTGCAGAACCCGATCCATTCCTTTGATGGGCCAGGGCCATTTCCCGTGCACGATCCAGGCTGTCCAACCATTCCTGTGCGGACAGGGCTGTGGCTCCAAGGTTGTTAGACGACGGTTTGGGGTCCTCGAAAACAAAATGTTTTTCCCTCTGCTCAAATAAATGTGAGAAAACTAATCCCTTGGTCCTGGTTTTTATGGGACGTACCGTATCAACGATCCACGACGAAAAACCCTTGGAGTCTGTTGTGGTTCGATATTGCGTTCCTGGGGCAAGAAGACTGATTTCGAGTTTCGATTTTTTCTCGTCCCCTCCAGCCGCTGCCATTATGATCCGTGCGGATGAAGTGACCATCACCAAGCGTTGCCGTTTTTTAGTTGTGCTTCCTCCAAAGAACCTCGAAAATTTCTTGGGAGCTTCGAATTCACCACTTCCATTCTTCGAAACGGGGCTATGAGAGGCCGGGGAGGACAGGACCACCAGATTGCCAAGCTTCAAAATCCTTTCATTTGCCTTGGTTAGGACCGGGGACCATTCAATGTCGAGTTGGCTTGGAGGGGGAAGCTCTGTTACAAGTCTGGGCACGGTCCGGGAATTGGAATTGTTGTTATTCGAAGGTGCCGACGTGATGCTTGGGGGAAAGCTGTCACCTTCACCCCCTCCGTTGAGTTTGATGGGTTCACGTGGTGGTGGGACATAGGCTTTCAGTCGAGGAGCTTTGCGTTTCCACAAGTCTGGACCCCAGACCATACCTTCGAAGAATTCATGGTTCTTGATATGCTCGATTTGTAGACGCCGAGCAGGGTCAAGAACAAGTAAGCGCTCCACGAGATCACGAGCAACAGCCGGGAAGCCGACCGGGAATTCGTAGTCAAGGGCAACAATCTTCTGGAAGGTTTGGTACTCATTACCTGCCTTGAATGGAGGACGGCCCGCCAGGAGCTGGTAAATGATGCAACCAAAAGCCCACAGGTCACTTGCCTTACAAGCGTTCTTGTCCGTCAGAAGTTCCGGACTGACATACTCTGCCGTACCAACGAAAGAGCTGGCCCGCTCTTCCTCTGGTATTTCCGTGGAATCGAGAGGTGGCATGCCGCTTGAGCTCTGATCCGGTCGTCTCTGGCCCTTGAGGATCTTTGCGGTCCCGAAGTCGGTGATTTTTATGTACATCTGGCTGTCGAGTAGGACATTTTCTGGTTTTAGGTCACGATGGATAACACCGCGTTTATGCATATAATCTATGGTGTCCAGAATCTGAGCACCATAAAACCTTGTGCACTCCTCGTCGAAGGTGGTCATCCGTTTTAACACGCCTAACAGCTCGCCTCCTTTGCAAAGATCTAGAACAAAATATAGCGATCGTTCATCCTGAAAGGTATAATAAAGTCGGACAATACCGGGATGCTCTGTCAGTCGATTTAGCGTGTCCTTCTCGATATTAACGTATTTGACTTTCTTTTCCTTGATGATGTGCCTTTTGTCCAGAATTTTAATCGCGTACTCCTTCAACGTCTGACGATCGGTCGCCAGCACGACGGTACTGTAAGAGCCTTCGCCTAAAGTTTGGCCAAAGGAGAAATCACGGACTCCTTTTTTGATATATCGTGCGATCGGCTTCCCGTTTGCATCGATTTCCTGTCGAACAGACACGGCTGCACCACGCTCCTGCCATTCTTCACTACTGGAACCAGGGCCGTTCTCCATGTTGTAAGGCGATCCGGAAAGTTGGGATGGACCTCCGCCGCGAGCATGGGCCCTGGAAGACTGACGCATCACCATTGGCCCGTTGCCCGGAGGAAGTTGTGCTGTTCGGTAAGATCGATCGCTATGACTATTGTCGCGCACTGGGACTCCAGCCTGATATGCTGCGGAACCACCTCGAGATTCTGCACGCGCTTGGGTTTCGGACGCGGAGGAGGCTGCGGAGTCTGTTCGAATACGGTAAGAGCCTTCACGGGCGGCCAGTGTGGTTGTGGAACCGTTGGCATAAAAGGCGGATAGAGGACGAGATGAACCCGGAGGGGTCGAATGTTGCTGTGACATGTACGGGGAATATTGGGGAGCCTGTTGTTGAGGTTGGGGTTGTTGCGGCTGTGGATCGGGATAGGAGTAAACCACGGAACTTCGATTCTCAACCGATCTTGGGTGTGATTCGATAGAGGCAGTGGTAGGGGCATTTCGAGTTTCCTCGTTCCGTGATGATGTCGAGGATTGGGAATGTGTAGGTGAAGGTTGACCCGGCTGTTCGGATGAAGTCGTTTCGGGCTTCGGTTCAGGGTCTGCTGAAGTAGCGGTCCCCGGTGCTGATGGCGTGGCATCCTCTGAAGAATGCAGGGACGAATCATCTGGATTTGCAATCCGTAAGCCCCCCAGAGACTGGGAAAGGCTCAGATCCCCATCCATGACGGGCAGTTAAGAATAGGGAGTGTATGTATCAAGACGGTCCAAGGAAACCGAATCGGACACGAAAGCGATTAGTCGTGTTATGGGTGCGGGTGGGGAGAAACCTAGGCACCGCCGTGATGCCTGAAGGATATGCGCAGAAGAAAACAGCCTCCAATACAGCGATAGAGGGAGAAGGAGGGCGAAGAGGGAGGGGGCCGACGGATTATGGCGGCGGTCGGAGAAGCAGCGGATGCATGGTACAGCCAAAATAACAAAAGAGGGCGGGTATAGAGGAGGAGGACAGATGATCTTCAGTCGAGTCCAGATTTTCAGAACAAGAAACAATCAACCACACGGGAGATGAGGCTCCAACAGCAACAGATAAGAGAAGATGTTGGAGAGCGAGAGAAAGGAGGAAAGGAGGGGCCAACGGCGAGGGGGAGCGAGTGGGAAGAAAAAAAACAAAAAAGAAAGATGGGGGGAAGGGGGGAATCAAAAGAGAGAGAGAGGCTGAAGCCCCAGGGGAATAATGAGATGGAGATGGAGGAGGAAGAGGATAATTTGGCGGTGGTGGAGGAAGAAGAAGATGGAGGAGGTGAAGCTGATTATGGATGGATTCGGCCTAGTCGCGTTAGTTGGGTTAAGGGGAGGGGGGTATTATTGGTATGGTATTATTGCGGTTGATGGGAGAGAGAGAGAGAGAATGAGAGGAGCGGAGAGAAATGGTTATTTTTATATCGCTATTATTCAAACAGAATATTCATATTTCTACTGGATTATTATTTTATTGATTTGTTTATAATCATACAGATGGGTTGGTGGTCTGGGATGTCTCGAGTCATCGTCCTGCCGCCTGTAATGGTAAGAGTAATAATAGTAACCATCCACCATACTGGACAATAAATAAATAAAGGTTGGAATGCTCAGCAGGATTTATATATATTTATAAATATATATATAGTAGCTTAATTTAACCTGGGACAGTCGATACTGCAGGTATTGCTGCATTACTGCTGCAGGCGTACTGCCATCGTGGTTCCTATAATTGTCTCCAACTATATATACTCAGCTGTTCTTTCCTGCTATACGATCTTTCCTTTCTCATCCATCAGAAACTATCTCCACTATAATCAACAGAATGCTAGACATCAATTCATTCCATCACATCTTCCCTGTGTTGATCCCTCGTGGAAAGTGTTGCAGCATCAGCAACAACACCAGTAACACCAAATACTCATGATTCGGCTACACCCCACGAGAATCTCCATTGGAGAGGAAGATGTGAACTTTCACCTCCAGAATATCCTCCTGCGTCATGCATTGGCTGCAGATGTCCACCAGTTGGGCCTCGATTTCGATGAACAGAGCTGCGAGGCCGGTACAACGTTCATCGATTCTGATGCCTCGTCCACCCAATTCTATTCGTCTCCTGGTATATCAGATTCAGAGTCAGAATCTGGATTGAACCCTATGTTCACCCAAAAGGCGTCGTACTACCGTAGACAGGGAAACATTGATGCGTCGCCTCCATCACCAGGATCGAGTTACAGACACCACGCTGTCTACACGCCACAGGCGGAAGAAGCCGTCTCCAACAGCAGTCGCTCATCGTCATCCGTGGTCAAGAGAGTATCATGGGAGTCTGCTAGATCGTCTTCAATAGATGACTCCGTTGCCTCTTTGAATATCACTCATCTGTCATTGGCAGGTCACTGGCCAGAACAAAGAAGCCATCGGCAATCTCCAGGGAGTTTTGCTACACAAAGGACCCGCTCAGAGCTTCATTCACTGGGCGATGATGATTCACTGGAGCTTTCCGCAGAATGGGACCACTGGATGGGAAACTCCGCGTCTGAACGTGTTGATCGGGCTGCACGTGTTGGGAGAGCTCCCACCTTTCTGCTGAGACATCCTCTATTTATTCAGACCATTCCTCCTCCAACCCTCCAACACTCCGACATCCATTCTTGCAAGACACCTCTTTTGAATATCTCGTTGAATTCTATGCCTAATCGTGGCCATACATCATTCAGCAACAGACCTATCGAGAAGCTTAGCTTGGAAACAGAATTGGAATCTGGTATGCCTTAGACAGAGCACTGCTTTCTCTTCAAGAATGCTAACACATTTGACACCAGAAAACCGCAGAACCAGTCATTCTGAGACAAAAGGATACTTGGACCTTTCTGCAGACCTGGAGATAGATATTCCCTCAGCGGTTTCAGCGATTGCAACCCCCAAGCCGCCTCAAGGTACTCGTCTGATTAGCCCATTTTTGGTTGATCTTCCAAAGAAGGACACATCTCCCCAATCAATCACAATGATCGGATCTTCAGCAAGCATCAGTACCCTGCCAAAATCGCCTCGTCAGACGACTGAGCCTTGCTCTCCCCGGAACCTTCCTACGTCTATACGTCACGAGAACAAGACCCCATGCGAAATGAACGTAGACGATAAGGATAACGATAAAGATTCGGTTCAATCCCTTCATAGACCAACCAAGGAAGCTTCCCCAACTGGTTCGAAAAGCTGCTCAAGTAGAGAAGGTATCAGAAGCTCTCCAGTGCACTCTGACGACGGAGGAGTGTCTCTCAGACTAAAGCGGTCCAGCGACTCGGCTTCTAGATCTAGTCTGAGCACCCACAATGATACGTGGGCCCATGGCTTCGATAACCAACAGCCCCATGAAGGACAGCGCAAGAGAAGCGAAAACCATTATCAGTTGTACGCGTCCAAGGCTTCTAGTTCAACTAGTGATATCGGCAAGCGCACGCCGGCGGCTTGGGCTATGGGGGAGCATCGGGAGCATCGGATTTCGAATACATGGAGTCCCGTAAACGCCGTGCAGGTTCGTGTATGTGCTAGTTGAGATGACGCTGGTCATTAATACTGATGACTGACATATTTCTAGGGCCAAGACAAGGGCACTGCCGGTGTTCCACAAGAGCGTGGCACACCAAGCAACGTGGTACGTATTCCTCTCACGCGTCTTTGAACATAGCGTGTTACTTGTTAATTAACGATATACTAATACTGCTTCTTTGTTCAAAGGACCAAGCGACGTTCAGTCGCGTCCTGGAGGAGTCGTTTGCCTTTCAGGACCAATTCAACCGGCTGGTTGCGGGCCTCGATGGCGAGGACGACACGGCGGATGACTTTGGCCTGAGAGTGCTGCGACGCCGGCCAATGGGCGATTGGTACCACAAGGAGGTGTGAAAGCCCGGAAGTTGGGGGTTTGGGGGGACTGGGAGGTTGATGATAAGCTTTGGAGGGGTGCTGATGGCATCGCGGACAGACATGATGTGTAACGGTTGTGTTTCATGATGATCGGATAGCCGAACGGCGGGGACAAGAGTGTCAGTTTGCCAAGATGAAACCTGGGATGTGTCGTTGCTTGCTATTCTTGGAAATGGGATGGTGTACACGTATGTACAGATGCCTCGCATGATGATAGATCTGGATGGTCGAGGAATACCATGTGAGTGGTCACTGGCAACTTGCCACTGACGAAGACCAAGTCGCCGCCACTTTCAAGTGCCGTGTAGATCACTTAGGGATCCAATCCACGAGGCTATGACTACGAGGCTATGTACAGTACGCAGTATGCACCGTGGCTACGGGGAAGAGGAAGAAGAAGGCCTGAGTCCAAAGTTTCAGCATGGATGACAGGGTGGCTGAAAGACTTCCATGAAGATTCCAGATGTTCCATTACGATACGTACGTCCATGGGTTTACTGACCCCAATTCGATTCAGGAAAAGAATCAAGATGATCATGAAGGCATGTTTTCAAAATTGGACATTCCCTTCAAGTTTCAACCGTCAAATTTCAATCCTGGGTTCAGATAGCCGACTCTCCCGACCTTGGAGAAAGCAGCCCAGCCACCGGCTGAAATTTTGTATCAAAAAACACATCATATCCAAGTCCAACAATTAAATTGTCCGCCGTACCAACCAACTAAACAAAACCCAAGAAAGGTAGCATAATGTCATATTCCCCATTTCGTTGACGCGTCCCGGTGGATTCGAAATCAATTTGGGGCTGATTTTTTTTCCTCTTCTTTCCTGCTTTTTGCCAGCGGCTCCACCTGGAGGCAGGGTTTCCTGGTTGGGGATAGCGTGGGGAGGTGTGGTTTTGCTGTTTTGGGTAAGTGCGGTGTGGATCGGAGCTTGTAGGGGCGCTAAACACTTATCCATGATGTGAGTCTTCGGCAGTCTGTGTAATGTATTTGGGTTGTATGGGTATGGCGGTATTGTGGGTATCCATTGTGATGGTAGAAGGATCAAAGAGACCCTGGTATTATTCCATTCTAGGTAGATTTGTATGTCTATCAGGTGGATGGCTAGTTGACGGCTGTCTCAGCCTTAACCACGCTGCCTGGGTTGACTGGTGGGTTTGTGATGAGGTCATATGTCATTGTCTCAGATATCAGAATCACGGTTATGAATTGTGCATACAATGTAAAGATGGAAAAGGTATAGTATAATCTTGAATTATGATTTGTATTTCATATTGTAATAAGATGAAACGCCGACAAAGAACTTCTCCCAGACGTCGCTTCAACAATGCTCCGTTTATCCGTAGTATCTTTGGGTGCAAAATTCCATTCGACATTAAAAAAATCCCTAGTTTATGGCAACCGCTGTTCGAAAATTATCTTGGTCCCAGACCTTTACTCCTTGTTCTTGGCGAAGACCTGAGCACCGTCGACCAACCGTCTCTCGGTGTTCTGGCGGCCGTTGACGAAGTCGGGGTAGTTGAGGGTCAGCTCGACAGCACCGTTGACAATGTTGTCGGCAGCCTCCACACCCAGCATGAAGGAGTGGTCCTGGTTACCGACCTCGTAGCGCCAGCTACCGAAGCGGCCACGCGACCAGATGCCCTTCTCCTGGAGCTTGGGCAGGATCTTGGTGAGGGCACCCTCACGCTCCAAAGAGGGAGTGGGGTAACCGTGGTCGAAGCGGCGGTGGTAGGTGGAGACGATCTCATCACCGGGCTTCAGCATCTCAGTGTTAACGAGACCCTGGATGGACTCGGCCAAGAGTGTCTCGTGGTTGACGGGCTTCATGGAAGACTCAGAGACCTCCAACATGATGGACCAGTAGGGACCTTCCTGGGCCTCAGTGTTGGCGGGCTTGGAGCCGTCGGCCAATTGAAGGGTGGGGAGCTTCTTAGAGGCCTCAGGCTGGTTGTGGGGAGAGTAGTTGGAGAAGATGGTGGCACGGTAGAAGGGGCAGTCGTCTTCGGGGAAGTACAACTAAAAGTCCTGTTAGCTTTGAACGAGTAGTTGATAGAGTGTGAAAAACTTACCCAGCACTTGTCACCGATGTAGTCGGGACGAGAGCCACGGATACCAACACCAATGACGTGGGTGGAAGAGTAGAAGAGCTCCTTGCTCAGGCTGACGAGCTCCTGGTCGCCGATCTGCTCAGCGAGGTAGTCCACAGCCATGGTGGAGATCAGCTTCTGGTAGCCGACGGTGGTACCGTCGCCCAGCTGGACGGTCTTGTTGTTGGCGTTAACCTTGACAACCTTGCCCTTGTCACCGAAGCGAGTCTTCTCCTTGGGGATAGTGTCGGCAACGGCAATCCAGATACCACCAGTACCACCACGGGCGGGGAAACGGAAAGTAGCGTTAGGACCCCAGTTACCAGCGGTCTTGTTCAGGATGGCATTGGTGGTGACAGCCTTGACGTTGGGAGCGGCGACACGCTCACCGAGCCAAGCACATTGCATCTGCAAGTCGAATCTCATCAGTATGTCGAACGGGAAGTCTAAGCGCGATCGGGAAAACAAACCTTGGTGGTAGGCACAGCCCAGACCTTGTAGTTGTAAGGTCTCATGAAAATGTCGGCGATACCGGTACCCATGTTACGGACAATCCACTGGTCGAAGTCCTGGGGCTTGGTGTTGGCGACGCGAGCCTCGAGGGCAGCGTCAATCATGCCGTCAATGCACTTGACCTGCTCCTCCTTGGGCAACATGGAGATGTTGTTCTGGAAAGGGTAGGGGACCCATTGTCCCTTGCAGCGGACGTAGGAGATACGCTGGTGGCTGTACCAGTCATCCTCCTTGGGGAGAGCCTCGTCGATGCAGTCATCGAAGTACTTGTAGTGGGAGAAGATGACGTGACCACCGACATCGTAGAGCTGCAAAAAACAGTCAGCTTTGCCCAAGCAGCTCAATTATTACAGGACAATAAACGTACGAAACCCTCAGGAGTCACATCAGTGGAAGCAAGACCACCGGGAGTCTCGTTGTTGTCGACAATCATCCAAGTAGGACCGTCCTGCGGCGACAGTTAGCTCTCCGCCCATTACCCCTCAACAAAAAAGTCGGTGCGATCGAGGGGAAACACACAATCTGGTTCAAACGCTTAGCAGCACCCAAACCAGTTGGGCCTGCACCGATGACGAGAACATCGACGGAACTGAAGTAGGAGAACAATTGTCAGTAACTGTCGCCGTCGCGGTCGAGAGAACCCCTGAGTTTGGGAAGAGCGGTGTTTTTTCTCTTACATGTCTGGGTGGGTCATCCTGCCTTGTAGGATATCCTGAAAGCTGGGAACACGGTTCAAAGTCCTGCGTGCGAGGCTAAGCATAGAAGACGAGAGACTGCAGGAGCTGCAGGATTTAAAGGAAAGAAGCTGAGGATGGAGAGGAGAAGAAGGAGAAATTGGGGAAGAAGACGGTGAAGAAGGAAGTCGAGGAAAGTACAGGTGTATCAGCTGAAGGAGACGAAACGTGACAAGAGGCCGCAGCTAGTGGGGGAGGGCGAGTCTGTTTCAAGTTTAGACCGTAGGAGCTGGTACTTGTTATAGGCCCCGGCTGCAGTCGAGCCCTGGAAAGGGGAAAAGCGTAAAAAGTCTGGAAACGAACGAGCGACAAAGGCCAGGCACACGGCGTCGAACGACTGGCGGGGGATGGCGGATGGAGTCTAATCTTATTTATGCCCCAATCAGAGGCGTGGTACAGTGCGCCATCTTCCAGAATTTTTTATTTTATTTTTATTTTTCCAGGGGTATTTTATTTAAATTTTTATTTTTTCGGTTTTAATTAAAAATGAAATAAAATTAAAAAATTAAAAATAAAAAGAATATTCTATGGCTTCAAGTCAATCGTTGGTGTCGCCATTGCTGTTTGCAATTGGCTGCATTGTTTCTTATCGGAGATACAATGTATCTATCGACCACAGTGCACAGTGGGAGGTGGTACTTATTATCTTCAGAGACTCATCTGCAAGCATGACGGTTTCCTTGGCAGGCACCTGGGTAGGATCCGATTCATTGAAGAATGCCACTATCATATTGTTAACGGTTTACAATGTACTCCATAGTGTACTTATCACAGGAACTGTTGGACTGGTAGATAATAATAACCCATTTTCGGAAGTTTGGTTGCTGGTAACAGTAGATTGGATTTTGTTCTCGATCTCAGTCCAGGTAACGCCACAAGCAACCAGGCACGTTGTTCTATTTCCCCATTGGGATCTAATCTCCCAATCCAGAGAGGATTGACTGACATCCGCAAATGATCATCCCTCCTTTCCGATAGCCACCGATCAATCATCAATCAGTCTCTCAGGACTGGATTTGGGTCTCTCTGCCCCGACTCACCGACCCTCGACTCTCTGACGGACCCCCCAAATCGACCCAAAGGGCCAAATGAGCCGTGTATGGTAAGTTGCGAGGTGTCGTGTAGAATTGAGTAGCTGAGGGTCCACTGATTGTCCTGGGTTTGAAAGGGACAAGAAGGCAAAGGGAGATCACTTCCCAGTTGTTATCAGTTCCTGTCTGGAATAGATCATAGCATCATATTAGCATGAGATGGATGTCGAGAGGTACATATACCCAAAAGGGATTTGATGACGACTCCTCAGGGTCTTCGAGGACAAGCTTTGCCTCTTGCTTACTTTTTCTGCACTAAGATTGTTATTAGTATTCTTAGACTGGATGTGATGGTTGGTATTGCGGATTTTAGCCCTGGTGCCCTGTTTGTGTCCGTGTAAATCCGCCAATGCGTCTGTCAAAACTCAGGGTAAAGCCAAAAAATAAAATAAAAATAATCAAAAAGAAAAGAAAAGGAAAAAAAAAAAAAGAAGAAAAGAAAAAGGATCACCGGTGGGGCCAATCAGGGACTGCTGCCCCACTCACCCATTTCTTAAAGAGCCATTGAAGCTGGCCGATGGCGTCAGAGTCCAGCATGAGAGGCTGCGAGCAGTCCCAGATCGCCGCATTCTCCACCGGCAAGGGACCATCGCCGCAACGCTATGGACAAGTGGCCGCTGAACGCGGGTAAGTGAGTGCTTGGCCAACAGGCTGCTTGCGTAATGCAGCTGGTGTCAGGTCGTCTGAGAGGGCAGGTGGTTAATTTGGATCAACGCTCATCGGTTGCAAAGTCCCTGAATCAGATTATGCTATTATTATTATGGGACGTTGTGATCAAGCAAATCTCTGAGAGTAGCAATCCGGGTGTACAGCGGGGTTCAGGTACTGCTACCACGTATGTGCAAATGTAGGTACCAGGGACATGTCACATCCAAATTTGATATCCGATAGGTAAACCGCCACGGGGAAAAGGGGAGAAATTCAATCTTTGATATTCAACAGACGATTTGACACCAGGACTTCGCCACGAGTGATGAGCATTTGCCTCACCCCACGCAAGATGAATTTCATGGATATTAGAAAAGTATAATTAAAGTAGGGGAAAAAAAAGGAAGAAAAAAAAAAGAAATCCGAGGAGTATGCCTGGACACTTACGTACCCTTCAATACACAGCCAGAATTACCCTGGACCAACCTATCGATCTATCGGCAGCCTTCCACCCCACCCAGTCTGGCCCCTCGGGGGCTGTGACTGGCTGCCACCCAACTCGAAACAGCCTGTAAGAGCCATTCGTCACCGTTTCAACCCCGTTTTCTGGTTCTCCTGAACACTGGCCCACGGTTGGCCGTAATCTTACCCTGTATGGTAACCGTATCTCCAAACTAGCCCAGCCCACCCAGTCTTGCTGCTTGCAGGCTAGAGCCCTCCACAGCCGCATGCCTAAACCTTAGGTACGGTACGGGGAGCCCTGCCTCGCGCTGTTAGTCTTCCTTTTGCACCCTCCGCCTGTCTATCAGTCTGTCTGTCTCCAGCCATCCAACGACGAACCCATCCATCACACGTCCTGAGCCACGATCTTTCACGTCGCTGCGGATCCGACCCATCTTCTTCCTTTTTCTACTCCGTTACCCTCTCGTCTCCCACTTCCATTCACCCCTAAAATAATCCGTCCCGTGTTCAAACGCCTCCAAAGGAAAACAAAATCCTTGTCCCCCCCGAGAATTTTATCTGGAGTACGTGGTCTCCATTCCATCCATCCCTTCTTTTTTTCTTCTCTCATCTGCTCCGATCAACAGTTCTCCTGCTTTTCCTCTTCACCCAACTCTCCCACATTCGTTCATTCGTTTTAATTCTGCTGTTCTAGCTTTTTTCCCCCCAATTCCGCTCTTTAACCTACACTCGTGGCCTCCGCACGATTCGGCCAGAGCAGCCTTCTACGGCCGCGCCCTTTTGAATTCAAACAGTTTCTATCCGATCAAAAACGCACTTTCACAATGAGCTCTGAAGGTGAAAAGGCGAGAACCTCTGGCGAGGTCTCCCGCCCTGAGCCCAGCTTGCCTACTGTGAGCCCCGCCGCCGACAAGCCGGAGCCCCCTAAGGCTACTTTCCACCCTGCCGTCTACGTTACGTGAGTGATAACTTGAAGAGATATCAATCTGAGGGAGTACGTTTGGCTAAGTGTTTCGCAGTGCCTGGATCACCTTGAGTTCCAGTGTTATCCTGTTCAACAAGCACATCCTCGACTATGCTCAGTTCCGTAAGTGCAACCTGGCCGTTCCGCTCGTCGAGCGCAAATTCTGGAATCGCTTTTGCTAACAGTCGCTTCAATAGGTTTCCGTATGCTTTTTTCCATTCCTACCCTCGAGATATCATAATTCTAACTGTTCCTAGCCATCATCCTTACAACATGGCATTTGGCATTCGCGACTTTCATGACCCAGCTCCTTGCCCGCACCACCACCTTGCTGGATGGTCGCAAGACTGTCAAGATGTCCGGTCGTGTCTACCTTCGTGCTATTGTTCCCATCGGTATTTTCTTCAGTTTGTCTCTGATCTGCGGTAATGTGACATATCTGTACCTGAGTGTTGCTTTCATTCAGATGCTCAAGGTTCGTTGGCCCCCAGCGGAGTCTGAATATATGGTCGGTTCGGTTTGCTAACAGTCGTAAAGGCCACTACTCCCGTTGCTGTCCTGATGGCGACCTGGGGTATGGGAATGGCTCCTGTCAACATGAGAGTCCTCCTGAACGTCAGCGTCATTGTCGTCGGTGTTATCATCGCCTCTTTCGGTGAGATCAAGTTCGTCTTCATCGGTTTCGTCTTCCAGATTGCCGGTATCATCTTCGAGGCCACCCGTCTGGTTATGGTGCAGCGTTTGCTCAGCTCCGCTGAGTACAAGATGGATCCTCTTGTCTCTCTTTACTACTTCGCTCCCGTCTGCGCTGTCATGAACGGTGTTACTGCCCTCTTCCTCGAGGTTCCCAACCTCACCATGGGCCACATCTACAACGTTGGTGTCTGGACCCTGCTCCTCAACGCCGTTGTCGCTTTCGGTCTTAACGTCTCTGTTGTTTTCCTGGTAAGTTATGCAATTGGAATTTGCACGTTTAACGGGTATTAACAACTCGACACAGATTGGCAAGACTTCTTCGCTCGTCATGACCCTTTGCGGTGTCCTGAAGGATATTCTCCTGGTCGCTGCCTCCATGATGCTCTGGCAGACTCCCGTTACCGGCACCCAATTCTTCGGTTACTCCATTTCCCTCATCGGTCTCGTCTACTACAAGCTCGGTGCCGACAAGATCAAGGACTACGCTGGCCAGGCCAACCGCGCTTGGGCTGAATACGGTGTCACCCACCCCGCCCAGCGCAAGTTTGTCATCATCGGTGCTGGCTGCCTCATCTTCTTCCTTTTCATGGGCACCATGGCTCCTGGCTATGCTCCTGAGTCCGTCGACCGTGTCAAGGGCTACCTCGGTGGTGCCGCCGCCGCCGGCAGCGCATAAATTCATTCATTTCCTTAGAACGGCTACAGGGGCCTACGCGTCCGGCCTTACCGAAGAATCTTATCAAATGAACTCACGGGCGATTCATTGACAATTGGACGCACGCTTCCTATACCAAACCGTGGAGGGAAGCGAGTGAGGTTCTTATTTCAAAAGTCCGCCTTATGTCTTTATTTCTTTTCTTTCTATTTTTCATCTGCCTGGCCAGGCCATGGGGATTTTTCCGACCATATATGGTTATTTTAAAGATAATGACCCTCATGCCGAGGGAACTCGAGGCAGTGGGAGAGCGAGTTGTTTTTCTATCCTTTTTTTTTTTTACGACCTGGCACGGCCACATGCAGGAAATGCAGCCAGTGTCTTTTTGAACCATGGGCCACATGGGTTGAGATAATGACCAATTTCAACTCCGAAGCATTCTTTCCGTCTCTACGCATCCGGGGACTCTTTATTATTGTATTGCTGTGATTTGACTATCCTATGAATACTGTGACATGTTAGACTAGCACGAGTTTGGTGTCGGATTTGCTTTTCTTCCTTTCTTCTTACCCCTTTTTTTTCCACTTTTTTTTTCTTTTTTCTTACCTTTCTTTTTGTTACTATAAGATTTTCAAAATAGACTTGTTTTGGGTGAAATCAACGTCAGTTAATCATATTATCTTGGATCATTATTTTGCCCTCATCTTTGCCTGAGTTTTCCTGGACCCTTGGGAGGTGTTTGGTTACTAAGGCATTGCCTCTTGTCACCTAGCAGCCAAAGCGGAGCTCACTTACGGTCCAATCAGATCTCATCTCAAGTCTCAGAGTCATCTAACCAATCACAGGCTGTTGTGGCGGCGTCGTTCGACGCGCGGACTGGCTCGATTGTCTGCACCAATCATAAATCTTCCTTTGTTCCCTGCCCCACATGGCGGATGGACGGCGTAGGTTCAACCGACCAATAATGCCTGTCGCCTTGCTGAGCAACTGGAAGCTGTGGGGACACCCTCAATACGGTCTGGTATGGTAATTCAATACAGGGAATTGCGCCGAAGTGCGTGAAACCTGGCGCTGTGGCCGGGCTTGGCTGCGTAATGCGCCGTAACGGAATCGCTGCTGCTGCTCTCCGCATCGCAAATCCCAAAGAAGCGCATCCGCATCCGCATCCGTCAGCCTTCTTTCTCTTGCTCTCACGCGTATTCCGTGGTTTCGCTCTATCACGCCTCTTGTCACCCTCTTGTTATCCCTCTTCCCTCTTCCCTCTTTTCTGCTCTTCTTTTACTCCTCTCCCTCCCCATCACTTCTTCTTTTTCCCATCCATCCATCCCTATCCTATCCTATCCATCCTTTCCTCTTCATCGCAATACTTTTCTCTACCTATCTTCATCTCGTGACGTCCTTCATACTCTCTTTTCCACGCCCTCCTCCCTCACGTCACACCGTCGCCGCCCTTAGTCTCTCATCAAAACATATCCTGTCCTTAGGGCTTGGATCTTGTGCTATCCACAGGTTGCTATAACTTGTTGTTTCTAGCTCACCTGACAGAACAGATCGATTCCTCCTACCTACCTACCTCCCTACCTCCCTCTTTCATCATCTCTCGCCACTTAATCCTGTCATCATACTCTGAATTCCCATCACGATGTCTCCGATGCTTCTAAACCGACTCTCCGACGGTCCGTCGATAGTCCTCTCTCCCCAGGAACACCCCTTCGTTCAATTCCCCTCCCAGTCGAAGTTTGGGTCATCACCGAATGCCTTCCAGAGCTATGCTGCAGACTCGAGCTCTCTCTTCGCCAATGGCCTCAAGTCACACACTGCTCAATCTGTAAACAATGCATCATGGAAGCTGTCTTCCACACCCAATGATTTTGTCGCGAAACCGTCGCGCAAGAGGTCGCGTGATGATGCTGCTTTCGAAGAGGCTATGAACGCCCCTGCCCCTGTCATGCCAGCTCCCGCTCCTGCACCAAAGGAGGAGCCTATTTATGGAGAAGGCATGGTGCTGCTAAACCCGCGTACTGGCATGGCTGTTTCCGCCGAGAGCCAGACTGGTACGTGGTATGAAGAGACTGCCGAGAAGAGCGCTGCCGCGGCTCCTCCTGTCTCGTCTCGATCTCGGGGGCTCGCTTCCGGTTCGTCTGATATCCCTGGCCGCAAATCCCAACGCCTCGACACCTCCGCTCCAGGCCTCGATGATATTGCCAAGTCTTCGATCAGCCAACGACTGCAAAATCCTACCAATGACGACAACCGCCGTGGCTTCGACTCCGTAAACGGGATGAGCCCATTTGCGCCCAAAGAACCTCTCGTCGATGACGCGACTCGCCTCCTCGGTATCAGCTGGCAACGAATTAGCACCGATGACACCGACATTGCTGCTGCAGTGCGCGGCTGGAAGAAATATATCGACAACCAGTTTTCAGCTCATCTCCGGGACTCTCAAATCCTCATGAAGAACCGAGCTCTGAATGCCTACCTCGTCGCTGCTCTTCCGATGACATTCACTGGACCCTCAAATACTCTCGCCTTTTACCTGTTCAGTGATGATCTCATCCAGGGCCAGCTTGTGGGTTCAACCTGGGAAGCCTGCCTCCAAAATCTTCGATCATCCCCCATCACATTCGAAGGTGCACAGGTTCTTAGGGCCGCCGACAAGCCACTCGATGGTCCTTGCGAGAACGGCTCTGTTCTTGGCTCCAACCCAATGGAAACCGGTGTCCCCTTGCTTCAATCTCTCTCTGCATATCCCACCAGCAACTTCGGGGGTGTCGGAATGAATGGAGGCGTAGGAACGGGGACGGGGATGGAAATCGACTCGTAAACCCTTCGACCTCCACCACGACGACCAAAAAAACGACCGTTATTCTTTTTCTTCCTTTATTATTAATCCTTTCGACGCCTAACCATCCGGCAGCATATTCGAGCTTGTCTTTACCTCACTTTTGACCTCGTTTCCTCCAGCAATCGACTCGGCCAGGTCGACTTTTCTTCGTAATCCAGGGAGTTTGAACGTTTGTGACTTTATTTTTTTCCTTTCTTCTCTTTTTTTTCTGTCTTATATTCACCAATCTTGTTTTTCTCTTTCTCTTCCTCATTTCACTGTGACTTTTCAAATTTGCTTGACAAAAGAGAAAAAAGGTCTTGTTTTTAGGCACTCACTGTTGCTTTATTGTAGCGGTGAGCTGCCCAAACACACGTCACGTGGTTTGTCATTTTTCTTCCCTCACCTTGACGATTTTCAATGAGCTATTCTTTCAAAAACAAGATTAAAATTCAAGAATTGAATAAATATGAATATAAATTTTGAGAAGCTTGAAGGACTGAAGAGTAGAAGTTAAAGTAGCAGATTTCAGCAAAATCAACGGGCGGAAGGAGACTGCGCCAGTTTTGTATTCACTACATTTGTTAATTCGCCTGCCATCTACTGATAGCTTTTGAATAATACTAATGGCACTAAAAAGAGAATATCTATTTTATTTAATGGGAAAGTATGAATAGTACTCATGACACCATTTATTGAGTACCATTGAAATCATTATAGAAAAACTATATATCCCAAGTGAAACGCCAAATCTCACTCACTCTTCTCCCCACCAACTTCATGGACTTCATCCGGAGTAGGCACACGAGGATGAACAGACCCTTGCCGTCTATCCGTGAAGAGGTAATCGATTTCTTCGAGCGTCAAGTTCGCCGTCTCGGGGTAGAAGAAGTAAATGATCTAGGGCCCATTGTTAGCACATCGCGAAAGGAGAGATAAAGCGCACTTTTTTTAGTGCAATGTATGGGAATAACTTACAGGCACAAAAGACAGGTTCAAACACATGAAGATGAGGTAGCCCTTCCAGGCCAGATTCTCGATCAGGGTTGGTGTAATCATAACGACAAAGAAATTCCACAGCCAGTTTGAACTCACGCCGATCGCTTGGCTGTTGTATGTGCTCTTTAGCTTTGACCATTTTATAATAGCTGGGAGAAGGGAGTGAGTGTAAAGTACATACCCTTTTGCACGGACGTGTAAAGGGAGGATCTCAGGCCCATACACCCATGGGATGCAGTTGACAGATGCTCCGAAGATGAGCATGAACAGGAAGAAAAATGCCACGCAGGCGGAGGCTGTTGGTTTCTGCTGAGGAGTTCCTGTACTCGTGTGAGCCGTGATATGTATAGCTCTGGTAGGAAAGGCACTATATACCTTGGAATGAGAGAAGGATTGAGATCATCATCATGCAGATGAAAAGACCGAATGATCCCCACATCATGGGCTTTCGACGCCCAAAACGATCCGAGAAGAAAGTAGGATACAAGGAGCCTGGTGATTGATGAGCACTAAAGCGTAATATATAGACGCTGACCTTGTCCTACCTATGACAAACATAACCTGGATGACACCACCAAGTAGTAAACTCAGCTTCCGGCCGAGTCCCACGTTATACTCGAGAACTGTTCTTGTCAGTAAGTTGATAGATGTATACTATATCTTGACTCACCAGAAGTGACATAATACTAATAATAATAGTTAGTTTTCTGAATTGTGAAAAATAAAGAGAGCACTTACGACAACCAAGTTGATCCCGCCCATCTGGTTCATGAATTGAATGCCATAAGCCAGTAAAACTCGTTTACCGGTTTGCACTTCGTCCTTCTTAAAGATCTGGGACCATTGGTATTCTCCATGCTGGGTTTCCAGTTCAATCGCTTCAAGAATGCCCTCTGATTCATCAACAACCTTCTGATCATCCGGTGTTCTGTCGTAAACGTCGCATAAAGTCTGTAATGCTTCATCTTGCCTGCCTTGTCGATACAACCATCGAGGACTTTCTGGGAGCCTTCGTCTTGTTAGGTATCTCTATCCCATGCGGTACGGTACTGGCGAGCTTACCCAAAGACTAGAAAGATGACCGTGATGGCAAAAATCATTTGACACGCAACAGGAAGTCGCCAGCTCACAGCGCCATCGACATAGCTCATCCCGTAGTCAAACCAGTATGCAATGACGATACCAACCCCGACGAACAGGGCTTCACTGCACACGTATTTCCCACGTTTTCGCGCTTCGACCAACTCCGACTGGTATACGGGTACTACCGTAGTTTCGATACCGGTGCCTATTCCGGTGACATATCGTGCCACAAGCATTTGGGCTCTGGAGTATGAGGCGGTCTGTAGTGTTGCTCCGACCTATATCCCATGTGTTAAATTATCGGTTGGCTTCCATCATAATAGCACTTACAATGATCCATATCATAGCAAACCACATGGACTTTCGGGGACCTAACTTGTCACTGGCCAGAAAGGCGACAATTGTGCCACTGAAACACCCCAGATTGTAAATTGAGACTATAATTCCTAAAATGCCGGGGCTTGGATGACCCATGACTTTGAGGAAATCTTCATTGCCGACGATACCTGAGAACACACCCTGATCATAGCCTTAAATTCGAGACTAGAGTCAGTTCAAAGCGCATAGAAGCGATAAACAGCACTATTGAGGATTGAGAACTCACCGAAGAAAATGAATGCGAATTGACAAGTGAACAGAATCGCCATCCGAAGCCCTAGGCCTCGGCCATACATATTGAACTTCACCATATTGACAGGGAACAGTGCGATCGGAAATGACGGTAGGACAAGAGATCAATCCTTGTGGGAGCAGCCTTGCATATAAATGCATTCCGCATCATACCATCCAATGCACACCTGGACTCGGCTCGAGCCATAGCCATACCAGACTCGAGGGGCTACACCTGCCGTGACCCGAGAAGGTCGTAGCACAATGAATGTACATTTAACCGGGGTTTCATTCGGGGAGCGCTTGCAACTTTCCACCAATTTTCAAACCCCCCTAACCGGTGGGCAAGCTGATAGCTAGAGTTTGCGGAGAATCTGGGGAAAGAAAAGCATGTTTGGATTTGTGCGGGGAGAGGGGAAAGATCGCCGGTCGGAGATCCGCCGTCATTGATGCTGAAGATGGCATGTAGATAAATTCAAGACTACTTCTTGGATGCCCGGGGGTTCTAACTTCCTGATTCGATCCACACAAGGCTTGGGACTCTTGGTTATTGGGGGGATGATCAACGGGGAGGACGTATCAAGGCCGAAGACCGGCTCATGTGGCGTGAATAGTCTTCCCTAGCGGTGAAAATAGGCTGTTAAGAGATGATTCAGTCCAGATACGACGTTAGAGAGATGACTTACTCAGGCAATTTCTGGTCTGACGCAAAAAGCACCTGCTGCTTGGGGTTCGGATTGCCTATTTGAGCCCGCGTTTCAGTCTCGATCGTGTTTGAGATATAGCTAGGTGGATATCTGGCTTGAAGTGCGTAGAATGAGAATAGAAAACTGATGGAATAGATTGTGTTTCTTGGTAGACTGTGATGTGACGTGGTGTTGGTGTTTTGTTCTGAGGGAAGTTGAAGAGAGCAACCAGCTCAGTAGCATGATGCCCGTGGCCCCGTGACTAGACAGACAAGTGTTTCTGACAAGTAGTTCAAGAATTATTCTTCGATTTAGTTTTGAGCAAATATTTATATAAGAATATTTTTGTTTTGTAGTCCCCTCGCTAGTCTCACCACATCGTTTACACCAAGCAAACAATGCTACATGACAAGCTTATCTTCCCAAGTTGAAGAATGCTGTATCCGAAGCAGCAAGCCAACTCTTCCAGACGCATGATGGGTATTTAACTGAAGATCCTGACCTCCACCCTAGTCACTATCATAGTCACTTCCCTCATCGTAGTAATCGCCATAATGTCCAGAGAATGCAGCGTCCACTCCATCATCCTCGTCCTCATCGTCGTCGTCGTCGTAATCATCGAGTTCTTCCTCATTCGGTTTATCGCCATTTCCTTCAGGTACTGGACCGAGGACTTCTTCGTTGGTGTCTCCACCCTTTGCCGTGTTAGATGTGGCCCCAGCAGGTGCGGGAGCTGGGTTGTGTTTCGGAGCAGCAGTAGGTTTAGTAGTGCTTGGTGTGACAAGTCGTTCGCGTCGCCTCGGTGTCGACGCTGGTTCGACGCTAACGCTGCGTCGGGAGGCGACACTCTGGCTTCGACTTTGGGTGCGACTCATACTCTCCGCCTTAGACTTCGCTGTTTCATCGGCCCCTTCTTCGCCAAACAGCGATTCCAGAAGACGGTAGTTAATCTTCTTACTGAATCCTCTGCGCTCCAGCATCCGGCGTGTTGCTTCTGCAGGTGTTGATGCACGGGAGCTTCTTCCATCTCCCTCTTCGCCTTCTCCTTCAAGGTAAGTAACGTCACCCATTCGACCCCTGCGGCGCTTGCGAGGCTTGTGCACCCCTGGGCCAGAATCGGCTTCAGCTAATGCTCGCTTCAAGGCTTTGGCTTGCTGCGTTCGCAAATAGTCTTTGTTCTCGTGCACCCAGATTCGTTCCTTGATTTCCACTTCCGCAGCAGACAGTAGACAGTTGGAAACTTCGGGATCTGATTCGAACTCGGAGGCATCGATCTCTGTACTTTCGGATACGGGTTTCTTGGTTTCTTGCCCTGGAATGTTTTTATCTGCAGCGCCTTCAAACATGTTGGAATCCTTTGATAGCAAAGCAGTCATTTCGTCTTCGAGCGCTTCCTCTGATGCAATCTGATCAGGGGTTGGAGGTGGTAACGGTTTTTGTTTCGAGCCTTTGGGTCTGCCCACCTTGCCCTTGGTCGATTCTTCAAGCTCAGACAAAACATCATCTACAGCAGCCGCGACTGATGATTTGGGACCGCTATTGGCTGTCATTAAAGCGGGATCGATAGGGAGACTAGGGATGGCAAAGCCATCTGCGTCAACACGGGGAGGCTGAGATGACTCAGGATTCAATTCAGCAGGACTCTCGTCTTGTGACTCCCCCTCTATCTCGGCTGCAGTTTCCGCGGCTTTCCTTTTCGTGATACTTCGTGGTTTTCTGCCTTCCTTCGCCCTGGTGAAGGAGGGTGGATCATGGGAATTTTCCAGTTGCACCGAGCGGAATTGATCGACAGTGAGCTCACCGCTCTCAGTAGAACTGAACTCGTTCAAACGTTGACTGATGGTGATTTCAGTCACTTTTACCACGTAGACAACCTCGCGCACTGTTCGACGGAAATTGTTCATCCGCGCGGCAAGAATAAGAGCAGCACCACATATACCAGCAGGACGTCGACCAGTAGTCATCCAATCTCGATTCATGCGCTGCACGATACGAACTGCCTCACTGGCAACTTGCATAGTAGAAGATCCGAACTCGAGCTGCTTGGCAAATCTGTAGATCAAACTTTCTGGATCTATAGGGTTCATCAAAAAGACATTACCCCCCAGACGTAGTTCGTCCAACAAAGCCTTGTACGTGCGACCCAGTTTAAACACATTGATCTGACCATAAGAGTTAGCCAAGGTATAGAAGAACACCGGGTTAACGACTTACCATTAGCACATCGGCAAAGTCAATAAGCATGACAGTATTTCCATCTTGTCGTCGACATGCAATGTATAGACACACCGCAGCCACAGTTTTCGTTCGTCGACCTTGGATGAAGTTCAGCCCAACTGCAAGCTTGAAGACCTGACCAGCAGCCTTCATCGCACTCTCTGGGATGTTCAAGGCACGGGAAAGTTGTGTTATATAGCGGTTTCCTGATACATGTTAAAACTTACTATGGATGATGGTAGTCTGAGACTGAGAACTTACCATTCTGTTCAGTAATCTCTCGACTCTCCATGGCACCTCCACGCTGGAAACCCGGTCCATAACTGCGGACGTGAGTTTGATCTTCACCAACAAACGTTCCCTGAACGACAGCAGCACCAGCTGATGTTTCACCGAAAGTGACTTCAGAAACGATATTGGCTTCACTGATGACCGTACCACACCCGGAACAAACTTTCTGACCATCATCCTCGACGATATGAGGAGCGGGACAGCCCGGATTGGGACATGTCGAAGGTTTGGGATGAGTGGTCGGTCTGGCAGGCTGAGGACGACCAATGGGCTGAGGTCGTCTGATAGGGGTCGGATTGGAAGCTTTGAGACTGGCCAAACGTCCGACAGGAGCCCTGGGACCAGCCTTGACGGGAGGACGCATGCCAGGTTTGGAAGACATGATGTGATATGGTCGTATTGGGTAAAAATCGATGAATCAAAAATGAAAATAATGATATCAAATGATATAAATAATAGGCCAACCCATTTACATCTTCAACTTCCAGAACCAAAAAGAAAGAGGATATATAAGGGCAGTGGAAGTAACGGGAAAAACACCACAAAAACCACGGCCAATGAAGACGCTCCCCCTCTTCCGAATATCCCTGCTGCAGCGCCTCGACAAAAAAAAAGCCAACGAGTCGTCTGTCGTGGAAGAAAGACGATAACTGGCCCTCTGATATCAAACAGGAGCAATAAACGATACGGACAAGAATAAAGAAGACGAGTTGAAGATGCACGCAAAGAAGATGGAGATGATGAGGGGATGAGGTTGGCGGCGACACAGCGGGCGCAAAGATTTTGCCGGCGCCGACCGCGTGGCCCAGCGGGAGAGTCACGTGGGATTGTGGGATGCTTAGAGGGGCTCGTTCGAATCCGGATGCTTCTATTGTGGAGGGAGGCCATCGCAGCGCTAGCAATGAGGATAAGGCTGATTCTGAACTATCAGATGCAATTTCGAATGGAGAATTAATTTATGGCGTTATTATATTTCTATTGCAGGCCATATTGCGTTGGTGCGTCGATGCAAGGGCAAGATTGCCGCCCAGTCTGGTGAACACCATGAAAGGACATCGCCATCACTCGACACCTTCCAAATGTCAGATGGCCATGGATATAAGAAATACATCGTCATGTCAGAATCCTCATCTCTAGTCTCATTGGAAACCCACTGCTCACCCTTGCTTCTGTTCCGACTTCATCGGCGTCTCTGGAATGGAATGCGACATTTGTGCGTGGTTTAGCGCTTGACTTCATCCGTCTACGCACAAAAACCGCATCTCGCCTCTCTGATTCATTCGATTTCTTTCGTCGTCCCTGTCGTTCTTGAAACTTCTTATATATATGCTGCTACACTTTTCGTTTCTTATCCAATCTCTAAAACACCTTCGCCGTGGTCTTTGTCGCAAACTACTGCAGTTTTAATCTCCGCTGTTGCAACTTCCCCAAAGAAAGCAACTCTTTTTTTTTTTTTTTTTTTTTTTTTGCTTTCTTCTCTCTACAATCAATTGTCTTTACAGAAACCAATCACTCTTCTATTCTTGTTGAAAGAGAAGGAAAAAAATAATAAGAATACAATATTTGACCTTCATTTTGATATTTTCACCTCTACCCTCATACCTTTGAAGGGCCGTTTGCGGCAACCGAGCGCTCCTTACGTCTCTGGACTGTCCTGTCCATCAAGACAGATCAGGACACCCAAAAGATATTCCGAACTACTACCTTCCATCATGCCGTCGCACGCGAGGCTTTCTGGGGCTTCATTATCCGGCCTGCGGACTTCTGAACCGGACTTGGATTGCCCTAAAAGCACATTCTTCGTCAGCAATATCCATTGCTCTTCATGTGTCGCCTATATCACCGAGGTCCTTTTCGAAATACCGTCAGTGAAGACAGTTGATGTCTCTATTTTCACACACGAAGTCCATGTACGCCACGGAGCCGAAACACAGGCTTCGGGTTTGGCTGCGGCGCTCATCCAAGCGGCCTTTGAAGTTCACTATGTCACCACTTATGATCACAAAGGAACTATCATATCCGAGCTCGATACAACCTCATGGCTTTCATCAGACCCCGTGCCCTTCTCTCCTCCACGGACCGTAGACCACCGCTCAGCTCCTCAGAACCAACTGCACATTGCCAACTGTGATGCCTGCCGGAAAGAAGAAAACGAAAGACTTTCTTCTTTACCATACCCATCAAATGTTGCATCTCCTCGAGAAAGAAGGCTCCGAAATTATTCGAGGCCTATCAGCAATGTCCATTTGGTGAATCAAAATTTCGATCAACTGGAGTCTGACACCGAGAGTCTTGTCCGCCCGATTTCCTCCACAAGTCACATAAGCCACAAAAGTCATAGGTCAGAACAATCGAGTACGCAAAAGGAATTACAAACAGGAAAGAATGAAGAATTCAAAGCCCGAATAAGCATTGGGGGAATGAGCTGTGCATCGTGTGTCAACAGCATCACGAACGAGGTCAAACAACTCGAATTTGTCAAAGATATTACCGTCAACCTTCTCACCAATAGCGCAGCATTGGTATACACTGGCCCACGGTCAAAAATAGACAAGATTGTCGAACAGATTGAGGATATTGGGTTTGAAGCTGCCATCGATGAAGTCGATGTCATTACCCAACCCAAGCAGAATCTCACGGCTTATGTTGCTGAAATTGCTATCAGTGGAATGACGTGCGGCTCCTGTGTTGGAAGTGTAACGAGAGGTCTCGAAGAGCTTCCTTTTGTCACCAATGTCTCCGTCAATCTCTTGTCTCATAGCGGCAAAGTCGAGTTCGAGGGACAAGAAAACATAGGTGAAATCGTGGAAAAGATTGAAGATCTTGGATACGATGCCTCTGTCAACAGTATTAATCCTCTGGCTGCGAGTAACGATGGCGACCTTACCATATCAAGCAGAACAGTCTCTATTCGCGTGAATGGCATGTTCTGTCACCACTGCCCAGAAAAAGTTCTGAAATCTCTGGAAGGGTTCTCCGATGTTCAAGTTGACCAAGCGCTCTCTTTCAAAACTCCCATTTTAAAGGTCACCTATACGCCTCAACCCCCGTCTCTCACGATTCGAAACATACTCTCTGCTATCGATAGCGCGCATGACGAATTCAAGCCAGAGGTTTACCATCCACCTAGTGTCGAAGATCGCTCACGCGCAATGCATCTACATGAACGACGTCGGCTGCTATCCCGTCTTGCTTTTGTTTTGGCTGCTGCAATTCCGACATTTCTGATTGGTGTGGTCTTCATGAGTCTTGTGTCTTCCAAAAACAGGATTCGAATGTATTTGGAGCAGCCTATGTGGGTTGGCAGTGTGACCCGTTTGGAATGGGCTCTGTTCATCATGACCACTCCCGTCATGTTCTATGGCACTGACATCTTTCATGTACGCGCTATCAAGGAAATTCATGCTCTATGGCGCCCAGGCAGTCGTGTTCCCCTCTTGCGGAGGTTCTATCGTTTTGGAAGCATGAACCTCTTGATCTCTGCTGGCACGACAGTAGCTTACCTTTCATCATTGGCGGTCCTTATTATGGATGCTGTCATGGATTCGCCAGCCAGCGGACATAGCTCGTCATATTTTGATTCCGTTGTTTTCCTTACTTTGTTTATTCTTGCTGGTCGCTTCATGGAGGCTTACAGCAAAGCAAAGACTGGAAACGCTGTCGCATCACTTGGAAAACTCAGACCATCGGAAGCATTGTTGTTTATCAGCCCGTCAACCGGCACCGACCAAACTGGATCTGACAGCATTGGAACAGAAACGATTCAGCGTATCAACGTTGACTTGTTAGATATCGGTGACACGGTCAGCATCCCCCATGGTGCTTCACCTCCGGCAGACGGCATTGTAGTGGGCACCGGCTCATATCAGTTTGACGAAAGCTCATTGACAGGCGAATCGAAACCTGTCAAAAAGTCCGCCGGGGATCAAGTTTTCACTGGGTCCGTCAATGTTGGACAGCCGGTACAAATCAAGATCTCTGCTGTTGGGGGCTCATCCATGTTGGACCAGATCATTTCCGTGGTGCGCGAGGGCCAGAGTAGACGTGCACCTTTGGAAAGAGTTGCAGATTTACTCACTTCTCACTTTGTGCCCATCATCACCCTCATCGCAATCTTGACCTTTGCCATTTGGTTCGCACTGGGACAATCGGGCGCCCTACCCCCAGATTATCTTGATGTTTCCCGCGGGGGCTGGGCCTTTTGGAGCTTGGAGTTTGCCATCTCTGTCTTTGTGGTTGCCTGCCCTTGCGGTCTGGCACTGGCTGCCCCAACAGCGCTTTTTGTCGGTGGAGGGTTGGCTGCCAAACAAGGTATTTTGGTCAAGGGTGGTGGAGAAGCTTTCCAGGAAGCAAGCCGCCTGGATGCCATTGTTTTTGACAAGACTGGAACTCTTACAGAAGGAGGTAGCCTGAAAGTGTCTGATCACGAAGCCCTTATCAAGGACCCTGAGGAGTTGCAAGTTGCTTGGGCTCTTGCTCAAAAGCTAGAGGAGAGCAGCAACCATCCGATTGCCAGAGCCATATCGGATTTCTGTTGTGATAAGACGTCAAGATCTATCGAATCCTCTGATATCCAAGAGATTTCAGGGCAAGGAATGAAGGGCACTTTTACCATCTCATCCGATCAGTCGACCGTCCAATACGAAGCAGCGATCGGTAACGAGCGCCTCTTACAGGAGCTTGCCTCTCCTGATATCGACACTTACTATCTCACCAATTTACTCACAGAATATCAATCAGCTGGGAAATCGACCGCTATACTCTCGCTTCGCAAAATTGGTTCCCCAGATTTGAAGGATTCTCAATTTGCCCCAGCAATTGTATTCGCGACGTCTGATTTGATTCGTCCTGAAGCTGTGCAAGTGATTTCCAAACTTCGAAAACGTCAGGTCGAGGTTTTTATGTGCACCGGTGATAACCAAACTACTGCCCACGCTGTTGCGGATATGTTAGGAATTCCTCGTTCGAATGTTATTGCCAATGTCATGCCTTCAGGAAAGGCCGATTTTGTCCGCCAAGTCCAAGAGGGGACCAATGGGTCGAATAGCGAAGGCACAAACGAACCCCTATCACGCTCAATTGTCGGATTTGTTGGAGATGGAGTCAACGACTCTCCCGCACTCGCAGCTGCAGATGTCAGTATCGCCATGGCATCCGGTTCTGATGTCGCCATGAATTCTGCCAGCTTCATTCTCCTCAACTCCGACCTGGACACTATCCTGCAACTGGTCATCCTTAGTCGTCGTGTGTTTAACCGAGTGAAGATGAATTTTTGCTGGGCTGTGGTGTACAATATCAGTCTGATACCCATTGCTGCAGGTGTGTTGTACCCAATCGTCAACGGTCATCGACACGAAATGGTCGGGGGTGAGCTGGTTACTCTTGATAACCACTGGAGACTCAGTCCCGTATGGGCTGCTCTGGCAATGGCTTTGAGTAGTTTCTCGGTCATTTGCAGTAGCTTGGCTTTGGGAATTGAATGGGAAAAGATCAAGAAAGTTCTTGGATTGGGAAAGTCTGAACAATCATGATATAATTCTATTGTGAATTCTTTTAAAGCGACACTGTCGGTTGTCTGGCATTGTGATGGGCCACGATTTATTATGTTACTTTTTATGATACTCCCCATGCCATGAGGCAGAATATGGGTTGCAAAATTGTTGAATATAGATGTTAAAAATGTAATCAATACTCTTATGCTAAATTTTCCTAAGCACTTGTCTTATCATTTTTCATGAACACGTTCATCACTAACCCGATTCACCCCAAATCTCGGCAATCCTTTTACTCAAAGCCTTGGTCACCTTCTTTCGCCCAATCAAGGTCTTCATCTGTTCAGAAATCATATTCTCCCTGTCCCTGGGATCCAGAGCTTCATATGCTTCAACCAGCTCGCGCGGAGTGCGCCACCGACGCTGGATCTCCAGAGCTTTGTCTCCCGTCACGCCGCGTGTGCACATAAGCATCTTTAAGAAGATGTCACGGAGGGATAAAATGTCGGACTTAGAGGTAAGCGCCGAGAAAGTGGGGAAGGTGACGGCGTATGTGATAGAGGGGGTTTGGGATCGGAGACTCTCGAGATTAGTGAGGTATGACTGGGATGAAGAGAGTTGTCGACTCGGGATGAGACTGAGGGAGCTTGTTGGAAGTAAAGAAGATGATGATGAGGATTCGAACATTTTCCGTAAGAGAGATGTCATTTGGGCGAGATAGCGAATGGATTCGTCGAGATTGCGAGTCTTCTTGACGAAATAACCGTTGACGACCTGCGTCGAGGCGATAGCTGAAGCCACCATTTCTTGGTATTTCAGTACGTTGGCACTGCTGGAGTCGTGGGTGACGTTGAACTCTTCGATTAAGTAGATAACATTTTTGATGCCGGAGCGATTGAGACGGAACTTTTGCTCGTGGAATCGTCCATCTTTAATGGAGCCGATGAGATCGTCGAGTCTTTTTCGTTCTACGATCCAGTCCAACATCACCTCGTCGCCTTCTTCGCCGTATTGCGATATGAATTTGGGATCTTTGAATTTGGCTACCCACATTGCATCGCCCAGTTCAAGAGCACGTACTTCGGGGTGGATGCCTTTTTTTATGAGTTCGTTTGAGATATAATCTCTGTCTTTTGAGGTGCGCACTTCTCGAGTATCCAGAACCAGCTGGACTGTGAAACTATCCGAGGGAAGAGCGATAGGAGTGACTGGGCCTTCATGCATGGGGTGGTTTCCTTGTTCATTACGGTGATTTAGGGTTGTCGGGTCTTCTTGTTCTTCTTGCTCTTCATCCTGAAATTCCGACACGACGACAGAGCCTTGCTGTCGAGAAGCACCGCTTTGCTCCGTTGAGGCCTATACATGTTAGGACTATCTTTAGATTTCGTATAAAGGACATACCGGTTGGTTTCCAAATGATAATGTGTTTTGATTTTGGTCCGACTCAGGCAAAGTCTTCTTAATCCTCTTTGCAACCTCCCATCCTTCTTCCGTGAGAGCATATCTCTTAAGTGGCCGTCCATGTTCGTAAACAAGGTCTTTCTGGACCAAAGTCTTCATTGAATTCCATGCAGTAAAAAACTTGGTAGGATCACTTGGAGCGGTGAAAGAGCTGTCGCAATATGGCTGTGCCTCCTCAATTAGCTGCGCTTTCGGCATGCCTTGGTACGCATTCTCATCTAGAGTTGAGAGGCCTATGAGTAACGCATAAGGCCCGGAACGTAATGCTGGGACATATGGTCGCGGTTTTCGGGCCTTCTTCGCCGGCTGGCTATCGTTATCTTCTACGCCTTCGCCAGATGTCCTTTTGTTCGCTGTTCTTCTTAGAACCCTGTTACACGACAAGTCGGTAGAAGAAGATACTAACCCTTATGAGGCGGTTCGGGCATGGGAAGCCCATTTTCTGTACAGTAGGCTTTGAGATTATTTGTCAACTTCTCGCAAAGTTTTGGCCCTAATCCGTTCAACTGTTGGGCTTCAGATGGGTGCTGAAAGACCAACGGACAAGCCTTCATCGATTCATAGGCCTTTTTATACCTGAGGGATAGCGAGTCAGTTGGTTTTCAAAAAGGGCATAGAAAGAATACATACACTGTGACTCCTTTAGTGTTGCGCTCCTTAGCCTGATCTAGCCATTCTTTGATCCACCCCAGTAGCAGGGGATTTGCACAAGTTTCACTCATCCCGGCTGCTGACGATCTAGTCTCTATTTTTCAACAGTTTCTCAAGATAGAAGAAGATAGTCCCACAGAGTACAGCCCTGCTGCAGCCCAGCTCTCAAGGGCGTTGGTATTTCTCTGCTGCTTGAAGCTGCGAACACGCGACTTGACGCGTATTTCCACTTTGGGCAAATTGGGAAGGTGTGGCTGTGTTTCTATGGCGCAAATGTGGCACAGTATTAATTACTAACCGGTTTACCTTGACTTCTCTGATTGGCTCAACGGAATCGTTCCACGATACCTCTACCAGACAACACATACCAAGTCAGCTTATTCCAGATCATTAACTACTATTGTTGACAAGCTAAGATCCAATCTCTGCGTTGGATAATTGACCCCTCGTTTGAATTCGTCTCAATCAATGGAAATGTTACACTCGTCAACGGCCGTGCATAAGCGCCACAGACAACATTTACCGGTGCGGATGACGTCGAGTACCCACCCCCACAGCAACAGACCTGCGAGACCCATGGGTGAGTTGGGGGCATGTTTCAACTCAACCAAGCTCCGAGGGTTCTTTTCAATTTGGATTTCGACTTCTTCAACCATAGAAAAAGCACCAGAGTAAAATCTGTGCATTCATTTAGCGGCTCTAGCATCCGATGGGAATAAAATGAGCCAAGAACAAGAGACACTCGGGGATTTGGAGCTTACAGACAGCCATGACTCTCCCCAGGTAGAACCAGAAGAGAACGAACTGGTACCCCAATCTAGCAACACCAAGAGACTTTCAGATACTGCATGGAAACAGGCCTCGAGAAGCGTGGATGAAGAACTCGTGTCTGGATTGAGTAATGAGGATTTATGGTTGCTCGTCAGGCGGTTCAACAAGGTATGTCTCGTCGATTGTCAGTGGCGTCTGCGTTAATTCTAGTATGCTGACACATTGAAGCAAATTTACTATGTTAAGGCTGCACCGGATGCTCCTGTAAAGGAGCTTGATCTCAATCGAGCGGAAGACGAGCATTTCCCCCCGGAAAAGCTACGAATGACCCTTGAACGATTCTATACTTCAGTTGTCGTTGGATTGGCCGGTTTCTTCAAACAAATTGCTAGGCTGCGCTCGTGGAAAGAACCTCGACGTACATCAATATTCTGTGCAGTATGTTGATATTTCAATGTATTGGGACTTTGTTGCACAAGCTCACTATCTATAGGTCTATTTCGTTATGTGGCTTTTGGATAGTCTCGCTCTAGCGTTCCTCGGTGCTCTTGTTTCCTTGGTTGTTTTCCCGCCATGTCGGACACTGCTGTTCCCCCCTGCGCCTATCGCATTGGTTGATGGCGACACCGGTAGTGTGAAGAAACCTCAGGCCGGTGAACTTGGATATGACAGCATAACTGGAGCACCGGAGAGATACAAGGGTGAAGCAGCTGAGCAAGAGGCCAGAAACTTGGTTAACAGCGTTGCTGGTGTTGCCATGGAAAGCGCTGCTGCCAAGTATGGCCAGGGTGTGGTGCCCGAAGAAGATTCTGCAGAGTCCCCTATCTCTGACACGATGGAAATTGCTACTACAGCAGCAGGTGATAATACTGAAGACGCCCCTGCTGATGACAAGACAAAGAAGCCCATGAAGAAAAAAGTGATCAAGGCTACCAATCAAACGATGCGTGTGGTCAGTGATATCACGGATATCTGGGAGAAGTTTGCGAAGTAAGTCACCCACCAAACGGTAACCTGATTGACAAGTCCTAAATGGGTTTACTATAGTGCTCTGTCTCCAACGCCACCATTCTCTGCAATAACACCTCGTCTGCGCCTAGCGGGAATTTTGGTCTCTATATGCTTGGCAATACACCTAACATCAAGTTATTTGGTTATCAAAGCAGGTGCCTTTGCTGTTGGATTTGGATTTTTCGGTGATCCGGTTATTCAAAGTTCTCTAGACTTTTTGAACAACCGAATTCCTGATTGGAAAAAGCATTTGGATCTGCAAAAGTATCTCCATACATTTCCACGAAGCTTTTGCCCTGGCTAACATTTTCTCAGTTCACTTCTGAAAGGAGTCCCCACAAATGCTCAACTCACCTTGACCTTGCTCCGGATTGGCGAAATAAACACTACACCTTTGCCGCCCCCTCCAACCTCACAAAACAACGAGCCGCAATGGCCTATTCGTCGCTCAAAATCCAGTACTACTACTTCCAGTGGAGGAAAGGACAAGGATACCTCCACTGATCTCCAAAGGCAGGGTTCAGATGAGTCTTTGTCGGCACCAAAGTCCAAGAGAAGATGGGTCGTCAAAGTCCTCAGATTCTTCCGTCGTACGATAGCAACAGCAATCAAAAGCCACATTGCAGTCGATCGGGCCATGGCCATTGCAGGCTCTGCACATACGAAGAATTTGGTTGGTATGGTTGGTATGTTGCGCCAGAAGGGCTGGATCTCCGCTCCATACGGGCCTATAAAATTTGACGCGAAATATGAACGCAAACGGGGTGCCGTTGTCATCGACTCATCAAAGGAACCGCCCATACTTTACTTTACAACATATCAGTCTTCTGGGTTGGATGATCTGCGTTTGGAAAGCAGAAAGAAGGGTTCTGTTTTGTTTCAAATCCCTGTCACTGACATCAAAGAATTGAAAAAGACAGAAGGACTAGGCTGGAAGGGTAAGTTGATTGTTGAATTGACTGCCGGCAGCAAAGAGGCAGCAGATGGCTTGATTATTGTTGGAAAGGAGACAGATCAATCCTACCACATCACGGGCATGAGGTCGAGGAACGAGTTGTTTAATCGCCTGGTTGCCATTGACGCACAATTTTGGGAGAGTCGTTAAAATACAGCAAGTTTTTTATTGGAAACTTTATTGACTGATTACAGAGAATGTCATGCGGAACATATTGGCTTTTACCTCGAGGCGAACTCTATAACATTATGTATCACTGGGTCTATAATGAACATTGACCTGCATAGCCAGAGCATATATACAAAACCAAAAATATCATCCTAGCGCTGATATTGCACTGCAAATAGATGGTGGATCCTTCGTTTACCTATCATTTTCCATTATTGCTGCTCCATCTCCATTTTATAGTCTTGTACAGCCTGTTCAAATGAAGCGTCACGTTTGAAACCTAGCGAAATTGCCTGCGTGTTGTCAAAATGAGTGGGCCATGATAGCAAGATAGCCTTGAGCGAAGGATCTTCCTGTTCCTTTAATAAAGCCAGTCTTTCCTTTCCTACTACCGCTTCTAGGGCATCCATCATCTGCTGGATCGTAACACAGATGCCAGGGACATTGATTTGGCGGATATGCGGAGGTACCGCGTTGGCGGGCAATGTAAGCGTGATAAGAAGGTTACGAACGAGGGTTTTGGGTGAACAGAGCCACGATTTAAAGGATCGATCCTCGACTGGAATTATGCACTCCTTGCCATCCAGTGGTTCACGGATCATGCCGGAAAGAAAGGACGAAGCAGCGGCCGTTGGCCGACCGGGTCGGACGGAGATAGTTGGGAAACGAAGAGTGAAGCCTGTGATGAAGCCGCGTCTCGTATATTCATTCACAAGAGTCTCGCAGATAATTTTCTCTGCGCCATAGGAGGACTGCGGAGTGGGGATGACGGTGTCGTCGACCACTTCTGGGAGTGGCTGTCCGTAGACAGCCTGACTGGAGGAGTAAATCACCCGCACTCCAGGACAGGTGTTTCGAAGGGCCTCGAGAAGGAAACGAGTAGCATCGACGTTGACCTTCATCCCGAGTTCGAAATCAGCCTCCGACCCGGACGACATGATGCCATGGAAGGCGTAGACGGCGTCGAGGAGTTTGTCCACCACGGAGTCTGCCGCCGTGAGCAGGTCTGCTTTGATGGACGTCGCATTCTGAGGGTATTTCACGCCCTTGGGGATAGGGGGTTCGTGGATATCGGTCAGAGTGAGGCGGTAGGAGGGGTCATTGAGCAGTTCCTTTGCGAGTAATTGACCGATGAAGCCTGCTGCGCCGGTGACGAGGATATGCATTATGGTGGAGAGAGGGGGTGTTGAGGTTCAATGCTACTGTAATCAGGGGGACTCGACTGTCAGCCAACGATTGAAATGTTCCTGGACCGTTGATATACTCGACCCATGGATAGATGAGTAAGTCATCTTTCATTATCGTCATGATTGTTGATGGTGGGGTTGATGCTCCGCATTCGCATCAAGTCCGAGGCGATCTTTCGATGCCACTCCGCAGCCGGACTTGGGCCGGACAAGGGCGATGGATTGTTTTTCCATGTGAAGATAGTTTAATGAGAATGGTTGATGTAGATATAGTGAAGACTGCGGATGAGAGAGTGTTGTTGATTGTTTGTTGGTGTTGATGCTGCGGATCCAAGTTTGAGATAGAGACAAAACAAGAACTGGACAAGACGATCGACTGCAAATCCCTGTTCTTAATACTGTATATTATAGTCACTATTTGTCTATCGTCTGTTTGTTATTTTTTATTATTCATCTCCAAATCTGTCTATTAAGGAGCATTTTCCCTCACCATCAGCAGTTTGAGACAATTCCCCCCGCCTTACCCCAGATCTCCAGTATTCTCTTAGATAGACAATGATATTTACATTGCCAATATTTTGTAGTTTCAATTAATTGATATGATAAAATAGCAACTCAGTCAGTATAATCACAATCATAATCAAAATCCACACACAATCTAAATAGACGCGATCGCATCGCTCCGTCGCGCCAGGCGGGGTTTTCCTTCTCGCTTTGAACCTCTCCAACTTTCCCCCTCGCAATCCTGCCTAGTCTATCCTCATGATCCTCAACGACTGACACTAATCCCCTTCATCCTATCACAAAGGAATCCATTTCATCCCTAGGGCCGGTCCCGGTCAACCGATCTCCATTCTATGCTGGTTGTATGGTACCGGAGCATCCCCGATCGATCGAGAATCCATCCTTCTCCACCATCATGACCAGCTCGACAACCCCCATGAAACGCTCGTCTTACGATGCTGGCCTCGAATCCCCGCGACTAGAAGACACTCGCTCTTCCACTGCACCTGATGCGCGTCCTAAAGCCCCGAAAATCTCCAAAGCCCGTGCCTGTGAGTGCTTCAACCCGGTCATCACGGCCCAATGAATACAGATAGGAGGCATGCAGGAAGGAAAAAGAAAAAAAAGACATCGGATATGCGGGTTTTATACTGAAACATGATATCATGCTCTGCAGGTGCGGAGTGCAAGCGCCATAAAATCCGTTGCGAGATCAAACCGGGAGAATCGAGTTGCACCAAATGCACGCGGAGTGGGATTAAGTGCGTGGTCAATGACTTCTCGCAGAAGTTTGTCGACGATGACGGGGTGTAAGTGCTTTTTCAAGCATTTTGTATTAGAAGTCTTCTTGTCTAACGAATTATATCTTCCATAGGTGGAAATCCCAGGCTGCTGCCACGATCCAACAACTCCAGGCCGCTGTGTCACATCTTCTCCGTCACGATGGCTTGCCGGAACTCTCGACATATCTTGCTGGTGACACTAGGAATGGCCCTAGTCCTGTCGCCTCTAACCATGGATATGGTCCCTCCTTTGATGACTCGCAGTCGAACGCAAGCCACAATGGCCCAGGGGTTGTACTGGATGTAACTCGCGAGCCATCCCAAGAGCCAGACCTACAAGATCCAGAGCTGGTCCCAGCGCCGATGCGCAGTCTCTACGAAGTCACCAAGCTGCGCAATCTGCGAAACAATTTCGTGGAGAAGCCGAAACTGACACTACTGGAGGAAGATTTTATCTCTCGAGGCCTGATTTCTATGCACGAGGCCGAGGAGCTCTTTGCCTATTTCAGTCGGACAATGAATCAGTTACTCTGGGGAGGAATCATATTAGTGCACCGTGATCTTACATCAGTCCGTCGAGCGTCGACATTGCTCTCTGCGGCCGTTCTCACTGTCGCCGCCCTCCACATCCCCAATCGCACCGACACACTGAACCGTTGCTACAATGAGTATGTATCACTGGTATCCAGCATGTCTCTGACCCGTGCACATACGCTGGATGACATACGTGGTCTATGCGTTGGAGCATTCTGGCTTTCTGAACTTAGCTGGAAGCTTTCAGGTCATGCTGTCCGCATTGCAACGGAACTAGGCCTTCATCAGAGCTACCAGAAGCTGATACGAGGTAAAAACGATCAATACGAACGAGCACAGCTCTGGTATCTGCTCTACGTATGTGATCACCACTTTAGTATCGCATACGGCCGACCGCCTGTCATGCATGAGGACCAGGCGATCAAGAACTGCGAGACTTTTCTCCAGTCTCCAATGGTAGTCCCTGGGGATATTCGACTTTTAGCGCAAGTGGCGCTATTCATGATCTTGACTGAGGCATATCGAATGTTTGGAACCGACACGGAGCAGGCATTGACAGAGGAGGACTTTGGTCAGTTACGGGTTTACAACGTTGCTGTTGATCAATGGCGACTCTTGTGGCAGCCACGATCTGGTAAGTGGGTCGAAAGTCCGTTAAATTCCTCCTTCTAATCTGATATAAATCCAAATAGCCGATAGCCCATATGTGCGCACATATCCCTCAAAAGGGGTAGTGCTTCACTATCATTTTGCCAAATTCCAGCTCAACTCACTCTCGCTTCGGGCCCTTTCACCATCCAACACTCCTGTGTTCTCCATGGATCGCAAAGAGTCTGCCAACATCGCTATCTCGTCAGCCATGGCTTGTCTTAATATGGTGCTCGAAGAGCAAGACATTCGAGATGCCATCGTCGGCGTCCCCATTTTCACCCATACGATGGTTACCTTCTCCGCCGTTTTCCTTCTTAAGGTTGCTGTCAATTGGAACTCAGCCTATCTCAGCATTGATGGCCGCCAGGTGCGGCAACTGGTCGAGCGGGTGATCGAGCTCATGAATTGTGTCTCGGCAGGCGAGAGACATCTCACACGACATATTGCCCGGGGATTGGGCAAGATGCTGGAACGATTCGATTCATGGGAGACTGCTTGGCAGGGTAACGGGCTTATGGCTGGGACCGGAGCCATCGACCGGTCTCGAAACGAGGTGCCTGGTGGAGCAAATGCCATGGCACAGGGCTTTCCGCCGCCGGACCTGATCTACGACATGGTGGGAACTTATGGGTTCGGCCTGGATGAGAATTTGCTCGACCCCAGTATGGCAAATTTCGAGTTTTTGGCGCAGTGATTGACATTGTGCGATGTTATGGATACCCTGGACGACGAGATGACGGTATATACGTTCTTTATTTCTTCTCTTTTAATTTTTGCCTTGATCAACTAACTCAAGGAGACATTTTCACACAAGACTATATTGTTTATGCCGTGTATATATAAACAGTGCTCCATGCTACTTTCTATAGATCACCAGCGAAGCTACGATAGAAAACAAATTCCGTTCTTACTTATTCTTGAACCGTTCCATTGCATATCGGTATCCACCGATGAACCTTGGATAGCCTTACAGCCAGGAGAAAATACTGCAACGCAAGGTACGACATCTGATGTCATGATTATCTGTCGAAACAGTAGTAATTATCAGAGTCATGGTGTCATGCTGGGATCTGCGCGTCTTAAATCCACTCACTCTGCTCTTATAGACACAGCCTGGTAATTAACCCCTGTATCATTGGTATTGGCGTGACAATACGCTGCCTCTCCCCTCATCTCCATCTTTCTCAGGTTCCCCCTTTCTTCTCTCCATCCATCCGCCATCTATCTATCATATTTTCCATCTTCCTATCTCTGTCTTAGCCTGATAGCATTGGCTAGATCTCGTGAAAAGAAGATTTGAAAGAGTCGAGAAAACCTGGACATCCCAGCCACAAAATAATGACGCGAAGCAACCCTCCCCAGTCCGTCAGCGTTCCCCTTTTCCAGCAAGCCAGGCCAAAGAATTGAGAATGGACGGGGGCATCCAGACAGGACGAAACACATGCATGGAACACAAGAACCACGCACCATGACCGGCGTTCTGAGGTTTGGGTTTGGATCGTTATCCCCACCTGTCATGGCGTAAACCTACGCAGCTCCAGCTTCTAGTTGTCTCCCCCCCAGCTTCCCCATCTCGCTGGTGCGATGCGCCCTCCCGTTGTTTGCTGAGCCTCTCTCTCGTCTCCCCCGGTCGAGTCGCGTGAAGTAATGGCCGCCCATTCCATCCCCCTTCCCTCGTCTGCTGGGACTGGGAGCGGCCGTTCCCTGTCTGCTCTGTTACCCTTACCTGCCGTTCCCTTTCCCCTTCCCACCTCTTTTCTTCTCCCATCTCCCTCTCCCTTCACACTCCTCTCACCATTTCCCTAATCTTACATATACACTGGCTCTCTTGCGCCAATCTTACTCTATAATTTTCTCCCGATAAGCTCCAGCTTTTCGCTTTACTTCTACAAAGTATATATCCTACCATTGGTCTAATCACCTCTCGTCGAGGCATTTAATTTCCTCTTAAAACATCATGACGACCCGTAAGAGAAAGCAAGAGGCCGAAGAGGAGGAAGAGCTCCAGGCTCTCCCCAGCGATGAGAGTGAAGAGGAAGAGGAGTAAGTGCGCGCCGTGCGTCCCTTTTGTTTCCTTGAACATGCGACTTTACGACATTGCGCATTTCCTTGTATGCTTTTGATGCACCAAAGTTGTCGGCGCAAAGGAGCAGCAAAATGCCAGTTACAAGGAACTATCTTTATCGACATCGTATTCTAACGCGACGCTGTATTACAGATATGAAGACTCCGAAGTAGGAAGCGAGGGAGGCGAGGAAGATGAGGAGGAAGCGCCATCTGATGAAGACTCCGAAGAAGAAGAAGAAGAGGGAGAGGAAGAGAAAAAGAAAGAGACTCCTAAGAAAGAAAAAGAAGGTACATTGCTACAACCCATCTCTCTCGTTTCTCTTACCTAAACGTGTTATCTAACAAGTGTCCCGTCTTCCAGATCAACACGCTCCCAAGAAACGAAAGACAGCTCCTGCAGCTGAAGACGAAAAGAAAGAAGAGGCAGAAGAAGGTGGTGAGGGTGAGGGTGAGGGTGAGGATGCTGAAGGCGAAGAAGCATCTGGCAAAGAAGAGGAAGAAGAAGCACCCGAGGAAACAGCCAAGACCAGTGGTCCTGCTGAAGCTGCGGCCAAAGCCAAGGGCGATACTGTTCCAAAGGAGCCTGAAACTCCAGAGGTAGAGGCAGAGGCAGAGGATGAGTGATGTTATTCTCTGTCTACTGTTGCTGTATTCCAATGGTGCTCTACTGCGGTGTGAACACTCGAAAGAGATGCCTATAATTTATCAATGGAAAGCAATTGAATTATCCCATAAACCAATAATTTCTTATGTCATTATACTATGTAGCAATGGGCCAATATCTAATTTGAAGAGAAAGTCGGCAAACTATAGTATGGAAAACCCCTACAATTGCAAATAAATTATATATGATAAGCCATACATCAAACTGGAATGACAAAGAAATGGTGTGATGAAAAGACAAACAGAAGAAAAAAAAAGTCTAATATATAGACTTGGTGAATGTAAAGGGGCGAAGTAGACAAAACAGCATCAAATCAATTATAAAGGCTGCTGCCATCAATAGTAATGCTCAACAAGTCGTGACGAGTAGAAATTATCCCTCCAGTCCGCTTTTTCTTTCTTATCGGTCTGTTCCCTCCATCTGTTCTATAATTGCATGTGTGCGTGTGTGCGTGTGTGCGTTTTCCACCATAGGAAGGGGGGTTTCTATCAGTCCTATCAACAGGGTAATCATATAACTTAAAGACATCAAATAATATCATGGATTGGTTTAAGCATCACTACCGCTGCTACGGAAGGTTGCGCACAATTGGCAGTATTGGTGTGTGAGGTCGAGGACGGGCTGGGGCAGGTTGGTCGCCTGGACGATGCTGCGCACCTTGACGGCACCTTCGTCCTCGATGAGTTTGCGGATCAGGAAGAGAAGTTCGGGAGAGAACTGTGATGGATGTGATTAGTTTGTTTTCTCATTAGAATTCTACTCAGGGGATAAAGGGGCCAAGAAATACCTCTGAATACCACCGGTATTGCCAGGCAATGAGTCGGATCAATGCACCCAGCATTCCACGAGTGTCGTTCTTGAGTTCATACAGCTTGAGAACGCCTCGCATAGCCTTGGGTGAGAATCGAATGGCAAGACAGTTCTGGTAGGCTTCAATTCCTTCATCGAAGTGGTGGAGTCGCTCTGCCAGCTCGCCCAGAATTTCCCACTCCGTGGCGGATTTCTTGTACTCCATGGCTTGCTGACGAAATTGGGCCATCTCTGTTCGCCAGATGGTGTATATGCGGAGGTCTTCATAGAGGACCATGAAAAGGTTATCAAGCCACCTCTCGCAAAGGCGTTTGTTCCGGAATTGCGTGTATGTCGAATGCGATGGGTCGGGCTACAAGGATTACTGTCAGTATAAAAGGGACTGGCCATACAGATAAAATACCAGCTTACGTCTTCATTTCCAGACTTGACAACCTCCGATGCCATCGTTTGCTCTGGTCTCTCGATCGAGTTCTCCTCGTTGCCATCCCCGTTTGTGGCAGCGTCAGTAGTCGCATTTTCGCGATCCGAGCCAGAGCCATCCTCGTGCTCTGTTCCATTCCCATTTGTCTCCTCTGAGTCTTCATTTACGGTTGTAGAGCTGGCGTTTGCATTGAGCTTTCCAGTTTTCGGTGCTGTATGGTGACGTTCAACTCTGTACTCCTCCTCCATGACGAACACCTCACTGCGGATTTTGAGAAGTTGATCCCAGCCAATCGAAGCAGCAATTTTAGTCAAAATATTATAAGCCTTCAGGAAGGTTCCTTGGTAGGCAGCGGCATGCAATTTCCGCAGGGAAGGGTGAACGTAATCGTGAGGGTCTCCTTGTCTTGGTTGCCCTTCGTCAATCTCCTCCAAAATGCTCTCTGCAAGGATGGGAAGCATGATACGAGATGGTTGGGGCATCCGGGGCGTATCCTTATCTTGATAAGTGAACATGGGGCAGGAGTTCAGTGTCAGCAGCGCCAAGTCCCATCGCTCAAGGCCGACGTATACATCCGCCAGCCGAGCCCAAGTGCTGAATTCACTGGGTGCAGCAGTCACGGCCCGCTTCGCACACTCCAAGGCCATCTCTCCCTCTCCTTTACTCTGGCAGAATGCAGCCTGGCAATCGAGTAGCGCGTAATCCATGGGCACATCTTGCAGGGCATCGAACATTAACCGTACCGACTGAACCTCTTCATTTGCCATTATGAGAACCCGGGCCAAGAGGGACGAAACCTCCACGTCCCGCGTGCGAAGCTTTTCGAAAAGGTTGACTCCTGATGTGTAGCGACCGGTTGTTTGGATGTATTTCAGGAGACCGGTTGTGAGGTGGTTGCTGACGGTGTTGGGGACCTGGGTTTCTGGATCGGAGCTCAGCTGTCTCCCTATAACATTGTCAGCATGAGCACCGCATAATAGTCCATACAATATTGCGCACCCAGGAAAAAGAGCCTCTCGGCCGCATCCAGGAATTTATGTTCCATCTCTGTGTTTGTAACCGGGTTGAATCGTCTAACTCCGACAATCTTCCTGATTGAATCCCCGCTTCCATCGTCCGCATATGAGTAGGCTCTCAAGACTGCGCAGAGAAATGTTTCGAGCCAAAGGGCCTCCGTAGCAACACGCTTATCCCCGCGCTCATCAATGCAGTAACTCTCCAAGCTTCCCGGGATCTTAACTTCGACGCGCATATCGAGGTGGGAGAAGGCATTATAGCAACTGATAAAGGTTAATCACACTGGTCCATATTTTATCAAACAGTAATCTAACCAGTAAATCCCCGAAACCACCTTGTGTGTTTTGTCTAGAGGCGAAAAGGTAAGTGTATTTACATAAGCCGCTAGACTGGCAGAGGAGGAGGCATCGATTCCGGTGACATGGTGGTAAACGCCGGTCTATATTCATCAAACCGATTGTGTTAGCCATTGCTCCATTGAACTCCCCATTATCACTACATCCGCGAAAAAAAAGTGCCAGAGACCGTAGGGTCATCCATAACAAACGTACCTGGCGATTTGCGTTGGTCTTTGGCTGCTTGACCAAGTATACCAAGTCCGGGGGACCTAATTCCCGTAAGCTCTGTAAAGAGTCTGAGCGTGTATCGACGGCGGCATAGATATCATCCTCTTCGTATATCCTGGAGGGATGTATGAATGTCAGTCACAAGCCAACCAGTGGAGGGGGGGGGATTTGTTTCCCCCCGATTCAATTGCATAAATAGCAAATCTCCGGAACACGTAAAGGGAAGCACATACTCGGGAACAGCTGGCGCAACCATGGCGCTTACAGGAGCGCAAATAGGGGCTCCAAAAGATAGAAAATAAATTGAATATTCAATTCAACAAAGGACAGATGGCGCGAAAGTACAGTGGATAGCGAGTCAACGTCGTTGTCCCTCTCGGCGGCGTCGTAAGTCGCAACGGACGGGCCGATCAGTTGGGGGAGGCCCTTGATGCCTCAGGCAGCAACAAGGCATCCAGGCCATGCTCCTTCGGGGAATTCGATCCCCCGGAAAACGCGTGATGCGTGTCCCTGGACCGCGGTATATCCTTTTATCGTTATTCCATCGCCACGGCATGCTCAAAAGGCTCCGTTGTCATCCATAGAGACGGGTGCGTGTCGTTTGGGATGCGGCATATTTAATGGGGAAAAATATCGATCTGAGTTTGTGAAGCTATTGGACGAGTGACCCTGCATCATGTCGAACTGGGTCGCTTTGAATATTGAACCCGATGAGGCTGTGGAAGAGGAGGTCGATGACACCAAAGAAATCCAGATCGAAGAAGCTCTCAAGCTCTATCAAAATGCGTTGAAGCTTCATTCTCAAGGGCCTCAGTTTTACCCTCAAGCGGCGGAGGCGTATGATGCCCTGCTTAATTCGGAGATCTTTAAGTACCCCGAATCCATCTCCGACTATAAAAGGTCCACGCTGCAGGATTCAGAGCCTCAATTTACCGGAATAGGTGATGTAGCTGCAGCTGCAGCTACTGCAGTTTCCGCGGCAGAGACCCTTGGGGAGTTTGATATCAACGATTCTACTTCCAGTACTTTGCTGCAGACCATATACCTGTCCTATAAGAATCATGGGCAATATCTGTTGGACTCCTTGCAAGCCTTTCTACAGAGCACTGGTAAAACATCCGATGCAGCTCAGGACACATCTGCGAAAATCACCGAGTGTTCAAGCGCTGCTCTAGCTTCCTTTGCAGATGCTCTGGAGCGTGATGATACAGACCTCAATCTCTGGAGACAGAGCGCTAGACTAAGCAGTACCCTGCAGAGTTATCGGCTGGTCCGATACTGCTTGGAGAGCGTTCTGGCTGATGATGAGAACCGTCTAGAGGTACGAGCAGAGCAACTCGGCTTGGAGGAAACATTTGCAGAGGATCGTCTCCGAGATGCATTGCAGTCAATCTATGATCGATTGTCTGTTTCTCAGGTTCCGCTCAAAAAACCAAAGAAAGCTTTGCTCAAATTCCTTAGACAGCAAACCGACCCTTATCCCTATCTTCCGGCTTTGCCTGAAAACCTGGAAAATGCCGATTCTACCAAGAACCCACTCGCTCTGCATACTGCTCCCCATGTGATAAAGGCGGCTGATCCAACATGGCTTGGTGTTGGTAAAGCGATTGTTCAGACTCTCGTTGATGAGGAAAAGAGTGCAGTTAACATTGCTCCTGGTGCTTCAATCAACCTTCTTTTGCCAGCTAGTAGTCCGGAATTAGCAGCGACTACGACAACGACTCAAGGAGACCATAAGCATGGAGAATCATCAAAGGCCCAGGATGATAAGAACCAATCCCTAGAACAAAAAGACGGCAATGTTCCAGAAGAGGAAAAACCAAGCTCAGCGGCCCATCCACCCCACGTCACGATAAATTCTCAGGAGCTCGACTCAACTATAATCCCAGATGATCAGTCATCTATAGATCGAGGGGCAGAAAAACAACTCATGGAATCCTTGGAGGTTCAATCGGCACAGCTGCCTGAAGCTGTCAACGAGCACGAAACCGCGAATGGTGACGATCTAGACTCAAAGTCATCGCTGGTTGGCTGCCGAAAACGGTCCTCTGCATCAGCTGCAAATGATGAAAATACAGAGGGGATGAGAGCCAAGAGCAGAAGGACTCGCGCTCGAGATTCAAATGTGGAAAATTTAGTGCAGACCGATGAGATCGCCTTCGACCAAACGAAGTACTACGAAGATCGACTTGAGGTATACGTTAATGCGGACGAATGGTTATTTGGCACAGTAGGATCTTTGCTATCCAAGGTTGGAGTTCAAGAATTGGGGACAATTGATGAGTTGAAAACAACTTATCCTATCAAAGATAGGAAAAACTCCACAGAGTCAACTGCAAGCTCTTCTACAAGCACTGAGGCCGTGCTATTTCAAGATCTTAGGAACGCTGTCAGTAGTTGGGATGAAGGAAAGGCCCAGGCTATGCTGCAAGGTGACAATTTCTCGACACTCCAAGACCTTCGGGGTATGAGCAAATCTGGGTTAGCTATTTTCCTAGAGCACTCAAAAAAATCAACTCGGAAACTGGGCATCGACAAAACCCTTTCCGGGGGCGAGGAATTGTTCATGCTTCAGAAATCTGTCAATGATGGATGGTTCCACATGCATGAAGTGGTTTTTGCCTGGCTTAGGGGTCTCCTGATGTCAGAGTATGGAAAGCATTTCATGGATGGTGTTGCGCTTGACGAAACCAGCTGGCCTGTCACGAAGTCGACATATGTCACATTGCAATGGCCAGATGCATTGAAAGAGACAGTAGTACAGGTTCTGCTGCGGGAAGACGAACATATCTATAATCAGATGTGTGAACAAGTCACAAGTCTTGAACGTCGGGTGCTTTCCCATGATCCTGATAGTTCATTTGAATACACACTGTGTGATTATTCGGGCTTAGAGATGATACAAGCGATCTTTGAACTTCACCTTGATGTATACGCCCTTATCAACAACCCCAACAGCGAGATTGACCGAGCGACAAGAGTTTTGCAGTGGGATCGTCTAGAGAGATGGAGTATGCTAGCACGAACGTCGTTGAACCATTTTATAGATCATGGCCCTGCAGCAGGGTGTCAAAACAACCTTGCCCTCCGGCATCTATGGGCATCTACTTTCCACTCGAATATGGCTGCAGATGTCCAGCGAGAACACATACTGCTTTGTCTTCAAGATCTCAAACACGTTCTCAGCCGCCTCGACAATCCAGCAGTGACCTTAATAAACAATGCCATCATGCCTGAATTGTCAGCTGGGGCTATTGACCAAGAGATCTCGAAATTGAAATCAATGGATTTCTTTTTGAAAATCTTCAGTCCCGAATCCAAAGACCCTGTGGATCTCATTGAAACAATCGAGCCAATTCTTGAGCCTTCGTCTGTTGAATATATCGAAGAACCATCGACTGAGCATGCTTCCACTCGTTCAGAATCCCAAGTTCACGAAATGGGTTCCTTCTTGGATCAGGGAGACGCTACGTTGCGTCTCTTCTTGTGGCGAAGACTTTTGGATGCATACAAGGCAATTGACTATCAACCCAAAGTCGTCTCTTGCTATCTCCGAATTATAGAAGCTATAGTAAAAGAACTCTGGAGTGCGTCTCATCTCGAAGAAACGGCTGAACATCGCCAAGCCGCAATGCTCCGGTGGCTGAAGTCGGTGGATGGTATTTTGAGCAAAGTCGTGCCACTTGTTCTAAGCGAATCTGACAAGGCATACGATTGTTTTGACCTAGATCATTTGAAGTCCTCGATGTCTGCAGTTGCTCTATTATCAAAGCTTCTTCATAGTTTTGCGCTGTTTGAGGACTCCATTCGTGTTGGTCAAATCCCTGGTCCTGAGCTCCGTATCCTGATGGCAAGATCGCTAGAATCATTCAAAGAAAAATTGCGCGATGCGCAGGTCCGCTGCTGGATTTTGCAGTTTACTCTTTTCAGAGAAGCCATCTCGCAGAACAGGGAACTTTTTGATACTCCACTTGAAGACCGCATCCAATATCTACGCTCTGTGCATAATGCTTTGGGTGTTCGATCAATGTGCAGACGATCTCAGAGGCAGTTTCTCAAGCTTATGAAGTCTGAATTGCTTGATCTGGAAGACAAAGAAGACTACGAGCCGGATATCTGCCAAGTTCTATATGACCTTCATGGTATCAAACTGGCTCCTGCTGGTGGCCTAGCTGAGCATGGCACCTGGGCGGAGAAATTAGATCGTCCTACAGCCGTCATGATGATCGATTTAATCATGTGTCAGGCGAAGAAATTAAGCATCAAAGACCTATCGAAATCGGAGTTGAAATCCACGGTTGATAGGATGCAACATGCGATCGGCACGACAAAATCATCTCCTCCACTTTCTTTCAACAAGCGCATCATATCGACTTATTTGAAGTCGCCAATAAACCCGTCAAATCTTGTTCGTGCTGTTCGAGGAGTGGAAGACCTTCCACTGATACCTTTGCCCACCGAAAATGCTGAAATTGCCCAGAAAGGGTGGTATTTCCTGCTTGGCCATGCTTCTTTGACAAAGTTCCGTTCTCAAAAGCGTCTTAACCCTCTTCCAACCACTGATCTTGATGAAGCCATCACTTACTTCCGGCAGGATCTGGAGCATGGAACAGGAAGATGGGAGTCTTGGTATCGGCTCGCACAGACCTATGACTCGAAGCTGGAGGAAGACATCACATGGAATGCAGACAAAATCAACAACAATCGCACAGAGCTGGTTGTATGGCAACGAAATGCAATCCACTGCTACGCCATGGCTGTCTCAACAGCAATCAGAACTGCAGAGCCAACACTCGAAACCAGGGAGCTTATGTCTGATCTCTACACCGATTTCGGAAACCGTCTATACACGTCTTCACGAGAGCCGTTTTCTATGGGAGCGTTCAGTCTTGTCGACTTTGCTCGTCATTACAGCAACGAGGAGAGCCAGGAGATGTACAAGGGGCAGCCCTTCAGGGAAATGAAACTGTATTCTGTCTGGAGCTTCGCGAGCCATCTCCTTAAGCGGGCAATCGTTGACAAACCCAAGAATTGGATGTAAGTATGCTTACTCTGGTAAAATAACATGGAAGCTAACTGCATTTAAGGAACCATTACATGCTGTGCAAATGCCTTTGGAAGATGTTCAGCTGTGATGAGAGCGTGAGAGGAAGCGCGAAGCGTATTAGTATTGATGATGTCCTGGATGCTCTGCTTGATTCCATCGACACGCTTCCTCAGCGCAAAGATTCGCGTTCGGATCCTATCTTCGAACCTCACTACAAGCTTGTATCGATTATCCACAAGCTTGTCCACCGGGATACGCTAACGGTAAGTTAGTTCCTTGATTCTATCAACATCAAAGTGCGCTTTGCTGATCTCCTAGCAGCCCGCTGAAGGGAGCAAGACTCTCCTGGCAACACCTTGGGCTCGAAAAGTCCAGCCTCCTGAGGACAAGGCTGGATGGCAGTCTTATATACTTGAGGTTCTTCGCAAGCTGAAGAATGGCGACAAATCCAACTGGCACCATCGCATGGCTTCTAGGGTAAGCACACATATTTTTAACTTTGTTAATCTCATTTGGCTTACGGTTGTGGCAGGCTGCCCATATCATCTACGATGACAAAAAGGATGCGTCGGTTGCCGCAACGGCCAAGAATGAGCTTACGCAGCAGATATTCACGAAGACCATGACTATTCAAGTCTGGAAACCTGAATATGAGCGTCCTGGTAGGCACTTCGTGTACACTACACGATATGTTTACTTCTTCGTTGGTCTGCTTGATCAACTTGATGACCGTGCAAACCTTGATCAGCTGCTACGGCGAGTGAGAAAGAAGCAGGGCGACTTCATCAATCACACCAAACTCTGGGAGGATATATGTCTCACCTACGCAAAGGTCATCAGGAGAGCCGGCAGCATCACCGAAGGACATGAAGAAAGTGTGTTCCGACCACTCGGCTGGGAAGAATTCGTTGCAAACACAGCTCGTCTCGAAAACCTGCCCGAGCTAGCTCCGCAAAGCTCGACTCTTCTAGAACTCCTACGCGAAGCCGTCGAGCTTAAAAAGCTAAACAACAATCTCATGAAAGTTGCCCTCCTCGAAGACCTCATCGCCGACCTCTATTCCCGGCTCTACGAGATCAACGCACCCCAACTGATGGAGGTAGCCAATGAAGAAAACAAGGAAAAGATGAAAGTCGACCATCTCCTCATGGCCAACGACGGAGCCGCCGACACCGCCATCACACCCCCAACCTCCGCGCCCCCGTCGGAAGCACCTGCTCCTCGCGGCCGCACAAAGGGCATCGCCCGAAGGGACATCCAAAAACGCGCCGAAACAATCGTCACCCGAAAACTCACTGTACGCGCGCTGACAACAAAGACAACAGCCCCCGCAGACGGCGAACCATCGCAACCATCCACTACGGCCGTAACATCCGCGCCCCACCCCGCTAAGGAAAACCTTCTCCGGGGAGGAGTCGAAGATCCAACCTCGGGCCAGCAGAGTGATATCCCGAATAGCCTTCACGACAGTGCCGATGATGAGAGCGAGCTGAGTGAAATCGATGATGAGAAGCTGTCCAAACTCGCTGCTGAACGGAAGGCATTGATGTTTCCTAATCTAAACGGGAGTCCGGGATCAGGAATGTCTGCCGCGGCTAGCGCTGATGGGGAAGGAGGGGATGAAGCTGAAGGGGAAGGGCAGGGTGATGAAGACAGAGAAGGGGAAATTGATGTTGGTGAAGGAGAGGGCGAAACTGTGATGGAAGACGAAGGCGAAGAAGGCGAAGGGGAGGAAGGGGACATGGAAGTGGAAGAAGGAGATGAAATTGATGATGAGGGTGAACACGAAGGACATGGAGAAGAGGGCGACGAGGAAGGAGAGGGTGAGGTGGAAATGGAGGATTTCAAAGAAGGCGAAGAAACCGAGCAGCCGGAGGCCAATGGAACTGCACAGGAAAGTGAAATTGTCGGTGATCCCGATCCAATGGAAACTTAGCCAGCAGCTGTTGGAATGTTGTTTTGACTGTACTATATCCTGGGATGGTTCTTTGCAGGCGTTGGGAATTGGCACTCAGACTGGATTACATGTGAGATGCAAGATATTTTTAGAAGATACATGTACATGGATAATAACATGGAATCCAATAATTATGATAGTAATAATGTTCACAAATGAAGAAATCTTTCAAAACGCCTGGTTCGCTGTCCCCCCAGTAAATATCAGTACATAGAATGAAAAAAGACCCATAAAAAAAAGGTATCCTGTACAGGTTAAAAGTACAAAATCATGAAAGTCATGAAAGCTCCTTCCGAAGACTGTTTATATCTCATCTTCAGGGGCCAGATCCCATTTTCGGGTTGCCATCTTCCTCTGCTTCTTGCCAGGGGAGCTGCTTGGTGTGGTCGCGAACATGCTATCGGCCAGTTTTATTCCATCCATACGGCGAAGGGCATTCTCCACATCACTTTCACGGCCAAGGAGATTGGAGTTGTGAGATGGCTCGAGAACGTTCTTGGACTTGGACTTTTTAGTGGGAGATCGGCATTGCAATTCACGCTCAAGGGCAGCAATTTTGCTGCGAAGTTGGTCATTCTCAAATTCAAGTTCTTCAACTCGGTCATCTGGGGATAGCTCTGGGTCTTCACAAACTTGGGAGAAATCGTAGTTAGCCATTATCCTAGTTAGGCTACTGGGTTATTGGATACACTCACTTTGAAAGCCTCGGGAAAGTACTTCGATCTTCTTATCAAGGTGTTCATCATTGCGACCAGTCTGGGGGCATGTTAGCGGTAGTTCAAGAGCAGACACCTGCAGAGTTACTCACTTGTTCATCCCATGCCCTCTGCCATCTCTTCCTCTCTTCTTCCATTCTTTCATCCATCTCTGCCCAGCATTCTTCTCGCACCTCTTGCTCGATCATGAGGCAATTCTCTTCACTTGCCTTCAGTTTGATCTCGAGCTCTCCTCGTAAGATTTCTTCTTCGGCGAGTTTGACGGATAGACTTTCATTTTCGTTTGACAGGCGTGTGATTTCAGCGGCAGCATTTTCGAGCTCTTCGTTCAAGGCCAGATCTGCTGAGTGGCGTCCACTGTTGCGGTCCCTGCAAGATCCCAAGGAGCCAGACAAAATTGATTCGGCTGTAGAAGGGACGCGAGGAACAGTGACTTCTCGGGCCAGGGCAGAGTAGCGCAAGATCTGCGATGTAGCGTTGTAGTCTCCCAGAGGGTCTGCTGTGACGATCATGATAGCTTTTTGAGGATGGCGGTTGTGAGAAGTCGAGTTCGCTGGTGGATAGGAGTTAGAGAACAAGAGTTCTGTAAGCTTGCATTGCCTGAATGGAACAAGAGCGCTCTTGTTTCCATCTTGGATGTTGCTTTGCATCTGCAGGCATTGTCCCAAATACATCAGACTTTCGTTAATTTTACCAGCTTCTGCCAGAGTCGAGCCGGCTGTCTTTGCGGTTCTGGCTCGCTCAGAGCCCGCAAGATCTGCGACAGTGAGAGTGTTTCCGATCCAGGTCACTTCGCCATTCTTCTTGTTCCGCATCCTTCTCTTGACCTCAAGGCAAAAGAAGCCGTGACTTCGGGAGCTGACACTGTTTGCGCCAGTTCCGGTCACTTTGCGTTCGGTAAGTCCTACATCAAGGATTGCCAGCGCTTCCTCATAAGTACTGCAGGCAATCTTCCGCAGCCCTGCAACTACCTTTCTGTCGGGGGAACCTTCGGTAGGCTTGAACATAAGGGGTCTTCGTCGATCTTTTTGGCCGTTTGCAGGTTGACGGGACGCGGTACTTCCTTGACCAGGCTGGACAGCGGGTGACAAAAGATCGAAAATACGGTCATTGTAGACTTCGTACATGGACACAAGTACTACATACTCGGAGTGCGGGCTCAATTCGAGGGTCAGATGACTGACATCGGGCAATCGGGGCAACACGCTGGGCCGCTGGGGCATATGACGACGAGGGAAGATCAAGGCGGGGGTCGGTTCCTTTAAAAATAAAAGTCGAGGTTTAGCATATCTTGATCCCAGTGTGTTGGGATGGGAGTGAGAAAGAGGTGCAAAGGGACTAGTAGTCTTTGTACTCAGACGAGGGATTCGATCTGGAGTCTTGGGGGATTTCATATGTTGCCTCATGGGGGGCACCGACCCCATGCTGATAGGGACACAGCGACTGGGTGTATACGGGCGCGCATATGGAGTTTCTTGCAACGGGTTTGGGGGGAAAGGGCTCCATACCGTCATGGGAGTATTGGCTCTGGAGGAGCTCATGGGGGTTTGGGCTCTGGAGTTCCTGCCGGCATTCGGTTCACCATAGACAGCTTCTAGGAAGGTCTGTGCTGTGAACAATTGTGCTTCAGAGGTGTCCGCGGCTGACAGGGAAGACAACAGAAGAGGGTTGATCGAATTGTCGGGGGGCTTGATGGTGGGTTCCAAGGACTTGAAGATAACGTCGAGGCCCATCTGGGTCAGGCCTCGCTGCGACTTGGATCCTAGAATGGTGTGACTCTGTATCCGACAGATATTAGCCTTCTGTCCCTGTCTTGCTCCTATCCAAACTGTTCACCTTTCCACTCCCCGTCACGCCCAGTGTAGCGACTAGTCCATCTCTACTTTCCAACAAGACACCCCTGACCAACGATTCCATGCCCGTATCTTGGAAGACATCGAGCTGAGAGCATGCCTCCTCAAACACCTTGGTAAACCCGAATTTCTCAACGGCACGTTTTCTGGCATCGCTTGGAGGTTGCAAGATTATATGGGTGGGCACCGCGACGGGAAGCTGTTCAACATTCTCACCCACGGGTTCCACGGGCTCAGGAGGCTCGACGGCTAGACAACGTTCCGCTTGTGCATCTTGGTGCTGGGTCATCGGCGGACGGAGGCGGAGAAAGACCTGGAACAGGGATGCCTGGGCCTGGGGGGATTTCGAAGCCGGATTCATGATGGCGGCGACAGCGTGGTCTCCATGCAGCAGCGAATAACGACGCAGGGGAAAGTGGGCTGATGAAGATTAATGATGCAACGGAAGGTTTCTGTCGAGGAACAACGCACCGTTGGAGACCAAAACGTGATGGAGGTTGCCGTTTCTGTTGCCCTTGCCTAATCGGGCCATCGTGTTGCCGGGGTGATTCCTAATCGGGTAATGATGGCCTACCTAATATCTACAAGTAATTTTAATTATGGAGTAGTTGAGTTAATTGAATTATCTTTTTATTCTCTGTTAATTATCTGGATTGTCTGTTAAATAGCATTGTCTGTTTAATTGGATTGTTGACTAGAATGCAAAGAATGCTCGTATTCGCTATGAATGGCAGTGCTGTACTCTCAATACGAGCTGCGCCTTGGAGATTACCACTGCAGATCAAAGGTTATTCGATCGAATATTCTATGGAATATTCCTACTCTAAGCAATCCATGGAACCATCTTACTATCCCAATTAGGATGCTCGTTTTCGCTACAGTCTGACATCTACAACAATCATGGTGTTGAGGCTATATAAACGGCTCAATCCAAGATGGATTCAAATCATCTACCTTGTCTATCAAACTGACTATCGATAATTCTATTAACTTACATTTAGTCGATATCTATTCATCATGCTGGAAGCAAGATCACCATACCGTGAGCTATCTATACAACCCTATATCATTCAGTCCGACTAACGTCAACAGAACCAGACAGTCTCTGGTATTATGCGCCAAATAAAGGCGCCCCCATTGCCTTTGCAATTCTCTTTGCCACATCTGGTTTCATGCACTTTTATCAATGCCAGTAAGTTGGACCATCGCATATTCCGATTCTCTTCATCTAACCTCACCAGCAAATACAAATCATGGAAAGTGACTGGCCTTTTGCCATGGTCTGCTCTTCTCTTCACGGCTGGATTTGTGATGCGCACCATTGGGGCTTTTGGACAATGGGGCAACTTGGCTGTTTATATCTCGAGCACTGTTCTCCTGCTAGCTGGACCGTATGTTACTCCCTATTCCATAAAGAATACTGTTGTCTAACATCTTCAGTCCCGTCTATGAAGGTGCCAACTTCTTCACTCTCGGTCGTATCCTCTACTACATCCCCTATCACTCGCCCATCCATCCAGGACGAGTATTCACAACCTTCATCGCCCTAGGCGTCGTCATCGAAGTCATCACTGCCAACGGGGCTGCGCTGGTAGCCAACACAAGCAACCCACAGAGCAGCCAAGACACAGGCAAAGCGCTGCTAAAAGCTGCCCTGATCCTGCAGATTGCGCTGATGGTGGGATTTGTCGCATTGGCATCCAAGTTCTACTACAACTGCTCTCGAGGAGGTGTGCTGAACCACAAGGTCAAACGGGCTTTGTATGTGCTCTACTGCAGCTGCACTCTCATCACCATTCGCACAATCTATCGGACGGTGGAGTACTTTACCGCGGCCAGTCTGAATGCCAGCAATGTCAAAGACATCAGTCCTATTCTGAAAGACGAATGGTTCTTTTGGGTCTTTGAGACGGCTGTCATGTTCAGCAATACTGTCCTGCTCAATGTGCTCCATCCCATGCAGTGTCTTCCTCGCTCCAACAAGATCTATCTTGCGACAGATGGCGTGACGGAAATTGAGGGACCTGGCTATGAGGACAAGCGGCCTTTCATCCTGACTCTCTTTGACCCTTTTGATTTGACAGGTCTTATTTTTGGGCGAGAAAAGCAGCGGAAGTTTTGGGAGGATGATGCTCATAATGCGGCATCTACAGCTGCATTGTAGAAATATATAGAGCGAAATTCCCAATTCTTGCAATCCCCCATAAAGCAATGTATAAATAGCCAACAATAACATCATAGATAATAGACCAAGCAATAATTAAAAATGTTCGACAGTATGTAATAATTGCTGCTGTTTGTCTGACACTATTAATGTTCCGCCGCTTTTCTGCCGAATAAACACAGTCCAGCAAGGCCACCTCTCCGCATCTCCAACTCCCCAACACCTCCTCAGCTCAGCAGCTGATCGCGACTGAAGGCATTTTCTCGATTGCAGGCATCTGTAAACCAGCGAGATTTTATCTACATTTCAACTGCCCTCAAACTACCACCGTCCTTACGGAATACCTCCGCAAAACATCCGACCCTCACCAGTCCCCCGAATTGAACACCAACCAACAGCCAACATGCTGTCGTTCCTCTCGTCAAACCTGTCGAATACGCGACAATCGCTCGCTCAGGTCTTGAACTTTGCCCTCGTCCTCTCCACGGCGTTTATGCTCTGGAAGGGCCTCTCCGTGTTCACAGCCTCGTCGTCGCCCATTGTGGTTGTCCTGTCTGGGTCCATGGAGCCGGCCTTCCAGAGAGGGGATCTATTATTCTTGTGGAATCGCAGCCCAAGAGCTGAAGTGGGAGAAGTGGTGGTTTACAATGTTCAGGGCAAGGATATTCCCATTGTGCACCGCGTTGTGAGAACGTTCCCCGAGGTGCAAGGAAAGGGCTCTTCGAAGAAGGTCAAGGAGATTGCTGCGTATGTTCTATATTGCTTTTTTCATATCTAGACCGTTACTGATGGATATTAGGTCCGCTACACCCAACAACATGCTTCTCACTAAGGGAGACAACAACATCGCCGATGACACCGAGCTGTACGCGAGAAACCAGGACCATCTGAGTCGCCAGGATGATATTGTCGGTAGTGTGCGAGGATATATTCCTATGGTTGGATATGTGACCATCATGCTCAGCGAACACCCGTGGCTAAAGACAGTGCTACTCGGGATAATGGGGTTGATGGTGATTCTGCAAAGGGAATAATCAGTTGCAGTTAAAAAGTTTCCATTAAAAGTGGATTAATAATTGATATTTGCATTGCAGCGTAGTACTTCCTCTCGTATATAAATAGAACCGTCAAATAATAGACTGCATAAATGCTGATTCTAAGCACTGCTTCTCTTGCCTTGAATGGCTCAAGTCTGACGTCGCCAATTCGGGCCCCGCTACCGTTACGCCCCGCTGGAGAAGGCTGGACTCTGGGTCTTCATTCACCATCATTCATCAGTCAGTCTACTCAGCCTCAATCCAGACAGCTGCCTGGAGTATCTCTATTTATTCGCTTACATCCATCTTTTATCGCACGTCGAATTCCTTATTCCTTCTGCAACCGTCAATCCATTGCAACGGTCGTTTCTGAACTCTTCCCCGCACTTGCTTTCTTCTTCCAACAATCACATCACAATGGGTAGTCAGAAGCGCATAGCCAAGGTATGTAGTTGAGCATGCAGAAAGCTATATCGTCTAGTTGGGACTAACTGATTTCGCAGGAGCTGGCAGAGCTCATGGAAACCCCTCCGGCAGGCATCACCGTCGAGCTGGTGGATGAGTCAAACCTGTACGATTGGAAAGTCTACATGGAAGGGCCTGAAGGATCTCCATACCACGTATGTTAACAGATAACAATCGAAGATACTGCCGTGGGAAATGAAAAACTAACACCCTATAGCAAGGCATCTTCCTAGTCAAACTCAAGCTCCCCACCGAATACCCATTCAAACCACCCACCGTCTCTTTCGGAACAAAAATCTACCATCCTAATGTCACCAATGATGAGAAGGGGAGCATGTGTTTGGGCATGTTGAAGCCCGATGAGTGGAAGCCCAGTTCGCGGATCTCGGCCGTGTTGGAGTTTGCGCGACAGCTGTTGAAAGAGCCGATGCCGGATGATGCAGTTGAGGGGCGGATTGCAGAGCAGTACAAGAATGATAACGCGCGGTATGAAGAGATTGCGAGGGATTGGACACGGCGTTATGCGACGGGGGAGAAGGCATGATATGGTATGATAGGAGAATATCGGAGGATACAGCTGGAGACAGACTGGGAGACAGGTAGGAGATATGCAATATCATACGGAGTCAGTGAGATGGTGATATGCACAGGGTGACATCCCATCTATCCATCTATTATTACAGCCTTCCTGCATTATGCGGGATAGGACTATGCCATTCTATCGTGATTGTCATGACTTACCCGGGGTTCATGGGCCTGTATTAGCAACGTTTTAGATGTCATTAGATTAGAGAAACTACATTCTCACGTATACATTTATTCTTTAACACTGAATAAATACTTGAAAGTTCTTCTATATAACATTTCCATCATGCTTCTTCCCCGTGACCGCGGAGGCAATTCCGTCCGGCAATGCAAGGCCTTGAGTAGATCAACTACCGGTGAATACAATGTTCATATTATGAAGGCAAAATCCAGCATATCGGCTATATTTTTGCATATCATGGCTATTCATCTGAGATCCCAGCATGCCACATTGCATATAAATGCGTAACCTCCATGCATATACTACCTACATACTACATACTACATACATACTCACCCCACCTTATTTCCAACAAAAGAAAGACAACAAAACCCAAACCAGAACACCATGCCCATCCTCACAGAAACCCTCACCCTCATAGCCCACCACGTCCCCACCCTCATCGTGGCATGTATAATCCTCCACCTAACCCGCAACTACCTCACCCCAGGCACATCCTCCATCCCCGGTCCTCTGTGCGCCAAATTCTCAAATATCTGGCGCTTTCTCGATGTCGCCCGGGGAAGACACGATGTGACACTTTATAAGTTGCATGAACAGTATGGAGAGTATGTAAGGTTGGGGCCGAATGTGGTCAGTGTGTGGAATTTGGATGCTGTGAGGGTGATTTATGGGATTAAGAGTGGGTTTAGAAAGGTTTATATCTTTTTCTTTATATATATTTATCTATATGGCTATCCGATATGTCATTGCTTATATGCTGATGGGTGTGTAAGACAAACTTCTATAAAGTACAGCAACAACTTTCCAAAGGCAAACCAACACAGACGCTCTTCACAACCCTCGACGAGGACTTTCACGCAGCCATCAAACGGCCAGTTTCCTCTGCGTATTCCATGAGTACACTGACAGAGTTTGAACCCTTTGTCGATAACACGATCCAGTCTCTCTTCCGCAGACTAGATGAGTTTGCAGATGATGGGAAAGTGTGTGATATTGCGACGTGGTTGCAGTATTGTAAGTTTCCCTGCTGACTATTCTTCTGATAGATGCTTTAGCTAAAGTAGAAATGAAAGATGCATTTGATGTCATTGGGGAATTGACGTTTAGCAAACCCCTTGGATTCCTCGAACACGGTCGTGATGTTGAGGGGATTATCGCTGCATTGGAGAAGACGCTTGATTATGCGGGCAAGGTAGTATCATCACCATCAATCAGGAACCACTTCAACCAGTCCATGCTAACATGTAGTTGATAGATCGGCCAAATGCCATGGCTGGATTACATCTTCATCAAAAACCCCCTCAAACAACCCCTCCAAGGCGGTTCAACAACGGCCGTGGCTCGATTCGCTCGAGCTCGACTCAACGAACGACTCGAGAATAAAAATACCGATACCTCACCACAGCGACAGACAAAAGACTTCCTAGCCCGCTTCCTCGAAGCAAAAACCGAATACCCAGATATCGTCGATGACGCACAAGTCTTCTCCTATACAGTGAGTAACATAAACGCCGGCTCTGATACAACTGCCATCTCTCTACGCGCGATACTATACTACACACTTAAGAACCCACGCGTCCACACAACCCTACACAACGAACTCACCCACGCCCTGGAAACCGGCAAAATCACCACCCCTGTATCCTGGAAACAAAGCCAGGAAAGCCTCCCCTACCTCGACGCCGTCATCAAGGAATCATTCCGTCTCCACCCCGCCGTCGGACTCCCCCTCGAACGAATCGTCCCCCGCGAAGGGCTGACATTACCGAACGGGGTCTTTCTACAGCCGGGGACAATCGTCGGCGCGAACCCGTGGATTATGCACCGGCACCGCGTATTCGGGGACGACGTGGACGTGTTTCGGCCGGAGAGATGGCTCCGGGCGGACGGGGAGGGGGAGGGGGGGGGTTTCGATCGCGACGGCGCGAGATGGGGAGGGCAACGCTTACGTTTGGGGGTGGGGCGAGGACGTGTATTGGGAAGAATATTAGTTTGTTGGAGATTTACAAGTTGGTTCCGGCGTTGGTTTTGGATTATCATGTGAGTTTGCCTTGCTTGCCTTTTTGTGGATTGGCTTGGGTTGGATAGGTCATATTGGATTTATTTTCTGACGTGGAATGCAAATAGATCGAATTGGTGAATCCGGAGGCTGAGTGGGAGGTGGTTAATGCTTGGTTTGTTCGGCAGAAGAATATGGATGTCAGGTTGGTTCGGAGGGGAAGTATTCATTCATGAATGCTGCTTTTTGTTTATATATACTATCTTTTGATATTCTGGGTATAATGTGGTATTAAATACAATTTCCTACTCCTTAACCGCCATCGGAAGTAAAGTATCATGATCAACCTTTGGTGATCTAGGAACATACCCCCGTCCCCAGGTCCGAGCAAACCTCTCGAACGAATCCGAAGCCGCTCCTAATCGGGGTTCAACTTTGACTGTCCATAGCCTAGAGACTGCCAAGACGAATGTAAAGAAGACGGGTAGGAACAGACATAAACGCACGAAGCTCGGGTCGGGGATAAGTGAACCGGGATCGGGGGAACCGTCCTCGCGCAGGGCTGGGGTAAAGGTGAAAATGGCGGGGATGTAAAGCATGTAAGTCATAACGGAGCGCATTAGTGGGCCATGCAGGAGATACAACGAGTAGCTGATGCTTCCCAGCCAGAGAAAGGAGGGATGGGAAAAGAATCGACGGAAAGAGGGCGAGAGGAATACTGCCAGGCAGACCATCTGGCCACCCCATGCGGCGAAGTAGCGGCCCATACTGGCATTAGAAGGAATGATGGCGCCACCGATATGTGCCAGTTGCGCAGACCATGGAGTTTGGTCGTAGAATTGGTCTGGGAATGAGCAGAGGTACAACCCCAGAATGAGGAGACAGGAAGGTAGAATCGAGGGAAGTCGAGAGGTCTGGGGGAATTTGTAAATTGGATGAAATGAGAATTCGGCCATGATCATCCCAGCGAAGACGTTCAATCCAACGATACCTGGGTAAATTAGCTTTGCTTTGGACGGGTATGAAACAGTACATACCATCTCCAATGGCCCAACTCCACATGTAGAGGACCAGCTCGGTGAAGAGTCGGAACCGCGGGGTGGCATTAACGGTTGCCAGCAAGGTCATAAAGACGTATAACGAGCCCTTGAAGAGATAAACGAGCGCCCACTGAGGCTGGTCATATGCATTATCGCCATAGATCCAGGTGGAGAAAAGCTGACGGAGAAGATCCGCTACAGCTGCTCCCCACGACCGACTAGGCCGAGGACTCGTGGTTTGCAACCAAAAGGCATCAACCTTCAACGCTACCTGAAACGCCCCCAATTGGCAAAAGAACCAAACGATGACGGTGACGAGAGCCGCAGGGAAAACTAGTCGTCCGGTACGACGGAATGCACTGGTGGCCAAGGAGGCCAGAGCATCATGCACGGCACCGGTGCGAGCGAGCTGAACGGCTTTGAGCGAGTTGACGAAGCCGAGGAGAATAAAGAATATCGCCACAAAGCTTTGACCCTGGCCCACGAGGCGCAGGAACGGACGTTGAAAGAGGGCAATATGACCGGTTTCACTGAACGACGGAGGAACGACGTATCTGGCGAAACACAGAGTGGTATGACTGGCTACAACAAAGACGGCGGCGATACCTCGGAGGCCCTGAACAGTCAGTTACACATGTAGGATGAAGGATAAAATATAAATTAACTCACATCAGCCCAGTTGCTGGTACGAACACGACTGGGAGATGGTTTGAACGAGGCATCGAGAGAAGTGGCCAAAGTCATGCTGCAAAGCGCATTGATTGTTTCATGACCAGGAGACGAATCACCGGATTATTGAATCACAAAAATGAAAGTCGGATGGAATTGAAATGCACAACGGACGAATTGTACTTTTTGGGACGCAGTGAAGAATAGAAACAAAAGCAGAGAAAGCTCCTGCAGACTGGATCGAAAGAAAAATCATCTAGTACGACGCCAGACGAGGCAAGCGTACGTCAACGCAGAGCGATTCCCCGCCAAAGGAGAAAGCTTCATCATCGAATCTCGGTGCAGTCGTTTAACTGGCAAGAAAAAGAGTAGATCACGAAGCTATTCTTAGTACTAGTCTGGTAAATAGTCGTGGTTTTGCCTCCTAAGCCTGGGACGGTGGAGCGGCGCGAACTAGGGGACGATGAAACCGAAAGCTCTCCACTTTCTATTGCTGAAGAACGGATTCAACGGATTCAGCGGAGTGAACGGAGGCACTTCGGAAGAGAAAGGAAGAAAAAAAAATACCAGGATGGAGGGAGTCAGATGGAGTCATCCCTGAAACGAGGATATAAGGGTCTGAACGTCGTGGAGAAAACGGATAGATTAATATCACATATTAATGACTATCCATCCAGCGTTCTTCTGACAGGTTCGAAACAACGGATCCAGGGTTTAAGGGTCGATAAAACGCATCGGAACGGATCGATCCCCGAAGACGATATGAAAGTAAAAGGAACCAAAATGCAAATAATATTGACGAGTGACTGCAGCTGGACTATTGATATGTAGTGATGCATCACACGAGCGAGAAAAAAAGGAGAGCTGCATTTCGGGATACAAAATGCAGCCTGCATCACAGCTGCATCAATCACATTGTTTGATCTTAGAATCTCTTCTATTCTTTCTTCTACTCGTATTCTGTAACTCGTATATTCTTCATATTCATATTCATATTCATATTCAAATTGACATTCAAAATTGATATCCAACCGGTTTATTTGATTTGATATTTCCACCTCGTATTCAGGAACCGTATCATTACCATACCGCTAAGCCCAATACGGCCCCCTCATTTCCTCTCCTCCTCAACTTCTTCTCGTCCGCTTCTTCTCTTCCTTTTCTTTTTCTTCTCTTTCTCTCCCTTTTTTCTTCTTCCCTCCCCCCCCAATCTTTCCATCTTATCCTTCCCTCTCTTGGGGTCGAGTCTTCAATTGACCCTCTGGTAGGATCGTGGGACTCGTCGGATGGACTGAACCACCGCGTGTGTTCGGGGTCTCATTCGTTCGTTTTTCTTCCCCGTCTTCAAATCAAAACCCTCAAGTCGGGGTTCACTTTCTCTTATCTTTTTTATCGTTTTATCTTTCTTCTTTATCAAACCTTTTTCATCACTTCGTAAAGGAGTCCTATCTTTTATCACCTATCAATATCCTCTTTGTTCTCTTGTGTCTCCGGCAGTCGATTCGTTCCGCTTCGTCTTACGATTCTTCATAAAGCAACAAATGTCCAGCGGGAACTGGGTGTTATCTCGTGGCCATGGTCACAGAAAATGGAGAATTTCGATATCCGCCTCCTCTAGGCGAACATGATATCCCTACTCGTCGCAGAATCCCCAATCCTCCTCGTCTCGATCCCCTGAGAATCCACCCGCCCGGTGCTCCTCCGCGTTTGCCGCCGCCTTCTACTCGCTCTCGCTCTCCCCGACCTAACTATTCCTACTCGCCCCCGGATGATCATATCTTGCCTCCAGTGTCTCCCCAGTTCGGTTCTGGTTATGATACCCCTCCGACTAGACCAATTTACCGTGATCCCGCTTACTCGGATCCATCCTACGAGCTTAATTCGGGATGGCGACACAAAGACAGTGACTACGACCGTCAGTCCCATCGAAAGGCCCCTCGCGGCCGACCGGGTTTGCGGATCTCCATGTCTACCTCCAGATTGAATCACAGGCGGCCCAAGCTTCAGAATCCTTATGACCGTCGCCCACATGATATGGGCACACATGGTTTAGCCTTGCCGCGCTTCACTCCTGGTGGGTCCGAGTATGGTGATGAGGCGCTTCGCTCCAGCGTCAACTCGGCTATGACCTCACAGTCCAGCATTGAGCACGCCAGTGGAACGGAACGCAGTAGTGTCTTGACAAAAAGCAGCTCAATCACCGATCTGTCTCCCGACACCCCTGATGGACCCGAAAAGGATGGGGGAATGAGTGTCGAGGATGCCATCTCTATGTATCTGGATGGATTCAGCGATGTGACTGAAGAGCCAGCCTCCCCCGACCTCTATGAAGAGAACAAACAACGACCGGTCAGTCCTCGGCCTGCAACGGCTGTAACGGATTTCTCAATCGACCACGGCCACACCTCGGAGGAGCATTCCCCTGATTTCAACCCATCGTATGATAATCCACCGGTGCCATCGCTTCCCGATCTCGATGAATCGGAAGATCAGGCACTGCCAGAGCTGGATCACTCGATGCTGGAACCAACCTTACCGGCCCTCACGGGGTCTCAAACGACACCAGAACAACAGCCAGTCGAACACACGCCAGTGGACGAGACCCGGCCAGAGTTACCTCCACCACAGCTGACTCCGCCACAACAGAAGGTAGAGCCAAAGCTACCGGAGCCGAAATCACCATCCTCGGGTATTGACAAGCAAGAGTCCAAGGTCATTCTGCCTGGCCTCGTGCCGCCTCCATTGATGAAACCAACGAGTACGCGGGACTGCTATGGATTTCGGAAAGCCACCACTTATGTAACCGTGGAGCAGTACGAGGCCTGGAATGGCCCCTACTCCCACTTCGCAGCCAACCGAAGTGCGAAATGGGCCGAGCTGCTCAAGGAGCATGGGCTGGCGACGGCCGAGCCAACCGCATTCCCTCCCAAGTCGTCCAAGATCAAGCGCTTTGTGCGGAAGGGCATTCCGTCCGAGTACCGAGGGGCAGCGTGGTTTTTCTATGCGGGGGGCTACGAGCTCTTGAATCGAAACCTCGGCCTTTATGACCAACTTGTCCAGCGGGCCATGGTGTCTCCGACCAACGATGACAAGGAGCACATCGAGCGGGATTTACATCGGACCTTTCCCGATAATATCCACTTTAAGCCCGAAGCCTCCGACCCAGGTTCTAGCTCTGGTAGCAGCAACCTGCGGCATGGGTCAGCTGTCGTCGAGACACAAATGATCCAATCTCTCCGGCGTGTCCTGTACGCGTTTGCCCTCCACAACCCTAAGGTCGGGTATACGCAGTCGCTCAACTTCATCACGGGCATGTTACTCTTGTTTCTCCCTGAAGAGAAGGCGTTCTGGATGTTGCACATTGTCACCTCCTCCTACCTGCCTGGTACTCATGAGATTAGTCTCGAAGGAGCCAATATTGATCTCTGGATTCTCATGGTCTTACTAAGAGAATCATTGCCGAACATCTACAACAAGATTGGCAGTGCAGGACCCACTGGTGGTCGAGCCAAAGTCCCGGCTTTGACTGTTCACTCCCGGCTTCCGGACATCACCCTAGGACTGACCAATTGGCTTATGTCAGTTTTCATCGGGACTCTGCCCCTGGAAACAACGCTGCGGGTCTGGGATGTTTTCTTCTACGAAGGTTCCAAGTCATTTTTTCGTGTTTCGTTGGCCATTTTCAAGGCATGTGAGCGCGATATTCTCCGCGTCTCCGATCCCATGGAGGTTTTCCAGGTCGTCCAGACAGTTCCCAAGCGGTTGCTGGATGCCAACTCGTTGCTTGACGACTGCTTTGTGCGGCGACATCGAGTTGGGCAGGGCCGGATCGAGGAACTCCGTGCGTCTCGCCGGGCGGCAGTTCGGCAGGATAAAATGCGCCGATCATTGGCAGTTAGTCAAGGTACGCTTCAAGCAGCGACTGATGAGTGGCCGACCAGGGCGCGAACTCCCACTCCAGGAACTATCGCGGATTCCTGGCGACAGATGAAGCATCATGCTTTCGGATGAGGCGGTTTCTCAAACGACAAAAATAGCATTCATACAGCAAAAAAGTGGCATTTCTAGCGTCTGCATTTTTATCTTGCCTCGTTTTGCATACGCCATATCATTAATGACCTCGGTCGGGTTTGAAGAGGAGAACCTGATTTCCACAGGAGGCCCGCTGGCAAGCAAATAATACCCCTGGCCAGTTCGATTATCATCGAAGTTGACAACTGTCTAATGTCTATAATCCTAATATTCCCTGGTCGACTGGGCTCTCTTTTTATTTGGCGACGGACAATTAAGTTTTTGTTCTCTTCACGGCTCACCTATGCATCGGATACCCCTGGGACTTGGATTGGAATCGCACAAACTGCTGCGTCGCAGTGTAGATATTTGGGTGTTTTTTTTTTTTTTGATAACGAACTTCAACTGCCTGTACATACATATATGTATTCATTTTCTTCATGGATCATGAAGAAGATACAAGACATCAACATGAACACGAGATGAAATTTTTTTTTTTTTTCGGAAGTAAGAAACTGAGACAAATTGTGATGCCAATGCAAACTATTGAATGCCGATGCTGGGCGAAGATCTCCAACAGGGCTGATCGGGGCGATCGTCGATCTGCTTGCTTTGGAACTGGTTATTATTGGCCTTATCAGCTCTCAATGACGCCCACTCGAACCATCGGGCCATTGAAATTGGAATCATCGTGTCATGGATCAGTGGTTTTCTTCCCATCTTGGGAAAAGGCTGGGTGAAGCAATCAGGGAAAGTTGGTTTTGACTCCATCGTGCCTCCTAGGGCTCAGGACCTGAACGCTGCATGCGGAAGTTTGCACGGAGGTGTCCCCCCCCCTCGCGTTATCTTTTGGCACCAATTGCCCCTCGTTCGGATTGTCCGTTTCTTTTTTCTTCGTGTCTCTATCCCATCTATCGTTTGTTTCGATCGTTATGCAACGATGAGTGGACAGGCAGCTAGTTATTATAACCCTACCCAGGGATTTGGCGACGCCCAGCAGGGTCAACCTGGGGGACAACCGGTCTACGAGAATCAAAACAACCAGTACAATAACAATTACAACTACCAAGGAGGTGCTGAGCCCAAGGGCCCTCCCCCCAACTACAACCAGGCCGTTTATGGATTTGATGAGGCGTTCAAGATCGAGAAGCCTAAATTCAACGATATCTGGGCTGGTCTTCTGGTAAGTGTTCCCGCGACTGATGATGCCATTCAATGTGCATGCCTCACCAAGATGGATTGATTGGCAGTTAATTGCGGTTTTTCTTGGATATGTCGCAGTGTCGGGTGTAACCATTCACAAGTACGCCAAATACAAAGGGTTCAACGGTGGTGGCATCTACGATTCGGCCAACGATTTCTCCCTTGACACCAATACCCTCGTTCTGTTCGTGTTTGTCCTCTGCGTCGCGCTCGCTTTTTCGTACGCGTATTTTCTCGGAGCGCGATACTTTACCAAATTTTTCATCTGGGCCACGGGTATTCTGAATATCGTATTCGCATTGGGAACCGGCATCTACTACATCATCAGAAAGCAATATGGAGGTGGAATCGTGTTTCTCATCTTCGGGGTATTCGCAATCGTGTGTTTTATCAGCTGGATTCCTCGCATTCCGTTCAGTGCTTTTATGTTGCAGACGGCTATAGACGTTTCTCGGAATTATGGACACATGTTCATCGTCAGCACTGTTGGAGGCATTGTGGCCGTTGCTCTTGGAGCCTGGTTCTCTGTGACACTGGTCGCGATATATGTTGCCTATGAACCCGACAGCAGCGGCACTAATCCATCATGCGCCAGTGGGGGATGCAGCACAGCACGAGTGATTGGACTGACTGTGTACGTGACGTTTGCCATGTATTGGTTCAGCGAATGGGTGAAGAACACGGTGCATACAACCATCGCAGGTGTCTACGGGACTTGGTACTTCTGGAGTCAATCGCCAGATGGGATGCCCAAGGGAGCAACCCGAGGCGCATTTCGACGGGCCACCACCTACTCATTTGGCAGCATTAGTTTTGGCAGCTTGATTATTGCCATTATCAATATGCTCCGGCAAGCGTGTTCAGTTGCCCAACGACATGAAGCCGGGGAAGGCAACTTGGTGGGGAGCATCTTCATCTGGATTCTGGGATGCTTCATTTCTCTCCTGGACTGGTTGGTAACCATCTTCAACCGCTATGCCTTCTGCCACATCGCTCTGTACGGAAAGGCATACATCCCCGCAGCCAAGGATACATGGACGATGATGAAGGATCGAGGTGTTGACGCCCTCGTTAACGAATGTTTAATTGGACCCGTGCTGACCATGGGATCGGTTTTTATTTCGTATCTCTGCGCGCTGCTGGCATACCTCTATCTGCAGTTCACCAAGCCAGGGTACAACAGCGAAGGCGACTTTACAGCGGTCATCATGGCCTTTGCGTTTGTGATTGGGTTGCAAATCTGCCAGATCTTCATGACACCGATTGGCAGTGGCGTGGAGACGATATTCGCTGCGATGGCATGGGATCCTCAGGTGATGATCCGTGACCATCCAGATCTGTACTATCGGTTGGTGCAGTTGTATCCTCGCATTCAACAAGCCATTCATGCGTGATGCGTTATACGATGGGAGGTCAAAGTGAGACCATGCGTTGGGGAATTTGTTAATTAATCATGTGGTTCCAGTACTAAGTATACTACTCCCTAATGTTCATACATCAATAATTCATATCCTCTCGATCATTACATCCCGTCGAACATAAGATAAGGACCAAATAGAGAATGCCAGAAATAAACAACAAAGCTAGCCACCCAATCCCTCTCGTTGCCAATAAACACCTTGCCATCAACTACAGGTTGTCTACAACACAACCAACAAAGCCATAACAGCCGAAACCCCCAAAGCAATCACAGCCTGAGGCCCATTCTTCCCAGCACCACCAACAAACGAGTTATAATTGTTCGACCCGTGACTCAACGGGTCCGCACCACTAGGCAAGGGCGTCGCAGAGCCAGAAGGCGTAGCGCCCGAAGCCATCGGCCCAAACAATCTCGACGAAGACGCAGAAGCAACCGCGATCGAGGTCGCCGACGATGCAGGTGCTGCGGGCGTCTGCGCGGCATGCTTGAGCGCTGATCCGTGGCTGGTCTTCTCGTGGGCTTTGCTCTTGGTGCTTGCGGGCGCTGAGGTCTTGGTACAGTCGCACTCGGTTAGAGTCTCCGTGACGACTTGCACGACGACGCGACCTTCGTCGTTGTCATCTTCGGATTCGGATTCGGGTGAGTGTGACACGGACTCGGACTCTGAAGATGGAGATTCAGGAGCAAAGGCGCGGCCGTAGTTTGCGGCGGCGAGGGCTTTGCCGTCGGTCATTTGGTCGAAGAAGTCGCGCTTTTCCACCTGGCTTTTGTTAGTTTGCTTCGTTCTGTATAGCATAGAAGGTGGTGTGTGTAACTTACTCCATTGTTCTTGTTCATATCCATGGACTCGGCAGCCACGAAACCAGTGGCAGAAGCAGCCAAAAGAAGGGTAGAGAAGGAACGCATTTTGGCTTTGTTTGGATGTTAAAAAATGGTATAGTTTCAAAAGTAAGAGAGTGAATAGAAAGAAAAAATTAGTATATCAAAGAGAGAATACGGGTCAGAAAAAATAAAAACACAGGTGATGTCGACTAGGTTGCTTGCCTCAAGCCAACTTCAACAGGGGGAAGGGACTATAAGTAACGCGAATCCGTCTAGATGGTCCTGGTTTATTTGGTGTGTGGGATGGAATGGAATGCGTGGTGTGTGTCTGTGTGTTTTGTGTACGTGTGTGGCTTTGCAAGATCGAATCTTGATATGATGCATTTTTGTTGACTTCATTATGGAATGCGTTTGCCATGGTTGACAGGGGTTGACAGGGGCTGTTTCTGATTCCAGGTTATTTGTACATATGTGTACCTTGGTTTGGTGCTTGGTTATAATATGAGTCTATTCAATTCAATAGCAATGCAGATATGCAGTGGGCAGTAGACAAGTACATCTACAAAACATCACCTAAGAGTATCGACAATCGACAACAGGAGCTGTCAATGAGGCCATGGATATCTCTTCGGAAATCTGGAATGGCATGCTTATCTGTCGAATCAGGCATTTCCTCGTCCTGATTCCTGTGCCTTGTTCCCCTTGCTTTGACTGCGAAGCTTGATCATTCGCCAGTGGGCATGGACGTGAAACATAACTCAATTCAGCGCAATTATTAGGGTATACCGTATGTAAATCCAAACATTCATATCATCAGTAGTCGTGTGTCATAGTACGCCATTAAAACTTCTCACTAGTCACGCAGCGTGTCATCGATACCAGAATCCAAGCGATTACCTTGACGATCAGTGTCAGACCGCGCACGACAAGATCCAACCCCCAAAAGAGAATCCGTAACACGCCCCGCGTAGCACTAGGTAGTTTTTCCCCCTCCCGCGAGGAACTGTGTCCGTACCGGCCATACTTTTCCAGATCGAACTCTTCAATTACTATCTTTTTGTTCTTGGTCTTCTTGGACTTGGTCCGGCTGCACCATTGGAATAATCCCTTTTTGGTTTCAGGGGATGTTTCCGCATCCTTCGATTTCACCCTTGATACGAGCTCGTCGGCCTGGGCGTCGTCTTCCCGTTCCGCTAGGGTTGTGACTAGTTTCCCTTGGAAGCGTGGGATGGTAGACGCTGAAGGTCCCTGGTTGCTGTAGAGCTCCATATCCGCTAAGACTGGATTTGTGGCTTCATCAGAGACAGCAACGGCGAGCATTGCTGCGACCAGCGAGTCAATCGCGTACAATGAGGGGATTGTGGCTACAATGGCGGCTGCGGAAATAGAAAGCGTCATGGTTCCCAAGTCCAAAGACGCAAGAGGTTCATCCAAGTCGGTGAGGGGAAGTGTCGATGTTCGAGGTGTGGCAGCCAAACTGGCCGCCTCCGTCGCATTAGAGGAGATTGGAGTCGTAGCAATGATAGTTGGCGGCTGACGGCGCTTTTCACTACATGGGATCGACACTGCAATGTGAAGTGTCCCCGTAGATTTCGCTCGCATGGGAGACAAGGGAACACCGGCAGCTCCAACCAGAGGTTGTCGTTGCTGCGGTTGCTTGGACATCGATGATTGGTGTTGCAGCTCATACAATCGTTGCTGGTGGTTCCACGACAATCGACAGGACTCCTGGGTAGCTGCTCGCTGTAGTGCATTTCCCTCAACTTCGATGGCTTCTGCCGGGGAGAGCTGGTGTTGCCTCGACAATTCTTCAGCCTGTTCAATGGCCAGCATGGCAGCCAGTCGGGAAAATAAAGATGTCACCAGTCCATCGTTAGGGGGCTCCCGGCGACGTCTGTTTTCGAGACTAAGCATCATGATAGGCACATTGTTATTTGGCTTGGAAGGGTCTGCCCTAGAAATCGCCAGTTCGTTGGTGGAATATGTCTCCAACGTGTAGAACGGCGATTCCGGGTCACCAAATGTAAATTTAGCAGTATTAGTCCTTGGCCAAGTCAGCATCCGGTAAGTCTTTCAGGTTTTCATGCTACTCACCTTGCCATACATAAATTGTAAGTCCCGATGGGATTTTGTGGTCGTTGACCGTTAGCCGCCTCCCACAGACCTTTGAGCTCTGCTGCAGAAGAGTACTGCATCTCCACCGAATCAAGAACGCCAGTTGGGAAATTCATGATGCTTGCCGGTACAGTCTTAGGTCCCAGAGAATCATCAATTTCCGGTGCTGGTGAAAGAGTAAGCCCCCTAGGTTTGGCTCGAGAAGTCTCGTTTGAGGAATTAGGGTAGTATTGCTGCTGGCTGAGCGGCACATCTGGATTATAACGAGGAAACATTGATCTCATAGGAATAACAGGCGAGCTCGATTCCTGTAGAGGCTCTTGAGAGAAAGAGTGCGACCTCACACTGCTGCTGCTTCCCACGAGGGTCGTGGACCCAGTGTCGTCCGACGGTCGCGCTGGTCGATCATTCTGACGACTCAAACTGCGCAGAGTCTCCAAGGACTTGACATCTTGAGTCGAGCTTGGAATGGAGGCTGGGGATTTTGACTTGGGCACACGGGACTTAGAAGGTCGTTGGCCGCCGTTGGTGTCTTCGATGATCTGGAAGAGCGCCGACTCTGCTTTGGCGGTATTGTCTAGATCTTCCAGAGGAATTGGACTCTGGGGCTGTGTATTTAATGGCTTCTTGTTTCCCTTTCGAAAGGGATTCTTGGAGATTTTGACCTCTGGTGTAGGTGGTGGGAAGAGTTGAAATTGACTCATTGTGTCGGCTTGGGAATAGAGACCGGCTCTATGCAACTGGGAAAAAACGACGATAATATCGATCAATGCAAGCGGTCTACGCCAGCAAGAATTAAACAAGATAACCCAGCACTCCAATCGTGAAGAATCATAAAAAGAAACAAAACGACCCAGACAGCCGGGTAAGGTAGTAAGTAGCTTGTCCAACCTATCCACCAGGTGGACGAGCAGAGCGACATATACCCCTCTCCTCGACAGGGCATGTTGACGACAAAAAAAGCCATCAACAGACCTACAGCGTCAAGCATCCCGATCTCGACGCTGACAGGCTGGGATTCATGTGAAGAACTAGCTTATCCTGCATGATTGTCCCCCATTCCTCATAGTCGGCGGTTAAATCGCATCGTCACTGGGCGGCTGATTGGCTGGCTCGACTTGCACCGAAGCGCTTCGACAAAGTAAACTCGGGGATATCTGCTCTGTACGAGACGCTGAGGAGATGAAGAAACCGGATTGGGGCTGTACAAGGTCTTGGTCGGTGTCTATCGCGTGGTCGGTGAAGATAAATTAGTGACGCTATGTTGATGGGGGGATGGGAATTGACGAACCAGATACATTCTGTCCAATGTCACACTTTAGGGTTTATTCATAGTTGCAGGCATCGCTTGAATGAAGCTAATGGATACGAGAATATCGTATCCATCATAATTACTCTGTAGTCGTTGTGATGAAAGTTGTGGATAAGATGGATACAGCGGAGAGAATTGCGGGGGATTTGCAAAACGTTGGAGGTTGGAGTCAGGAGGTACACTGCAGACAAACAGTACGGGTATTGTTTATGTTTCTCGTCTAGCTGTTCAATATTCATACATACACCTGAAATGATGGTTATATTTACATGTCTTAGTACAGATCAGTCCACCTCATCATGCACCGAATAAGTGAGGGCTTCGGCCATTGCAATGGCCCCCTCCATGTTTTCCTTGTTATACAAAAACAGGCCCTGCAGCGCTGCAGCGCTGATATTCTTCGTCCGGTCAGCCTTCTCGCCGTTCTCATTCTCGATCAAGCCCAGCTCGTGCAGTCGATCAAGCAAGATGCGTCGGTGAGAGCCTGTGGTATCGATTTCTCCATAGAACCGATCCCAGAGACATCCGACCTGGTAGCGGCTGACCTCGCCCAAACGAACTGTCATGTCGACCCGACCGGGCCGAACCAGGGCTTCATCCAGGCGTTCGACGTGATTAGTGGTAAGGAACAGAATTCGTTCCTCTGCACTCGCAACTCCGTCCAGGGCGTTCAGCAGTCCGGAGAAGGTCACGTTAGCGCCGCGATACCCGTCCGAATCGGTCTGGGTGCGACGGTTTGAGAACGCGGCATCAACATCCTCTAGCAGAACGAGGGTGCGGTTCGGGACAATAGTCAGGAGGTGATTCAATCGGTCGTCAGTCAGACCCCGCTCACTGAGATTGAGAATGGCAATATCATAGTCCAACTCGCCCGCCAATGCCTGGATAAACGAACTTTTCCCAGTGCCGGGCGGCCCGTAAAGCAGATATCCCCGTCGGTAGGGAATTCCACGATCGTAGTACCACTTCCCACTTCCCACAAAATCTTGGACATCCGCCACAATACGTTCCTTTACGCCTTCATCAAGGATGACCGATTCCAAAGGCCGCTTTCTCCGCGGGTGTCCAAACGGTCTCCATTCTGTTCCCCAGCTATTGTAGATGGTTGTCTTCCCTTCCTGCGACCGAGCAGCGTATGCGTGTGCTTCCGTAAAGAGCTCCTCGAATATATGCCGATGAGAGTAGAGTGTAGTGAGGGTTATTGTTTCCCAAGGACGGCCAGTTTGTAAATCCTGCGACTTGGACTCGCGCATACGGTTGACGAAGATGAACGCATTCTTATAACGAAGAATATGCTTCCCGGGACCAGGGACGAGGGCGAAGTGTGTATGCATCGCGCCATTGGCGTGTTCAACTTTCTGTGTCTGTATGGAAAGATGGCGCATGCCGGGCGTCATTCGTTGGAGGAGAGATTCCATAAAGCCAGTCCTGCTGGTGGCAGAACGAGCAGTATTGAGCTGCGATTGCTGATAGAGCGTCATCCAGTGAAGGAACCATGGGTATGAGTCGTCCTTGATGCTGATCTCGACGTCTACCAGCATACGTCGGCGAAGGAGGGCGGCGCCATGTCGAAAGCCTTTCTGGGCGAAACTGAGGCCCGCTCCGAGACCTGCGAGACCGAATCCCTAGATTATCAGTTAATTATATCCCAGTATAGCTTCCTTTCCGAGAAATCCTCACCGCCGTGAAGAATGGATTGTTGGAAAGCTGCGACCACAAGCTCCCATCTCCCGCGGCCTGTGTCCCCGCCGCCTGGAGGGCATCTTTCCTCTGTTGCAGGATCAGATCCCCTGGAGAGGGCAACCCTGCAGCAGTGGAGGATCCATTCGGTTCCATCCCAGCTGGAGGAACGATCAATTCCGGATGATCAATCGAAGGTGATGGTTGTGACATTGATCTTGTTCCTGAATCCCATAATTCCAGCATTCATCGGTTGATATCGGAGATATGACGGTCCGGTCTGCATGTGCTCCGTCGCGTGAGTTTGCAATAATCGATTATGCTGTTCTGCCAGGCATTTATATGGAGTGTGGATCAGTTGTAAGATACAGGAGTTTATCCTATTCAATATAACATTTTTATAAAAGAAATATGGCTGGTTTATGTGGATTATATCCATTCTCGCTGCATTTGCACATTCCCATGTCACGTGGTATGTAAGTAGATGTCATTCGTCAACGCTGATTGGCTGCTACTTTTTTTTTTGCTTCAAGTCACTGAATTAAGATTTAAGAATAAAAATAAAAATAAAGCATCGAATGTTCTCCGTACAATGATAGTATTCCCTAGGTTCTAATCTGAAGGTGTCTCGTGTATTTTACCTTTCGACACAATATTTCAGAATGACCCAGCCTGAGAAAAACGAGCCCATAGCCCAAGACTCTCGAGGAGACTTGGAAGCATGCACCTCAAGATCAGAGAGCAATAGCGACAATGATTCCAATGCTGATCCAACATCTGCCTTTAAGCAACTAGGCATTCTTGACCAATTCCTTGCCGTCTGGATCTTCCTCGCTATGGCGGTTGGAATTATCCTCGGTAATTTTGTGCCCAACACGAGCGAAGCGTTGGACAGGGGGAAATTCATTGGCGTTTCCATACCCATCGGTAAGCTTCTAGTCTTCGGGTAGACTTCTGGATCTTAGCTGAGGCGATGTAGCAATCGGTCTCCTGGTGATGATGTACCCCATCCTATGCAAGGTCCGGTACGAGACCCTGCATCGATCGTTCCGCGACAAGGCACTTTGGGTCCAAATTGCATTCAGTATCGTCATCAACTGGATTGTGGCACCTTTCTTCATGGTATGCTGTCATTGAATATTCACTGGTTAACACATTTGCGGCTAATATTCATTTATAGCTGGGCTTAGCATGGGCTTTCTTGCCAGATGAGGCCGGCCTTAGACAAGGACTGATCCTGGTTGGTATTGCACGGTGTATTGCAATGGTTGGTCCCATGTCCAAATTATTAGTACTAGCAAATCGAATTAACCCAATTTCTAGGTTCTCGTCTGGACGGGCCTGGCAGGGGGAGATAACGAATATTGCGCAATTCTCGTCGCCATCAATTCGATCTTGCAGATGGTACTCTTCGCACCCCTGGCGATTTTCTTCATCCAAGTGATTGGCGATGGCGATCTCAGCATCGACTATTCTCTGGCCGCCAAAAGCGTCGGAGTCTTCCTCGGAATCCCACTAGGCGCAGCCATCATAACCCGCGTGACCATGGTCCTCATAGCTGGTAAGGAATGGTACGAGAATAAATTCCTGAAGTGGATCGGTCCACTATCATTGATCGGTCTCCTGTTTACCATTCTGGTTCTCTTCGCCGCACAAGGTAGGCAGGTTGTGCATCAGATCGTGTCTGTGATCCGAGTGGCGGCTCCGCTCATCGTCTATTTCTTCGTCATCTTCCTGGCGACCATTATGGTGACGCGTCGTTGTGGCTTTGGGTATCAGCTGTCTTGCACCCAGAGCTTTACCGCTGCCAGTAATAACTTCGAGCTTGCAATTGCAGTGGCCGTCGCGACATTTGGTGTGAACAGTGATCAGGCCCTTGCTGCAACGGTCGGGCCCCTGGTCGAGGTTCCTGTGCTTTTGGGTCTGGTGTACGTTGTCAAGTGGTTTGCAAGACGGCGGAATTGGAGGGCGTAACCATGTAATGGCCAGAACATCAAAGATATACTTGATGTGCCGTAATAGTAATAGCAGCGACAGGTAACATGGTATCAGTCATTGCTGATTTCATCCAACACCTGAAAAAGAATATGGTTTTGTACCCTACATCCTTCTCCTGTAGCAGAGCCCTTGGAGAAACCCGCCTTAAGTTTCTTCTGAATCTCAGTAATATCGATACCGCGCGTATTGTATTGACCGACCAGCTCCTCGGCAATTGCACAAAGAGTGGTATCAAGAACATCTCCATCGGAGGCCCATGAGTCCAAACTTTCATCATCTGGCATACAGCAAAGGGGCTGCTCTTTGGACAGCTGCTGGAAGTTCTGGGACATTTGAAGTAAGGGCTTTTGTACAGGCTCCGGAAGTTGCTGATAAGCACCGCCAGCTGCCGATTCCTCTGGCTCCTCGCTCAAAGCAACATTGCTCTGTGCCACCTTCTGAGACGAGCAAGGAAGCGAGCATTTCTTCTCCTGGCATTGTGGTTTTGCAGTCTCTTCAGACCGCCGGAGAGCAGGGATTGCGACTTTCTGAGTCATGGCTGGATCATCGACCGTGCGGATATATTCCTCGACGGTACTGGATGACAGTCCTGAGCATGACAGGAGATACCTCAACTTCCTATTCTCAGACTCGAGTTTTTGAACAATCAATCTGTGCTCAATATCTTTTTGATGCACTTGCTCTTTGCAGGATGCCAACGTCTGCTCCAGCTCTCTGGTATGTTCCTGCCTTCTGGCACGGCTCTTGCGCTGGTTTTCTCTAACCCGGGCAAGCCTGTCAAGTTTCTAGAGCCATGTTAATTTAATGATTCGCAGTGGTTTTGTGAGAAACTGAACCTTTTGCTTGTCAGCGTCCATTTTGATCAATCAATAAGGTCTAAATATCAATCAATAGTCTCCAGATTGGTCATTATATTCTGTTTATCGAAAACCAAGATGGAAATCGACTGAAATCAAATCGACCCATCGCTAGCTGTCCCTGAAGCCTCTTTTTATCGAGAGATTGAACTTTCGTATTTAAAAGACCCTGTTTGCGCACGTGATCAGTGCCAAGCTTTCCCCACCTCCTAATCGTACATCTTCAACCTGCATGATTTTGTCAGGAACTCGAGAAATTATTTCAATTAATATGAACGCCTGGATGAAGTCAAGTGAAGTTCCTAGTAATAGTAGGTTGGCACTGATCGTCGTGTTGTTCAGAAAAGTGAAGCCACCAAAACACCCTTCTAATGGAGGCTGTCTGATATCGTGAATATTCCCCTCACTAAAACGAAATCAGCTGGATAGATGTAGACCAGAACCAAGGATAGTAACTAGGAAGAAGCAATATAAGATCATCAAGGGTAATGGTGGCCACTTTGCGTTGAAAGCGCCCGGCATCGACCCAGGCTATCCGCACGACGTCACCAGCCGTCAGCTCGGCCTTTCTAAGTCTCTTCATCTTCGACCTTTACCAACACCAAAGAGCTGCCAATTTCCTCTCTCACCCGTTCTGTTTGGTCTTCATCTGGGGCTCTATACTTCTTCAACATCGCTCTCTCACTTCTACTCGTCCGATCCTTTCCTACTCGACTACTTTCTACACAACTTTCGACAATAAACAACAACATGGTCTCGACGCGCCAGCATCCTCGGGAGTTTCCTCCCCCTCCTGCGAGAGCTTCTCCTGCGCCCTCTGTGAGCGATGAGGGTACAATTCGCAAGTGGGTACACACGCCATCAGCGGCCGTGATCATATGGCTGTTATTTTCGATCCCACTTGTCGCCTGGGACTCGGGTTATGTATTGCTTCGCCCACACAGCATGCCTGGTCATAAGCTGCACTCTCCTATTTGGACCCCATATGCATTGTATGGTACTATCGATTATATCTACGGCTGGCCGGCTTTCAATGCTCGCAATGGCTTCACTGCTGCGCAGACTATCCTGAACCTGTTTGAATCTGCAGCCTATATCTACTATCTCACGATTGTGTACATCTACGGAGTGTCGCTGCAACCTGATCACGGCCGTGAGAAAACAGGACTGAGTCGTTTTGTTTCCATGGTGACCAAGGATAAGGTGGTGTCTGGACGTATTGGAGCTACTGCCCTGTTGGTGGCATACAGTGCGTCCTTGATGACTCTCGGCAAGACCATTCTCTACTGTAAGCCTGCATATCTAGGCTTTCTATGCTGCTTTCTTACTGAGAATTTCTTCAGGGCTAAATGAGTTCTTTTCTGGATTCGACAACATCGGCCACAATGATGCCCTCACCTTGCTTTTTTTGTGGATCATTCCAAAGTCAGTTTCTTCCCATTCGACTTTAATATTTTGTTACTGACAGTTATTACAGCGGCCTTTGGATTATCTTTCCGAGCTACAACGTTTACATCTTGGGCGCGGAGATGATAGCCTCTCTTGAGAGCGCTACGCCCCTTTCGAAGACCAAGTCTTCATAAGGACAATAGTTGGACAGGGCGTGAACTTGACACCTAGGAAGAAGATCATCATACGTGAGAATGAAAGGCATATGGATTAGGTGGGCAATGCAGTCGAGCACATTTCAGTTTGATCGCGGGTACCTATTGATTATTATCATTTGCATGGCTCAGCTTTAGTGGATTCCATGAAGAGGAGGATGGAAAAAGCAGGAATATCTGGGATTTATGGAAGATCTTATAATATTCCAGTGCTGTTGTATATATCAATGAATTAATGATCATTTTTCTTGTCTCTGTCTGCTTTTGAACACTATAACGACGATATAACCCCGAGCCCAAAAAGATGAACAACAATAATAATTGCCGACTCTCTTCACTATAATTCTTTATCAATCAATACTCTTACGTGATAATTTTTGAATCCATCTGATATTGCCAAATAGACTGACGATCAGCCCTAAATAATCTCCTCCACAAATGACCTGTCAACTCCTGCATGACAGATGGACTCCAGCATTCCAACAAGGATAATCCATCTTGATTCTCCACTAACTCCAGCTTCAATTTCAACATAAAGCAAGGTATATCAGAATGAATCAGAAATGATCAGAAACAAACCCAATTGCCCCTCAAAATATCCGGAAATGATTGAGTTTTGCCTTCATCCAATGATCATGCCGTTGAATCGATGACATCCGGAGGACCGGGTCGACGATGTAATCTACATCGACACGCCTTAGCCAGATGGGACTCGCTCATATTCTGATGATCTGTGGTCTCTTTCAATCCTCTTCGATTCTTTTTCTCTCTCGTTAATTTCTATACGAGCGCTCTGATCGCCCATTACTAATCCCAGCATGACCAGCTCGACGGCCTCCGCCAAGCCTTCCCCATACTACCCACCAGCTTCGACCGCTTCCCACGATTTCTCCCCGTCATTTCCCCCAGAGCCAGTGTCTCCCGACCACAACCCCGATTGCTTGAGTCTCTCTTCGCCCTCATCCTCCAATTTTGCTGCTCCGATCTTCCCAAACGATGCCCCGGGTCTTGTTCTTGGGGTACCCGCACCCGTCATGATTCCACCCGAGTCCGACGAGTCCTTGGTGTTCTCCGCCGGCAGCAACACCTTGGGCCATCGCGATGAGCACGGGGCTGTCCCCGAAGATTTTGACATTCAAAGTCAGACTAGCTCCCGCGATCCAGGAAGTGTCAATACCGGAGGCGATCATACTGTAGCGCCCGAGGGCGCCTACGAGAACCAGCGCGATGACACCAACAACGACCCCGCGCAAAATCTCGAGGTTGACAAGGATGGCAATAAACCGGCATGGAGTGAGATGAAAACCAAGGCCGGGAAGGAAAGGAAGCGTCTCCCACTAGCATGTATTGCTTGTAGGAGAAAAAAGATCCGGTGCTCGGGAGAGAAGCCTGCATGCAAGCATTGCTCTCGGTCTCGTATTCCATGTGTATACAAAGTCACTACGAGGAAAGCCGCTCCTCGAACAGACTACATGGCGATGCTGGATAAGCGATTGAAACGAATGGAGGATCGGGTCATCAAGACGATCCCCAAAGAGGAAGTCCGGGATATGACTGCCATCGGGAGGTCCGTGGTGAGACCTCCCGTTCCGGGACAAATCTCGAAGACTCAGAAAAAGCGGTCAGCAGATGAAGCTTTTGCATCTGAAATGGACGAATGGACACGTGGGGGGCGCAATGTGCTACAGGATACCTTCCCCATGAACCGTGACAGTAAGTCCGGTGACGGAACTGGTCTGTTAACCGAGGGTGCCGAGTTTCTTCCCTCGTTGGAGATCCAGGAGCACTTGGCGGAGGTTTTCTTCGACTGCGTTTATGGTCAATCCTATCTCTTACTACACAAGCCCAGTTTCATGCGACGACTGAGAGGCGGCTCCATTCCCCCAGTGTTAATTCTAGCTGTCTGTGCCGTCTCCGCCCGATTCTCGACACATCCGCAGATCAACTCAGAGCCACCATTTTTGCGCGGAGAGAGCTGGGCCAACCCAGCCGCAGCTATAGCATTGAGTCGGCATGATGAGCCAAATATCACCATCCTTACTGTCTTTTTGCTTCTGGGACTGCACGAGTTTGGAACCTGTCATGGCGGACGAAGTTGGTCCTTTGGAGGCCAAGCGTTGCGAATGGCTTATGCCTTACAACTGCATAGAGAGCTTGACTATGATCCGTTATTAAGCCAGAGTAATGGCAATGGCTCACAACTTAGCTTCACTGACCGTGAGATCCGACGACGAACTATGTGGGCCTGCTATCTGATGGATCGCTATAACTCGTCGGGGAGTCAGCGTCCACCCACGGGAAACGAGAAGTTCTTACAAATCCAGCTTCCAATTACTGAATCGCAGTTTCAGATGGAAATCCCGGGGCCCACGGAAGACCTGGATGGCGGTGTTCCGAACCCTGTTCCGGATGATGTGGGTCAACTGTCCAATGCCAAAAGCAACATGGGCGTCTCCGCCTATATTATTCGGGCCGTCGTCATCTGGGGCCGTATCGTCGACTATCTAAACCTGGGTGGGAAGACAAAGGACACTCGTCCACTATGGTCTCCGGAGTCGGGGTACTCACATCTCAAGCGACAAATCGATGATTTTTCTTCGTCGCTTCCGAGCTCTTTGGTTTTCACTTATGAAAATCTCCAGATCCACGCCGCGGAGCGGATTGCTAACCAATTCCTCTTTCTTCATATGATTATTCACCAGAACACACTTTTCTTAAATCAATTTGCCATTCCGCTGTCACCGGGAGGACGGCCGCCAAAGGATATGCCCAAGGCCTTTCTCAGTAATGCCGGACGATCCGCAGTGGAAGCAGCTCATCATATCTCTGTATTGATTGATCGTGCTTCGGCTTACCCTCTTACTGTTCCTTTTGCAGGATACTGTGCATATTCCGCCAGCACTGTCCATATATGGGGTATTTTCTCCCGCAATGCGCAGCTAGAGGCTCGATCAAAGGAGAACTTACGACATACCTACCGGTATCTCAACAAAATGAAGAAATACTGGGGTATGTTCCATTACATGGTGGAGAGTGCCAAGGATCGATACCGGCAATTTGCAGATGCTGCCATCAAGGGGTCAATCACAAATGCCAATGGTGGCCAAGCTGCACCCATGTTCCAATACGGGGACTGGTTTGACAAGTATCCCCATGGAGTGTCGAGGTTGCACTGGGAAGAAGCCGGTCCGGCGCCTAAGGAAACAGGCGATGATGCCGTCATGGGGAAGAAGCCGGATCTTCAGAGCGTGGAAGACTTCTTTGCCAGTCTATCACCGACACCGCAACCATCAGGGCCACATGTATCGCATTCAAGGAAGAGCAGTAAAATCGACGGTCCTGGTGGCATGGATAAAGTGAGCCCGTCAGAGTCGGTGGTAGATGTAAACATGACACCAGGGATGATGGGCACTTCCGGCACAGGGTTCCCACATCCCGCGATGTACAACCAGGGCCGAGCCTCATCTTTCGGGCAACCTCCTTTCGATTTCAACATTCCATCCGATCAGCTTCCCCAACTGGATCGACAATTTGTGTACGGATCCTTTGGCGGAATCGACCCATCCACATTTGTATCGGGAAGTAACACCCCCATGCCTCCCTCGGCCAACGGCACCGAGTCCCAGCAAAATCAAGAAAGCGCAGCACTTTTCACAGGCCAACTAGACCCCAACGCACCCTCGGGTGCGGGAGAATTCTACCAACCGAGCGCGTGGTTCTTGCCATTCAACCTTGACCCGGTTGGACCAGGAGTCAGTATGGATGCGAACCCACCCCCAGTCCAAGCAGGACAGCCATCCGGCAACGGTGCTGCCCCGGGGTCTACCGCAGACATGACCGCGTTTGGTAATTCAGGGAACATGATGGGTTCGTATGATATCACTTGATGGGATGAATCAAGACCGTGAATATGTTGAGATTGAATTATATACATCACACGGAGTTTCCTCGCTACATTTTCTTTCTTTTCTCTTGCTTTTCTTATCTGGACCGGGTGGTATTGTGTGAATATGGGAAAATATCGGAGTTTATGAGTGGTACTGCTGTGCATCTTTCTTTTGTTATATCTACTCCGTGTATATTTGGTGTTGGCTATGAAATAGTATTATAATTTTCTCTTGGTAGTCGTCCTTGTCCCATAAGCTTTGCTATAACGGCCATATAAAACATCACCATCAGGTTCCATACCGACAAAAGCAATGCGACATGAGATAGCAAAAGAAAAACAAAAACCCCCGCAAAAAAGGAACCGGAAAAAGAAAATAAAGAAGACCAACAACAATTGACGGTACAGAAAAATAAAATATAAAAAATATAAAAAAAGAAATCGCGTTGCATCATCCGTGAATCGAACACGGGCCTCATCGATGGCAACGATGAATTCTACCACTAGACCAATGATGCTTGCTTGTTGAATAAAGCTGCCAGTATTTGCTTTATGTTAGAGATTGAATTGGGGACTACTACTAGAATATGCCCACGCTGTTTATGGAGCACCATTGATGTGATGAATCTCATGATAACGTGTCTTCAGATGCTTCATAGACAAGCCAAAAAAGGTAATCGAAAAAGGAAAAGGAAATAAAACAACCAGCAAAGCTAACCACACTGCAAAAACCAGAATACAGAATACATAATCCTTTTATTCCACCAGTCCAGCCCATCCCATTCAATCCATCTATCAAAAACACCACAACCAAAAATACCGATTTCAACCACTTTAATCCTCCCATTCTTCATCCAACTGGTCTATCAGTCGGTTCTCGGCGTCCATGTCATTGCGGCCACGGCGTTGGCCACCGATTGCACCGATGAAGGAGCCGCGTTGGCCACCAGCACTTGAGCCATTCACGTTGGCGTAACCACCGCCTGGGGTTCGGTTGAGACGGAATAGACGGCCTAGAGAGGAGAAGAGGATGATAGCCATGTCCTGTGTGGTTTCGAAAAGGGGAGAGAAGAATTCAGTTAGCTTGAAGTTTCATGTAATTTGTTGAATAGCGACAATGTAGAGAGAATAACTCTATCTAGAGGAATTATCCAACATGGCCATTGATATAGCAAGAGAGAAATTTCTAGCCAAAGGCAGACGCAGTCTGAATACAACCAATCTTTGAAAAAGAAAGTCGCAGTGTCCATGCTCAACACGGGCCAAAGTTTCAAATGATAGAAAGAAGGTTGA